GGTATATTCTTCTCCGCTTCGTCAATAAAGATTTGAATTTTTCGCGACGTAAAATTTTGACCCCTTTTCTTACTCATGAATATGTTTAATAAATATATATTATATATTATTTCTTTCCTAACGCATGTATGTATAACAGTTTATCAACGGATTTGCTTGAGCATTTCGTTAAGCGGGTTAACGATGTACCAAATTTGAACGTATTCACAATTAAATAACACTCCATGTATAATAAAGCATGAACGCGAAGTTCTAGAATTTTTTTATATATTGTATACAAACTAAATTTGAACAAATTATCAACTCATATTGTAATTCCTTTTCATATATAATTTCAGATAAAAAAAGAAGATGTGGTATGATTGCCAATGAGACAACTCTTCACAAGAGACCAAATAACACAGAAATTAACAACTATAGGTCACCGTACTGCCTTCAACAATGAGCAAAGCCCATACCGCATAGTCAGCTATAAAAGGCCCCGAAATGACAAATGTAAAACAATTCAAACGAGAAAACTAACGGCCTAATTAATGTACAAAAAAATGAACGAAAAACAAATATATAACACAGCAACAAACGACAACCACTGAATTAGAGGCTCCTGACTTGGGAAAGGCACACACATAAAGAATGTGGCGGGGTTAAACATGTTAGCGGGATCCCAACCCTCCCCCTAACCAGGGACAGTGGTGTAACAGTACAACATAAGAACGAACTATAAAAATCAGTTGAAAAAGGCTGAACTCATCAGATAGATACAAATAGAAATACATGTAACAAAAACACAAAGTGGACGTGGCCGGGGACTTTGATTGAGCTGAATGAAATACTATCAAGATGAGTTTCAGAAAAGCCACTGAAAAAATTATTTCCCTTCGGTAAAAGATGTGAAATAGAAGCCTCCACTGCATTCTAAATTTATCTTCTGGGCTCGGAAATCCAAGTTTAAAATAAAAATGACTTTGAGTTAGCTTTTGAAGTATTGATAATAAAATAAAGGATTTTATCAGAGCCTGCACAGAAAACAAAACCCCTGCTGCAAGTTGTGCCTACAGTACATTTAATGTCCAGCTATTAAAAATGGTCAAAGATAACTATGGTAAGAAACATTGGAATGAAACATTTTAATATTTTTCAGCTGTTCTTGATTGATTTTTACGCCTCAGCTATGATTGTTTTCAGATCTGTGCTTAAATATGTCCATCTCTTACAAGGTTTAACTTTTTGTTTTAAATGTAGTTTGTGGTCACACGTTCATTATAATGAAAAAAATAAAATATTCGTAAATATAAAGAATGGAAATAAGTTATTTTCATATTTTTTATAATCATTATTTAACATAAAAGAAAATATGTTCACTTATGACAGTCATAAGAGCATCATAGGTATGACTATCTTAGGACAGCTGTTTCAGTGGCTTTTCTGGAACTCATCTTGATAGTATTTCATTCAGCTCAATCAAAGTACCCGGCCACGTCCACTCTGTGTTTTTGTTACATGTATTTCTATGACACATTTTATGACACATCATATGATAGTCATAAGAGGATCATAAAGTTTGTCCTAAGATATATCTTATGACATATCTAAGGATACTTTCGAAAACCAGGCCCCAGATATTTTGTAAATTTTCTAAAACAAAATCTCCTTTTTCAACCTAATTGGGGTGTAGCTGGGAGCTTTATAATAAAAAAAAACTCTACATGAATCGCCCCGTTACACTCTCTCACACATGCATCAACTTTAACACTTTCATCTAAAAAAAGTATTATAGTTATATAATTAACTTGATATTTGGGGCAAAAAGGCCCTTACCGAACCTAATCCTTGGAAATCAAATGAATTATAAAAAAAAAAACAGTACACCACACACAAAGGTTAACCTTAATCTTAATCAATTGCACGTAAATCAATACGGGAGTAATACTTTAACGGACAAATTACGTATAACCACCGTTAAATAAGATTGAAGTCGAATGTAAAGCAGAAATTTCTTTCCCCTCTGAAGAACATGTTTGTGAGATTCCGCATATGAAAACGCTTAATTTTTCAGTGTAACAAGTTAGTATGGTTTCCCTTTTTAGCCCAAAGGGTCATCATTTGTCGTCCGTCGTCCGTTAACTTTTACAAAAATCTTCTCTGAATCTACGCGGCCAAATTTCACTAAACTTGGCAAAAATTATCATCATTGGGGTATCTGGTTTAAAAATGTGTCCGATGACCCTGCCTGCCAACCAAAATAGCCGACATTGCTAAAATAGAACATAGGGGTAAAATGCAAGTTTTACCTATTATCTTGAAAACCTCTATGAATAGAGAAAATTTGACAGTGGCAGAAATGTTCAGAAAGTTGAGAGATCTCTATTGTCTATTTACATCAAAACGGTCAGACAGCTTCCTAAAGGAGTTATTGCCCAGCAAGAGAAGATTTACAAATAGGTCAGCATGATCGAATGGTCATATGACTCCTTATTGGAGTTCTTGCCCTTTATTGACGATTTTTATCAATTTGGGTTTTTTTTTGTCAAATATCTAAAAAAAACTATAACATGGCTGATATTGTCTGACGACTCCTTATTGGTGTGTTGCTATTGAATGATGTTTTTTTACCAATTTTTAGAATTTGCCTATTATCTTCATAAATACATGTATAATAGATAGAGAGACACTTTTAGTTGCAAAAATGATAAGCAAGACAAGATCGACAAATAAGTCAACATGGCCGTAATCGTCAAACGTTGCCTTGTTTGGGTTATTGCCCTTTAATGACGATTTTACCATTATTTGTTTGCGGTTTTGGCTTATCTCCTAAAAATTATAATAGATAGAAAAAAATATAAAGGCAAAATGATCAGCAAGACCAGATCTACAAATAATTCACTATTGCTGAAATCATCAGTTGACTCCTTATTGGAGTGACAATTTTTACCGTTTTTTATTTGCTTTTTTGCCTATTTTTTTGAAACTATAAAAGCTAGGTAGACACTTTAGATACAAAAATGATCAGCAATACAAGATCTACAAATAAGTCAAATTTTGCAGAAATCGTTCGTAGACTCTTTATGATTGTCCTTAAATGACGATCCCCCCCCCCCCTTTTTGTGTTTTGGGCAAAAACTAGAGAAGGTAGAAGGAACTGTAAACAGAATAAATAATCAATAATCAGCAAATCAAGATCAACAAAAAGGGGATTTGTGTCATGAATTTCATTTTTTAGTCCCCAATGTTGGAGAGTGGCCATTGTTGAAGATGCACACAGAGCTAAGCGAGCGACACATGCTCTTTAGAGCCTCTAGTTTGCTTGAGTTGTCGAATATAAATATATTGAAGAGAAAAATTAAAATACGTTTTTCGAAAAAGTTCTTCCGACATATATTCGACGAAAACAGCAGGATCGTATAAATCTGAACATATAACGAATATTTATAGGCCTGCACTTTTTTACAATGTAACTTGATTGATTTTCGAACGGTTTTGGGTTTGTAAATTTGGTTCCATTTTATTTTTACTGAAATAGACGTAACTGTTTGTACGCTGAGTATGCACTGCAAACATAACATTTATTGAATAATTGAAAGCTTCTTTTATAAATTTATAGGGTGTAAAAACGTTGACCGAAGTTTAGTTTTTTTTGAAGCGAGGAATCGCTACATTATAAATATTTGCACACGATCAACATTTTTACAACCAAATTAAGTTATAAAAAGAAATACAAGTATTCAATTCTTATAATTACATTTTAAGCTATAGTTATGAAAGTTAAGACTTATATCAAGCTTTTCGTTTGTTTTTTCTATGCATTGTTTTAACATTGTCACGGATAACACATGCAGTCATAGCATTTTATACGCTAACAAAATTTGATATTGGAGTGCCTTACATTTGTTTTCAGCAAATCATAATTACGGATTGTAATGAATAAAATTGAGAAAGGAAATGGGGAATATGTCAAAGAGACAACAACCCGACCAAAGAGCAGACAACAGCCGAAGGCCACCAATGGGTCTTCAACGCAGCGAGAAAATCCCTCACACGGAGGTGGTCCTCAACTGGCCCCTAAATAAAATTGTGTGCTAGTTCAGTGAAAATGGACGTCACACTAAACTCCAAAACATATAAATGAACTAAAATTAAAAAACATACAAGACTAACAAAGGCCAGAGGCTCCTGACTTGGGACAGGCGCAAAAATGCGGCGGGGTTAAACATGTTTTGTGAGATCTCAACCCTCCCCCTATACCACTAGCCAATGTAGAATAAAGAAACACACAGCAATACGCACAGTAAAACTCAGTTTAAAATAAGTCCGAGTCCGATGTCAGAATAGGTAACAAAAGAAACTAAGCAAAATGACAATGATACATAAATGAACAAAGGACTACTAGCAGTTACTGACATGCCAGCTCCAGACCTCAATTAAACTGATTGAAAGATTATATCTTCATCATATGAAAATCAAGTACAATCCCTCCCGTTAGGGGTTTAGTATCATACCATCATAAAATATATGAGAAGAACATAACCCGTATCATGCCAACAACTGGTTTTAGAATAAATGTGTTTATTTCCGATGCAAAGACCCTATGAGTGAATCAATATTAATACCAAAATATGCAATCCTTAATGATCTGACAACAGTATCGTAACTATATCCTTTCCGAATAAGTATGTTTAAAGGTTTGGTTAGCTTTTGAGGTGAATGCCGACATTTTTGTGCTTTGTAAAGAATATTACCATACAATATTGGATGTGAAATACCTGAACGTATAAGATGTCTGCATGTTGATTTATATTTACAAATAATGTCCTTGTACCGATGATAAAATTTAGTAAATGTTTTGACTAGTTTGTGATACATGTAATGTAATGATTGATTGATTGATTGATTGATTGATTGATTGATGGTTGATTGATTGATTGATTGATTGATTGATTGATTGATTGGTTGGTTGATTGGTTGGTTGCTTGATTGATTGATTGAATGATTGATTGACTTACTCTGTACATCTGTGAGAATGCTTCATTGGAACAATTCCACGAATATGCTGAAAAAAGAATTTTTGTTTTTATTATTTATCGTTGACAGTTAAACAAATTATTGCCTTACATCAGATAAATACTCATAATAAGCCTAAGATATATGAATGATGAGGAAATGTCGAAAACGTTAATATTTGAAGGTAAAGACAGTTTCGTTACACCTAAAAGTATTTGAATATGTTGTATGGCCCGGGTGGGGTGGGGGGCACTTATAATGTAATGAGTGATAGGTGACTATGATGATGAAATGTATGACAAGGTTGCCGATGAATCTTGAATCGTGCACGTATCTTTCAGGTCTTTTGTAGCTGACTATACCGTATGGGTTTTGCTCATTGTTGAAGGCTGTACGGTTACCTATAGTTGCTTAAATACACGTCATTTGAACTCTGTTGGTTGTCTTTATTCTGTGTCAATACTGATCTACTTAACAAACAAGCAGACTTTATAACATTGCTCTATAAATATCTCTTCGTGAATTTATGAGGTCCTGGATGGGGTTAACAGAATAGAGATAATGGGCCAATAATAAAGAAAAAAAATAGGCCAATTAAATACACAATAGAGACTCATGGGGTGCTGAAATATTAAGAATAGAGAATAATGGATAAAAAATTAAATAAGCGATGAAAAGTTACTTAAATATCAAAGAATACAGAAATGAAAACTCTCATTTCCAGACCCTCATTTATAGATATTTGGCAGTTTTTCTGTAAAGCATTGTTTCCGGTACGTATATTCCTGCTTGTAGACACAAGGTTTTAAGGTATCATCCGATCAGATAGGAATTATACACATTAATTCAATTTTATAAGATATTTTAAAAGCATTTTAAACATTCCTTTTCCGGACTGGAAAATATGAACTAAAAAATGGAGCTTAGGAGAGAATGATAATATTTGAATTGAGGTTATATTTCGTTTTGACATCTTTTTGGGGTATCGCGTATTTCTTTGGGCATGTTGAGTGAAAACAGTCAGCTGTTTGGAATATTAAAACTAAACATTTCAGCATTGATATTAAATCGCAAAATGTAACAAACATACATTATCAGAAAATATCAAATGGTATAAGATTAAGAAACAAAGAAACCCGAAAAGCAATGCTGAACGAACAAGTATACGGAATGTGCGTTAGTAGGTTTAATCAAATATATATTTATACATACCAGCTGGTGCCCTAGGAGTGTGTGGTCGTTTAGTCACGACAGGAAACTTAAACTGAAATATAAAAATAATGATATCCTTTAAACACCCTTGATAAAATGTATAATATTGATCCAGCGAATCATTTCACAAAAAATCTTACGAGTGAAAACACTCGTAAGTCATGAACATTTCAGTATAACTTACGATCAGTTTTAGTCGTAAGATTTTTTGTGAAAAGAGCCCCAGATGCTTGCGTTTTAAGTAATTATGATGGAAAAGATAGATATATTGGAAATCACAAAACATTCACTAAATTCGTATAGCCGAAACTTGAGGATAAAAATACAAGATGACTGAAAAAAAAACCTCAGAAGGGTAGAAAGTAAATTAAGCAACGTAAAATCAAACCACATCAAAACATCATGGATCAACTCATGTGACCCCACAGAAAGCTAATTGCTTGGAAACACAAACCACATCAAAACATCATGGATCAACACATGTGACCCCACAGAAAGCTAATTGCTTGGAAACACAAACCACATCAAAACATCATGGATCAACTCATGTGACCCCACAGAAAGCTAATTGCTTGGAAACACAAACCACATCAAAACATCATGGACCAACTTAGATGATCACACAGAGAGCTCATTGTGTGTATCAACAGGGAAGTTTGCAAGTAATTTTACAATTTTACTCCATGAATACGAAATATAAATAAAGAAGGTTTATTCAAGTATCTCCCTTTAAGGTAGCTTGAGTCAAGCGCATGTATGACATATATTTCACATCCCTTAAAGCACGTTCTTAGATATTTTCTACAGCTGTGTGATGTTTAATAAATATCCGACTAACCATTTGGAATTGCGCTTACAATGCTCAATGACAGACAGACAGACAGACAGACAGAAGACGTATACATATGTATATTCTGCTCTTTGGTCGCGTTGTAGTCTCTTTGACATATTCACCGTTTCCATTCTCAATTATCATGATTATATATCCCTAAATCTTAAATTTTTGTCAGCGTGTGTATAATCTGGCGCGGTACTAGAACTCTAAGGTGATGAATGATATAAAATAATTTGTTTTAATTCTTCTAATTTCACGACTTTGTGTCAAACAAAAGCAGATGCATTGTCTGATTTGTTTTAAAAGGGGTGGTGGTTTCACCCATAAAAAGGATAGAGGGTCCGCCTTCATTTTTATGATTCATGATTCTAGAATAAATGCATATCCATGCCCTATTTATCACCCCTATCCATCCCCCTCCCTAGTTCCTTCCATGCTCTCCTTTTGATCCCACAATGTAATAAATAACAATCTATGCTAATCTGCGTCCGGTTACCAAAAATTATTTAAACTTAATCAATAACTCAATTCAAATTCAAGATATATATAATAAATCATCATTTTCTCAATTTAATTTCCTTTAAAGGTAGTGTTTGTAATTTGAATTTTGTTGTCAGATACCTATGCGATATTTACCTTTACCTACATTTCTAAGGTATGAAAGTACTTCATTTTTACATTAGTATTGTCGAAATATACTTAAGTCCTGGGTTATTTACCAGTGGTAAACTTTAGGACATAGTAGATCATATTACCACACCGTTTGGTCGTCATTTTTATACTTTTCTCAAATATTGACATTTTTGATAAATCATAATAATTACACTTGAGGCACCAGATCTTTACTGTTTATAAGATGGCTTCAATTTAATAGAATTATTATAGACAAATATCTTTTGGGCCGGCACGCAAATAATTCATTTTTTTCTAATCTAGGGACTATGTATTTTTTTATAAATCCTAGGTCTCTTTGTTTAGTAGGAATAAAAGGGGGAGCCAAATGAGACAGCAAATGAACCAATAAAAAAAATCTAAAGTGCAACTAAAGTCTTCCCCAGAAGGGAGTTGTATATAATATGTCAACTTTTGAGCGGAAGTGTTTAACAAACAGCACTGGCTACCTAAATATTACTATCTTCCTGAAGTATCATTGTCATTTTGCTTAGTTTCTTCTGTTACCCATTCTGACATCGGACTCGGACTTCTTTTAAACTGAGTTTTACTGTGCGTATTGCTGTGTGTTTGTTTATTCTACATTGTCTAGTGGTATAGGGGGAGGGTTTAGATTTCACTAAACATGTTTAACCCCGCCGCATATTTGCGCCTGTCCCAAGTCATGAGCCTCTGGCCTTTGTAAGTATTGTGTATGTTTTTTTTTAAATTTTAGTTCATTTATATGTTTCGGAGTTTAGTGTGATGTCCATTTTCACTGAACTAGTACACATTTTTGCTTAGGGGCCAGATGAAGGCCGCCTGCGGGTGCGGGATTTTCAACTCTCAATTTTACATTTGAATGTGCTATCCAAATTATGTGGCATCTTTTTTTTTTCCTTGTTAAGAAGGTAATTGTCATGTTAGCAGCTGGTGTACAGATTTTGTATTGTGTGTTTAATACTTTTACGACATATGGTCTTTATAGGCAAAGGTTCCTGAGCACGTGCACCTGGAGCATGCTTAAAGCGTTGTTGTTTATCCTTGTTTTTAAGTCGTTTTTCGGACGATTCGGATCTTTGGTGTAAATTCTGTTGTATTGTACTACATTTTTTTTTAATTTCTGTTATTCTTTTTATGTAAATAGGCCAGACAAAAATTAGGTGGGTTTAAGGTTAATTGATAAAATTGAGTTGCAACTATTTTTACTAAATATTTACATGTTTAAAAATTAAAGTTTAAGAAAATTTCCAGTATTGATTTCAATACTAATCATGCTTTTCATATAGCTTACTATTGGTAAATGTATAAATAATTAATGACAATTCTTTTCCTAAATATGTTTGCATGTTTTAGATTTCACAACGATTTTTTTAATATGTAGAATTTAATCCAACAAATTTGTCAAAGCTATGGTTTATAAATGTTTACATTGTTTTAGTCGCATTTAATACTGATTTCACTACGATTACATGCGAAAGGGTCTGGATGGGGTTGATAGATTAGAGAATAAAGGGTTGCTAAAATAAAAAGAATAGATAATAAAATATTGCTGAAATAAAAAGAATAGAGAATTAATAAAGGGTTGCTGAAATAAAAAGAATAGAGAATAAAATATTGGCGAAATAAAAAGAATAGAGAATAAAATATTGGCGAAATAAGAAGAGTAGAGAATAACGGATTGCTGAAATAAAAAGAATAGAGAATAAAATATTGGCGAAATAAAAAGAATAGAGAATAAAATATTGGCGAAATAAAAAGAATAGAGAATAAAATATTGGCGAAATAAAAAGAATAGAGAATAAAGGGTTGCTGAAATAAAAAGAATAGAGAATAAAATATTGGCTAAATAAAAAGAATAGAGAATAAAATGTTGCTGAAATAAAAAGAATAGAGAATAAAATATTGGCGAAATAAAAAGAATAGAGAATAAAGGGTTGCTGAAATAAAAAGAATAGAGAATAAAATATTGGCGAAATAAAAAGAATAGAGAATAAAATATTGGCGAAATAAGAAGAGTAGAGAATAAAGGATTGCTGAAATAAAAAGAATAGAGAATAAAATATTGGCGAAATAAAAAGAATAGAGAATAAAATATTGGCGAAATAAAAAGAATAGAGAATAAAATATTGGCGAAATAAAAAGAATAGAGAATAAAGGGTTGCTGAAATAAAAAGAATAGAGAATAAAATATTGGCTAAATAAAAAGAATAGAGAATAAAATGTTGCTGAAATAAAAAGAATAGAGAATAAAATATTGGCGAAATAAAAAGAGTAGAGAATAAAGGGTTGCTGAAATAAAAAGAATAGAGAATAAAATATTGGCGAAATAAAAAGAATAGAAAATAAAATGTTGCTGAAATAAAAAGAATAGAGAATAAAATGTTGCTGAAATAAAAAGAATAGAGAATAAAATATTGGCGAAATCAAAAGAGTAGAGAATAAAGGGTTGCTGAAATAAAAAGAATAGAGAATAAAATATTGGCGAAATAAAAAGAATAGAGAATAAAATGTTGCTGAAATAAAAAGAATAGAGAATATGGTTTGAATAAATAATGTATATAGAGGAAATGGTCAAAAGTTAAAGAATGAGGAAATGAAGGACCATCCCCCCTTTTCCAGACCGGTACCTCATGCAACACAACAATAGTAATTTGGAATACTTTATCATACGGGTTTCCTTATACATCAATTTGATTTCCGAATCTTATCGCCTTGAATTTTTCCATAATCTTATTTTAAATCTTATTTGAAGTACATATCATACATGTAATATAACATAATTAACTTGAAATGAAGAAAAAAATAGACAAACCACATAGAAGGATTAAGATAAGAATTTGAATGCTAAAGAATTTACACCATAGACTATGACACCGGATTAAAAGTACGTAATATATGAACGTGTAATTATCACATATATGTAGTTAAATCCTTTTCAGATTACAATGACTGAATTGAAAGAAAACAGAGAAAAGGTCTGAACGACGAACTAAATGAAAAAAATGAAAGAAAAAGTTACTATACCCAACGCCTAATTTTATTCATAAACACCTGTTGAATGGTAATTTATAATAAAATACGAATATTGTTTCTTCGTAGTCACGAAAAGTTCAAAAGACCAGTACTAAATTAACATTGTCCGTTTATAGATTTAAAAATGATTAAGGAACTAAGTTTTCAACCCCATCAGACAAAGTTGACCTTTGATTGATTGTCTATTATTCTAGATAGATCATCGCCTGTTTCGGTTTTGTTCATCGATCCTTGGCTTTCAAACATTCATCTTTGAGCCTTCCTGATGAAGATATACCCAGGTAAGCGCTTCGGATGCATAAAATGTATAGTGTTATTTTCCTTTTTTTAAAACTCAAATCAGAACAGACTCACAACAGAATGAGTGTTTTACGTCCCGTGGCAACTGTTACAAGAAGATATATATCATGGCAATGCCATCTTCTTCTAAACTAAGCCGTATTCTAAACGTGTTGGCAAGCAGTGTTTCAATCTAGAAATATCTGTCGTGTTGACAAGCAGTGTTTCAATCTAGAAATACCTGTCGTGTTACTTGGGCACCATAGTCCGTTTCTTTCCCCTGTCTCCTACAGCATTACTTAGCAAAGAAGCAACACATACCAATTTAAAAATATGTCTAATGTTTGACAAGGCCAGGGACCGAATCTGATTATTTTTAAGTTTTTTTTAAGTTTTTTTAAAAGTTTTTTAAAGTTTTTTTTTAAGTTTTTTAAAGTTTTTTAAAGTTTTTTTTAAAGTTTTTTTAAAGTTTTTTTGGTGTAGATTAAATGTTTTGATGATTGCTGTTTTTCTTTTCGTCGTTTTTCTTTGTGTCCGTTCTAGTGTGGTGTTTGTTGTTTTGTTTTTTTTACTTTTTTATGGTTTTGATTGCTTTCTGTACCTTCTCCCTTTTTTATATTCAATATTATACTTATTTAATATTATACTTATTCAATATTATACTTATTCAACATTATACTTATTCAATATCATACTTACGCGGTCGTCTCTTCCATAGAAAAATTTAATTTCGAAATGTAAAAGTGTTTTCCTCACGTGCGGATCAGTTGTGAAATAGATTGTTGGTGTAATTTTCCTTGGGGGTAGTGATTTTATGGATGCCCCGCCTGTTTGTTCTATGAATGTCCTGCTTTTAAACAAAGAAAATTCGTCATTTTGACTACATGTCGTTTTAAATAACCTCCTGTCAGTTTTTGGTCTCAGAAATTCATCACTACATTTAGTTTCTCGAATGTAATTCATCACAATAATCCCTTTGCTCTCCTTTACAATATTGTGTCACTCTGACGCTAGTTTTTATTATCCTTTTCTGTAATTTTCACCTAACACTACTTTAACTTATCCCCGTAACCTTTCAACAACCATCATATGTCTGTTTACATGATTAATTCTAATACACCATCATTTTCCTCGGTCGAAAAATAAGACTTAACAAAATCCGAAAAGCTGTAAGGATATAAGAAATACACTTCTTTACACCCCAACTATTTCTAATTAAAAATTCCAAATAAGATTAAATTTCGGTTACTTCAAATCTTTAAATTTCACAAGTCCTTCTAGTTGAAAAAATTAATTTACATCCATTATAATTCATTTTCACCTATATTTAAAAAGACGGCGAAACACTTGAATGTTGCGCATAAATAAACAAAACAGAAATATGAAGTGGTTTTAAAATCAATACTCAAGTAAAATTGGAAGTTCAGATATAGATACGGTGTATTGTCCTTTGTTAAAAGAGCGATTACAATCCGCAGATAATATTACGGATTTTCAATAATATATCAAGGTTCGTCAGGGATCGGCAAATTTTGTGATTGTTATAGACGGCAAATTAAACAAACACCAACAATGAAGATTCAATATTTTCTCTTTTTAAATAATTCATTTCTTTAAAAGTCGGATAGTTTTAGTTCAAAAGTAGATCAATATATACTTACAAACATATTATTTGTTATTACTCAGGAAATACATCGATATATGCGACATGATCATCTGTTTAAAAGCAGAATCAAGACCCCCCCTTTTGTTGTTGTTGTCTTAGAATTGACTAAAAAGAAACTTTCTTTAAATCTGGACAATTTTAACTTCTAAAGCTATAGGTCCTTCATTGTATCTGTCAAAAATACATGTTATGTATGTCCTCCGTTTGAGTTTGGTTTCAGTCCTTTTCTAATATTATGCAAAAGTTACGTCCATCAAAAACATTCATTTTTTACTATATAAAAATAAAGAGTTGTGGGATGATTGCCAATGAGACATCTATCCTGGAAAGTTCAAATAAAGTGGATGTAAGCAATTATAGGCAACAGTACGGCCCTTAAACAATGAGAAAACCACATACCGTATAGTCGGCTATAAAAGGCCCCGACATGAAAAAATATGAAACAATTCAATTGAGAAAACTAACGGCCTAATTTATAACTAAACAATATATGAAAAACAAATATGACAGACAAGAACTATCGACAACCACCGAACTACAGGCTCCTGACTTGGGACAGGCACATAAAGAATATGGCGGGATTAAACTTGTTTGTGAGCGCTCAACCCTCCTCTAACATGGGACAGTGGTGTAACAGCACAACATAAAAACAAACTTTCAGATTTCGACTTAAGTCTGCACTTAAGTCTACAAAATAACGACAACCTCGTTAGATCAATGTGTAGGATATCATTCACGAAGGAACGAATTTCGTAGTAGGGGGAGACTTTAACTCTGTCGAATAACATGTGCCTAGTTTGCATGAGTTACATTTGGATGGAGAAAGGCAGAACTTGTTTAATTCAACATTCTTTTTCAAAGGGGAATATAAACTTTAAAAAAAGTAGTCTGCAACTAAATGATAGACATTCTACTTTGAAACAAGTATAGGATCATTTCTCCTGAATTCATTTTACTCACAAGTTCAAAATCTGAAAGTTGTCAAATCCATTCGGAAGTTTGACTATAAGTTCAATCGTAGAACATCTATTTAGCATTAAAGAATTGAATGGTTCTATGTTTAACTATTACTGGAAGCGTTTTATACTGAAATGTGCACAAGGTCAGGGGATAACCATAAATGCAGTTCCATAATGGAGAGAGCTTTTATAGGCTGTGCCTGTTGCTCAATCCTTTTCATATCTTTATGAATAAAATATGTTTAAAATCAAATAATGGGGGTGCCCCCCCCCCCCCCCCCCCCCCCCCCCCGAATCCGCCTCGGATTAATAGTGGAGCCCTACCTTAGGGTGTCGCACTGGAAGAATATGTACACTTGTTCAAAAATATAAATATAAAAATACCCGCAGCCATTTAAGAGAAAAATAGCATTGTAAAACTTAAGCCACTTTTAAAAGTAATCATAGGCCTACCTCACAGATCAAACTGTGCAGAACATTGTTTCCATGTAAAGTACCGTGTCTACCTGACAATTGTTACCTTATTAACAAGCATGTTAAAAACCCGGCTCAGCGTGTCGGTCTAGTACAAAGCAGGGTTCTCTTCAAATCATATTCACATGCTCTTGTCTGGAATATGCATGTAATATTTGCCACTGGATGATAAACACCGATCAATCCATCCATCTCAACAACAGCAACAGTAACAGACTAGAACAGATGATGATGATTATATGGATGGTTTTTGATCAGTGAATCAGTGATAGCGGCTGCAATTGTGAACATTGTATATTGTTGTTCCGAACTATTCAAAAAGAGTTTTGAAAGTAATTCAGACTTTCGTTGATAAACTGCTCGATCATAAATTGTTATTACTCTAATTCTGAACTAATTGTTATTTTATCGAATTCGTTTTGATTTGTAATATTTGTCCGTCAATATAATATATTATTCACTTTCAAACTGGATAATAATCCTTTTGAGACGGATTATATTATATTTTAAGTATAAACACTTATTGTCAAATTATTTTTATTTATTATGTAAGAATTACTTATTACAATCACGTCTTTAATCTGTCATATATTATCTTTTTTTTTGTTAATCTTTCAAGTTATTTTTGTATTTTTGTTTAATTGTCATTGTATAATCCCGTTTCTATAATGAAAGAGTAACCCAGCAAAATTCTTAATTTTAACTTGACGTTTTCTGAAGTTTTTACTTCAGTGAGTCAGGCAGTCGAACTGACAATATCCGCTTTATTTGTAAAGGTACATGTGTTCGATCTGAATCTTGTTATCATTGTCACCAAGTAACCTGTGTCCAGTTACATAACGTCCATAACATGAACACTGCTTAGCTTTTTTCCAGACCGACACGCTGATTTTTTTTACATACTAGTTTACAACGTAAAAGTCCGAAGGAAGACATATCTTACTAACAGGACATATAGTTCGAACTCCGAGCCAACCACTCTTTGCTCTTACTTCTATACCGAGCCAACCACTATCTGCTCTTACTTCTTTTCCGAACCAACCACTCTTTGCTCTTACTTCTAAATGTCGCGTCCTTAGTATAGAAGCATCAATAACCAATTATTTGGTTTGAATCGGCCGGGGATCGAACCAACGTCCTTACGCGAATGAGGAAAGCATACTTCTACAAGACCACTGGGGTGGTTGCTTACAACGGAAGTATGTTTCTCAAATTTATAAGGTTTATGTTAAAGTAATTTACATTAAGAATTTAAATATCTCGCAAATCTACGGTTTGATGTTTATCTTTCCATAAACATATATTTAAATATATCGAATACTTTGTCAATAACAGTTAAAAGAAACCTGGGACTATTATACTAACGTTAGTATAATAGTCCCAGAAGAAACTAACAATTTTACCACAGTTCATTTGATTTTGTTTTGGGACGGTTTAATACGTTTTGATTGGTATCATTCAGTACAAACACATTATGTTTAATGGGAATGTTATACTTCTACGTTTATCAAAGTCAAAAATTATAATGTGTATACATTTCGCATTCTCTCATGTAAAGTCATTTGTCTCTTGCCCTTACAATGAATAAAATAAATCGCTGTGATTAAAAAATAATTACTCATGCTAACGGGACACGAGAAAAACTGAGCCTGAAAAAAATATCTCAAATTTGAGAGAGAGAGAGAGAGAGCACCCAGCGCCCCCTAAAAATTGGAAAAACCTATTTTTGTCTTTCGCCTCTATTGGGCGAATTTTTGAAGGTTGACACCCTTACTATCATCCATCTTTAAATTCTACGTAGAATATACCAAAGACAGCAAACTTCTGCCTGAAAGAGAAATAGTTTTGTAAAGGACAAATCAAATGACCTTGTAAAAGACCTTAGTTGATTGAATAAGGGAGCTACCATTTGATTTTTATGGGGGGGGGGGGGGGGGGGGGGGGGGGGGGGGGGGGGGCTAGGATGAAATTTGAAAAAAATAGGCAGGACAGGAGTTGAGTTAAAAAAAAGTCAGGATGACAATTTAGGTAAAAAAAAGTCAGGATAAACTTTAAAAAAAAAGGCAGGACAGAACAGAGTGAAAAATAAAAAGGCAGGACAGAGATTACAACTAAAAAAAATGCAGGACAAAATTTTCCATCCTAGCTCCCCCCCCCCCCATAAAAATCAAATGGTAGCTCCCTAAGGTGGAAAACTTTCTTTTATCAATATTAATTATAATATTGAAATAAAAAAACACAACTGTGTACAATGTTACATGATACTTTTTTTTGTAATTTCCACGTATCAAAACTCGGTGGCCGAGTGGTAAAAGTAGTCGAACTACTGTATCACTCGCCTGTCAACACTGAGGTTACGAGTTCGAATCCCGCACGTGGCAGGTGCGCTCGACGCCAATCTTAATTGACTAGGATTCTTATTTCTATAGGATTGTCAGTTTTCCTACTGAAGGTCGGTGGTTCTCTCCGGCTTCCTACACCGATAGAAACTGACCGCTACGAAATAGCACAATAATACTGAGTGGCGTTAAAACAACAACAAATAAAGCAATCAATATTATAACTAGAGGGCCTAAAGAGCCTTCGACCTGAATATGCATGAAATATTTGCCACTGGACTTTAAGCAACTAACAATCATAATCGTCATCTAAAGAGTCTGTGTTGCTCACCTAGGACTATGTGCATTTTCAACATTAAAGACTAGAACTGTTTGTCATGTCTAAGTTCTCTTTTTTTTTTTTGCTTGTGTCGCTGACTGGAAATTTTTTTCTGTTTTTAGTTTCTCTCTATTACTATGTATAAATTTTAATACTTTTGCCAAAAATACCCCAAAATACTCGTCATTCAATGGCAATAGCTTTTGTAAGTGGACTTCACATTTCAGATTTGATGACCTATTTATAGGTAGTGTCTTGCTGTTTATAGTTTCTCTTTATCTTTTATATGTTTGCCTAGCAAAAGAAGATAAAGTCAACAATTCCTATTAGGAGTCAATTGACAATTTGATCACTTCTTCCGTTTTCAGTTTTCTTTATCAATTATAGTTTTCATAAAAAATGGAAACAAAATGGGTAAAAATCATCATTAAAGGGCCACATACTGACTATTCCAACTCTGTTGATATATTAGCAGATCTGGTCTTGCTGAATATTATATCTCACTCCAAATGAGAGGGTGGGGTATATTGTTTTACCCAGGCCTGTCGATACCTATATTTTGGCGTTGCACAAGGTCATTCTTTTCTAACACTGTCTACATGGTCTATGAAGACTTTACTCTTACAGCCGATTTCATTGTGTGTGTAGGAATAGGTACTATCTTTGGTTAGCTTGCTTGCTAGCTGAACTGTGAAGTCTTTATTAGGTTAGGTAAACTACCCTCCTTTATGAGTAGACTAGTCCCACAGATAACCAATTCTATCTGTCTGTCGGACTAGTCTACTCATAAAGGAGGGTAGTTTACCTAACCTAATACTGACTTCACGCTTCAGCAAGCAAGCAAGCTAACTAAAGATTTTACCTTTTCCTACACACTCAATGAAATCGGCTGTAATCCATTGAATGTGTACTGATTGTTTTTCAGTCTGGGGAAACTCAATTTATATGTTAGTTGTAATTGCCTTTGATCTAGCTTCGGTAACTGCCAGTACTCTTAGATCGGTATTTTGTCCCTATTGTCTTTTTGTTAGTTGTTTTGTACTGTGTGCTGATCTGATGTCCATTCCAACTAATGTTTACAGTTTGTTCCTATGTTGTGCTGTTACACCATTGTCACAGGTTAGGTGAGGGCCGAATACTTGCAAATATGTTAGGAGGGGTGTGCTTTTTTTCCTTCTTTTTCTCAGTTCCCACTTTTTTGAACCCCTATATCCCACATTCCCACTTTTTTACCCCTATATCTCCAATCCATAAAATGTGTTATACTTCTCATGTTAAACTTTGACTTTTCTGTATGTGTCTGTCCCAAATCAAAAGCAGTGGTTGTTGATTATCATATTTTTTTTCATTTATTGTTTCATGATATCATCAATCAGGCTTTTGGTTTTCTCTCTTGAATTGTTTCACATTTTGTCATATTAGGGCCTTTCAAAGCTTACAATACAATATGAGTTTTGCTCATTGATAAAGGATAAAGTGACCTATAGTTGCTTCAATCCTTTAGTCTCTGGTTGACAGTTGTCTCTAGGCAATTACATCTCATTCCATCTTTATATTAGATGACATTGGCAGTGGATTATAGTCAACTCTGCACAAAAAATACTTTTTTTTTAATTTCAGAAACAAAAAAAACTAAAACATTACAAAAACATTTTAACATGTAAATAAAGTATAATCAATGTATAAAAATAGCAAAAATTACGTATACAAAAGATATAAAAGAGTAACTTTAATATCTGGTTTCCTCTGGTTTTCTTTTTTCAGTTTTTATTTGATAAATGAGGCAACAATAGTTTGATTAATTTTTTTTGTAAAAATAAATTTTAAAAAAGTGAAAATTGGCGTTTAATGCCACTTTCAGCTCTCTTGACTATATCATAATGGCCTGTTTTTAATGGTGAAAGAAGCCTGATTACATGAAAAGAACCTCTAACGGAAAACTAGCAATCCTAGTCAATAAAAATTCATAAGGGTTCCGCGGAACCCAGTGTCTCGCCTACTTTTGCTGCTAGTCACAGGCTCAACAAAAATTATTAAAAATTTTCCTATAGATACTATCTTTTGATTGTAAGAAGCTTCTGTCCAAGTTTGGTAAAAATCCAGAATGGTTTATGAATCTAATAAATGTTTTAAAAACTTTAACTACAGAGTGAATGTAATGTTAACCATTTGTTAACTGGAAGAAAAACTAAGTCCCATTTATAAGTAATATACGGAAAAACAGAAAATATATTTTTACAAAATTTCCTTCTAGATACTAGTTTTTGATCATAAACAAGCTTCTGTCCAAGTTTGGTACAAATCCAGGATAGTTTAATAAAGTTATTACAATTTTTAAAACTTTAACCACAGAATGAATGTAATGTTAACTGGAAGAAAAACTAAGTCCCATTTATGAGTAAAATAGAGATGAATAGGATTTTTTTTTTACAAAATTTACTTCTGGATACTATCTTAGGATCATAAACAAGCTTCTGTCCAAGTTTGGTAGAAATCCTGGATAGTTTAAGAAAGTTATTAAAATTTCAAAAACTTTAACCATAGAGTGAATATTTGTGGACGCCGCCGACATCAGAATGAAGGATCGCTATGTCTCGCTTTTGCAACAAAAGTCGCAGGCTCGACAAAAATCAAAGTCAAACACAAGCATGGACGAAAAAATAAAGGTTAGGTATATGTCAATTAGACAGCAACCGAATGAAACAAAATACCATGGGACATATATACATTTTCATACATATGTATATAATAACAAGGTCAGTTGTCTAACCTAAAATAGAATAGAAGATTTTCAAATTAGTTGTCTTGTTTTTTTTTAAATTTTAGAATAAGTGGAAATATCTTAAATCAAACATGATCTATGTAAAATTGTAAAATCTATCCAATAAGTACACTACAGCTTGACCGGATTGTGTCATTTCCACCCTTCCATGGTAGGAGGGCACACAGAGTGGCCAAACTTCTAGATGGTCCCCTATGGCAACCTTATGGAGTAAACTGGTCCATTATATTATCATTAAAATTGAACATAAGAAACCTTTTGAAAAAAAAACTAAGCTTCTTTTTTTTTACAAAATCTGAGTTTTTGTATTATTTATACAAAATGTGATGAATAAATTTGATGACATGAGTGGACCTAATGTTGGAAATGCCAAAATAAACTGAAGCTGTTATTCAATATCAAAAATATATTTGTTCTGGTCTAAAGAGCTGTTATAAGAGACTCATCTTTACTGCTTACTGGAGATTCACCATCCTTCTTCCTTTGTGAGTCACTATCTCGCAGGCTGTCACCAGCTGTCTCATGCCGTAAACCAAACATAAGACAAAACTGGACAAAAAATACAACAGACCAGACCACAGGGTACAGCCACTTACTTGGATGAGACAATAACGTGGCCCCCACAAAAGGGGTGATCAAACCAGGTACCTCTATGATGGCATTGACAGTTGCCATAGCAACTCCTCTCATGTTCGTAGGGTATATTTCTGGTGTATATGTATTTAAAAGGGAATAAATCGGCACCATAAAAAAGTAGCAAACAATCACTACGGCAGCTTTTAAAAAATCTAAATCTACAACAGCAAAAACTATCAATGATAAACAAGTTCCTAATGAAAATACACGTAAAGACTTAATCCTGCCTAACATATGTTTCTCTACGAATATCATCGCTAAACACAATCCAGGTAATTCTCCAATAAATACCATGAACATGTTGAAATATCCATCTACTCCTAACGATGTAATGTACTCAGGTAAATAGACTGTCACACCCCAGTAACCAGTCGCTTGAAGGAACCAGATCAGAATGATAAAAGTAGTGCTTGATAGATGTTCAGGTTTAAATAAATCCTGTATCCTGCCTCTGTCTGAAGTTGATGGTACTGTGATGGTCACTGAAAAATAAAGACATGGTGGTTTTTTTTTAACTGGTCCTTTTTATAAATTACAAACTGGGCACCTGTCTTAAATGAGCTAAGGAAAATCGATATGATGATGTTTAATGAAATAATGTTATGTACTGTAAATTTGGAAATTTATATTTGGGCATTATTTATATTTGGGCATTATTCATATTTGGGCATTATTCATATTTGGGCATTATTTATATTTGGGCATTATTTATATTTGGGCATTATTCATATTTGGGCATTATTCATATTTGGGCATTATTCATGGTAATTTGGGGATTTTGAACAATGAACAAAAATTACAAGATTTGATAATCACAATTTCAGAAAATGCTGCTAACATATAATTCTATCAAAATTAAATACAAGCTTTAAATTTGGCAAAATTTATCATATCACAACATTTGCAATTATAAAACCATTGCAAAACATCTGAATTAACAGTATTTCAATAAGCAGGCAAAGAAGAATATGTGTTTTTGTTATGTAAATGACCTCTTGGGTATGATGGGATGTTGTCTTATTGACCCTGGGCTCACATCTACTGTACATTTATTCATTAATATCAAAATCTGAAGATGGTACATGTGTAGATGTGAACAGATAGCTAATTTTTTTTATTTCAACAAACATTTTTCTATATATATATAACCATGCATTGTCTCAAAATATTAAATTATTTGTCCTAGGTTAAGAAACAGGTAGAATGTGAGGCTGTGATTAGCATTTCCTGCCAAGTACAAATAGAAGTTATGTTTTGAGATAATATAAGGGTGTTACCTATTTTTGCAACTCTTTACACTATTACAAATGTAATATTTTGCATTTTTTGGGAAGAAACAAACTGTTGAAATAACTTTGAATTTGAAGGGGGATGATATAAAATTTGGCTAATCTTTCAACAATTGTTTCACTACATGTAAGTCATGAGTAAAACTTAATGGAATACATTACTAATGTCACAAAAAAGACATTCCAGCATTTAGACTAAACAAATAGTATGAATGGTGCAGAGGCAGTATGAACGTATATATCTTTAACATATAACATATACTTGTGTAAATTTGTGGGATTGATGCACTTGATGTGGGCCTTTTTAACATGTCCTAATATATATAGAGAATATCATATGGCTTTTTCAATATCACAACTCTATCAACATGAGACACCAGTATAATCCTAAGAGCTCTGCTTGAGGGATTATATTGGTTGAGGGTTGATATGGTGTGTGATATTGAAAAAGCCATATCATATACACTTTATTATATACATGTACCTCAAGTACAACTTATCTTTCTTATGTATTTTTCACGAGACATGATGTAATACATATTAGGGGTTTGATAAAGCTTTTGTAACCGTGACTGATATCGATTACGTGACGTCATACAGATTAGAGGTTTGATAAAGCCTTTGCAACCGTGACTGATATCGATATCATCAGGGATGGTTGATACAGCACCATTGTCATCATTTGTATTACACATACAGTTTACCTGTATTTACTACTAATAATACTAGTCATTTTTGGGGCCCTTTATAGCTTGCTGTTCGGTGTGAGCCAAGGCTCTGTGTTGAAGACCGTACTTTGACCTATAATGGTTTACTTTTATAAATTTTGACTTGGATGGAGAGTTGTCTCATTGGCACTCATACCATATCTTCTTATATCTATATAATAAAACTGAAAACAACATGTTCAACAAGATATTCTGGGTGGGAACAATTTAAATACAAAGTCTGAGGGAGTGAAAGCCATGTTCTTTTTAACAACTTACATTTATGAGGGTGGTAAAGGGTTATTTTCGTGCAACGTGTTTGCCATTTTAATTTCACGTGCAGCCGTGAAAAGTGTTCGTTATTCACTGTGTTTCATGAAATCGGTAAAAAGATCAATGTGCAAGAAATTTTTAATTGTTCGTTCATCGTGAAATGGCAATTTTATTTCGCGTTCTTCCGTGCAGATATCCCCCCTTTCATGCCTTTACGCCCCTCATTTATTTACAAGCAAAATTTATCCAGGTTAATCAATGAACTGCAGTCAGCAGGGTTTAAGAACATTTGTTGTCCGACCTGTTAGTCAAATGCGTTTTGTTAAAATATACTTTTTCACTTTTTTGGTCTTTTGGAAAATGTTGTTTGTGCTGTATTTAGACCCCTCTAACAAGAAATTTGTTTTGCATGCACACGTATAAAAATTGTGGTTTTTATCCAACGCAATCATAGGTTTGAACGTTGTTTTCAATTTAGACTTGTATATTTTTATATATATATATACGGAGTAAAAAAATTAGCAACATATATAATTTAATTAAAAACTTTGAAATAAACATTTACAAAGTTGAGTTTATAAAATGAATAATTTTCAATATTATTTTGGTCAGTTAAGAATAAGCATTGTATGATATTTTTTTCTCCGTAACAATAACATGAATAATTTATTCATTATAATGTTTAGAGAAAAATTCATTTTTTAAATTTGATATTCATAACATTTGTTACTTATTGTTTTTCTAAGTATATATGGTCTATTTTACTGAATCACACTTTGCCTGTGTTGTGATGTATACATGTACAAGTTATGTACATGTAGCGTAGGTCATATCCTTGGCTTTCAAATTTTTGGGTTTGAGAATTCCTGATAACGAGAAATCTAGGAAAGAGCTTTGGATGCACAATATTTATAAAGAGTTATTTCAACTTTAAGAGACAATTTTTAATTACCATTTTCAATTTCTGCTCCATTCTGCAAAGCAATTTTCTTCAGCAGTTTTGTTCCTTTAGCTCTCTGACCACTAATAAATAAATATCTTGGTGACTCCTCTCCCAACAGTAAAGCTATTCCACATACTGCTACTGATGGGGCCGCACAAGCTCCAAGCAATGTCTGCCATCCATATTTTGGTAGAAGCCACCAAGCTAGTCCCCCTGTTAAGATAGCACCTAATGCACCACAGAATGTTATAGCTACCATGACTGCTCCCCTGTTCCTTCTGGGCAGGAATTCTGTAAAAAATATGACAAAATAGGGGTGAAGTTATTCATTTACAGTCTTCAGGGATGATTCTACTATACAGTTTAGGGCCGCTTAGCGGCCCTTAAATCGGCCGGCAGCCCCAAAAAAATGTATGTGAATATAAATTCCCAATTCAGGAAAAATAAAATAAAAATCGATATTTCCGGAAATGTTTCCGTCATCGATTTAGGCAACTATAATTTTTCATAGTTTGTCGTCAAAACGTTTTAAAATCAGGATAAGAATTCTATATTTTATCAGGCTCTATTTCCGCAAAAGTCATAAGTTTGAGCGTTTTTGAAAATACACATTCATGAAATTATTAATATGATGTCGACATTATGGAACTGTTTCAAAAGTTGTGAAGATGATCAATAAAAATATTAAAATACAATGGTTCAATGCTTTAATTTCCTGTTTCTTAGAGTGACACCAAAAGTTAAACTATGGCAACCTTCTACATATTAAACAGCAAGCAAAAATCACAAATTTAAATATCTTATCAATTATAAAGTATATAAACTTTCATAAAAGCTTTTCTGAATATGACAATTGGCCAGTACAATTTGAAATCACTTTGAATCAAGGTAAATATATAAAGATGATCTGTTGTTGAAAAAAATACTCAAATGGATGATTTTTTCAGTGGTTTATGTTAGCTGACATATATATTATTGTAAAAGGCCTAGGTTACCATAGCTACATTGTAAGATGCAAGCCTACAAAAGTTGGTGTATCATGTGCAATGATCTTTTAATGTAACAACTTCCCTGGTCTCAATCAAATAACTGTCAAGCTATCTGGTTATCACATACGATATATACATTATATTCAGTAGCCTATCCAGAATCATTCAAAATGTTACCACTTCTTACATCAGTGTACAGATGAAACTTAATATACATTTTCTGTTTTTACAGGAAAATAATGTTATTTCATCTTAGATTTTATGCATAAAAAAATCCCAATTGGGATAAAAATTCCCAATTTGATGGTAAAGGGACCCATTTGAAAACAGCTGGAATCATCCCTGGTCTTCAATCATTTGTCACTGTTAAATTAGATAATGGTAGAAATGCCCCAAAAAAAAATTAAGAAAACAATAAACTAATTTTGTTCACATAAATTCAAAATACCTCCCTCCTCCATTTATTTATAAAATGCTCCGCTGGGGCGCAGCTTGATACGACCGCAGAGGTCGAACCCTGAACAGTTGGGGCAAGTATGGACACAACATTCAAGCTTGATACAGCACTGAATTTGGATTGTAATTAAATATTTGACACAGCATAGGTTTCTCACACAGAATGAAAGTGGTCTAAGAACTTAAAATTTTTTAATTTACCTATTCAAACCATATCATTATTATTTGCTTTTATATATAAATCAGAAATAACCAATTTAAAATGGAAAATTTTAAAGAAAAAAAATGAAAAAAAAATCCCCCCCTAATTTTTTGAACCCCCTTATGATTCATCACTCCCAAACTCAATCCCAGCTTTCCCTTTGTGGTATGGTACCTTGCAGTACAATTTCATGGAGATCCATACACTTGAACACAAGTTATTGTCTGGAAACTAGAAAAATGCTTGTTTTTTGGCCCCTTTTTGGCCCCAAATTCCTAAACGTTTAGGGCAATTACCCCCAAACTCAAACCCAGCTTTCCCTTTGTGATATGGAACCTTGCAGTACAATTTCATAAAGATCCATACACTTACACACAAGTTATTGTCATGAAACTAGAAAAATGCTTGTTTTTTTGCCCTTTTATGGCTCCTTATTACTAAAATTTTGAGGGAATTACCCCCAAAATCAATCCCAGCCTTCCCTTTTTGGTATGGTACCTTGCAGTACAATTTCAGAGAGATCCATACATTTGAACACAAGTTATTGTCTGGAAACTAGAAAAATGCTTATTTTTGGCCCTTTTTTGGCCCCAAATTCCTAAACTTTTTATGGCAATTACCCCCAAACTCAATTCCAGCTTTCCCTTTGTGATATGGAACCTTGTAGTACAATTTCATAAAGATCCATACACTTACACACAAGTTATTGTCCTGAAACTAGAAAAATGCTTGTTTTTTGCCCCTGTTTGGCCCCTAATTCCTAAAATTTGGAGGCAATTACCCCCAAAATCAATCCCAGCATTCCCTTTGTGATATGGAACCTTGTGGTATAATGTCAGAGAGATCCATACACTTACACACAAGTAACATGTCTGGAAGTTACAAAAATGCTTATTTTTGGCCCCTAATTCCTTATCTGTGGGTACCATAACCCCCAAAATCAATCCCCACCTTCCTATTGTGGTATTGAACCTTATGGTAAAATTTCATTGAGATCCATTCACTTAAACAAAAGTTAGAGTGCAAAAACTAATGTTTCATCGGACGACGACGACGACGACACCAACTTCATACCAATATAATCGTAAAAAATTTGTACATATTGTTAATTAAGAATATTATTAATTGGGTCTCATTGGGGTATAATTGTGATCGGGGATTGGCCAATTTTTTGTAAGCGTGACACATGAAAACGGGAAACGAAGTCGGACGGGAGAATTGAAATTACAAGCGCTATCATTACAATGATAAGCGGGATACAGGATTCTGATAAAACAATAATCGGGATCTGGGATCAGACCCCCCCCCCCCCCAATGAGACCCCCTATTAAATTACACAATTCTCCACTTGATTCTCTTCAATATTATCAGAAACTTGACTAAATTCATTTTTGAAGTCAGCAGAAATAGGATTCTCTTAAAAGACATAAAACACTTTTTTTTTAATAACTGTTGGCAAGGCAATCAAATATACATGTCATGCATGATGGGTTGGTCTTTAGTAAAAAAAAAAAAAAGACATTTGCTAAAACATGAAAGATCAATCTTTCAATTCTCCACAACAGTAAACAGTCAGAGGTGCTATTCTCCACCATAGTAAACAGTCAGGGGTGCTATTTTATCAAGTTATCATTTTTAATAACCTATATTTAGGAGATAACTTTATTGTATTTTAAGCTTGTATTTCGTAAAATGTAGATTTTACTGTCGCAAATTGAGTTTACCTAGTGACGTGAAGCGGAGCTAGATAAACGGATATTTGCGACAGTAAAATCAAGTTTTACGAAAGGCCAAGCTTAAAATACAATACAGTTATCTCCATTCTAATGCCACATATTAAAATTAAAGAACCTTAGTGAGCGCACTCACATACCCCACGTCCTCATTTTGTCATTAGTAATAAAATATGTGTAAGAAAAAAAATTGTATAAGAAAAAAAAATTGAATCATAATTTCCTGTCGATATGCACATCTACATAGTATGTCCTTATTATCTACAAAGTTTCATGAAATTCTGTTGTGTGGTTTCAGAGGAGTTGCGATGACAAACTGTTGCAGTAGTACATTGAAGCAAATAAGTTCAAAGGGGCGTAACTCCTAGAAAAAAAATTGAACCATAATTTCCTGCTGATATGCACATCTACATAGTATGTCCTTATTATCTAAAAAAGGTTTCATGAAATTCTTTTGTGTGGTATCAGAGGAGTTGCGATGACAAACTGTTGCATAGTACATTGAAGCAAAAAAGTTCAAAGGGGCGTAACTCCTAGAAAAAAAATTGAACCGTAATTTCCTGTCGATATGCACATCTACATAGTATGTCCTTATTATCTAAAAAGGTTTCATGAAATTCTGTTGTGGGGTATCAGAGGAGTTGCGATGACAAACTGTTGCATAGTACATTGAAGCAAATAAGTTCAAAGGGGAGTAACTCCTAGGAAAAAAATTGAACCGTAATTTCCTGTCGATATGCACATCTACATAGTATGTCCTTATTATCTAAAAAGGTTTCATGAAATTCTGTTGTGTGGTATCAAAGGAGTTGCGATGACAAACTGTTGCAGTAGTACATTAAAGTAAATAAGTTCAAAGGGGCGTAACTCCTAGGAAAAAAAATTGAATCGCAATTTCCTGTCGATATGCACAACTACATAGTATGTCCTTATTATCTAAAAAGGTTTCCCGAAATTCTGTTGTGTGGTTTGAGAGGAGTTGCGATGACAAGAAACAGGACTGACGGACTGACAGACTGACGGACAGACGGACGGACGGACGGACGGGTCAAAAACATTATACCCTCCGCAACTCGTTGCGTGGGGTATAATAAATTGCATTTAATAAATATTTTTGTTTAAAAATGCCATAAATGAAAAAGTCCATGAAACTGTTGCATAGTCTTTAGCATCTAATCAAGATGACGTCATATGCATACTCCGGATGTCAAATATAAACACTAAACAATAGTATTTATACTTTTCGTACGCTTCTGAATGGTTTCAATATTGACAAAAAGAGGATTTTGAAGGCACAAAGTGTGACTTTCTTGTTTATTTTCTGAGAAATTGCATACCAAAAAAATTCGTAAGGGTTCCACGGAACCCAGTGTCTCGCCTACTTTTTCTGTTAATCGCAGGCTCAACAAAAATGAGGAAGTAAATCAATAAAAATATTCCTCTTGATACTATCTTTTGATTGTAAGAAGCTTCTGTCCAAGTTTGGTAAAATTCCAGGATAGTTTATGAATCTAATAAATGTTTAAAAACTTTAACTGCAGACTGAATGTAATGTTAACTGGAAGAAAACAAAATTTCCTTCTAGATACTAGCATTTGATCATAAACAAGCTTCTTTCCAAGTTTGGTACAAATCCAAAATAGTATAAGAAAGTTATTAAAATTTTAAAAACTTTAACCACAAAGTGAATATGTTGTTTCCTGGCAGAAAATCTAAGTCCATTTAAAAGTAAAATACTGAAAAAATAGATTTATTTTTTTACAAAATTTCCTTCTAGATACTAGCTTTTGATCATAAACAAGCTTCTGTCCAAGTTTGGTACAAATCCAAAATAGTATAAGAAAGTTATTAAAATTTTAAAAACTTTAACCACAGAGTGAATGTGTTGTTTCCTGGCAGAAAATCTAAGTCCATTTAAAAGTAAAATAAGGAAAAAATGGATTTATTTTTTTACAAAATTTACTTCTAGATACTATCTTATGATCATAAACAAGCTTCTGTCCAAGTTTGGTACAAACCCAGGATAGTTTAAGAAAGTTATTAAAATTTTAAAAACTTTAACCACAGAGTGAATGTAATATTTACCGGCAGAAAAACTAAGTCCATATATAAGTAAAATACGGAAAAAATGGAATTTTATTTTTACAAAATTTACTTCTGGATACTATCTTATGATCATAAACAAGCTTCTGTCCAAGTTTGGTAGAAATCCAGGATAGTTTAAGAAAGTTATTAAAATTTCAAAAACTTTAACCACAGAGTGAATATTTGTGGACGCCGCCGACAACGACGACGCCGACGGAATGTAGGATCGCTATGTCTCGCTTTTTCGACTAAAGTCGAAGGCTCGACAAAAAACCAGAACGTGGAATCTAACCCTTCAAAAATATTTGTCAATGTCCAATGAAAATTATCATTACAAAGGAATAGCATTAGAATATCATGATTAAATATATAAGAACAAGAGTGCACACGCTGAAATGTCTCGCCTTCTTTACTAATCATTGATATTATGTTGATAGTCCTAATATAAAGCTTTATTACAACTGTCACATAAACTTAACATTAACCAAGTAAACTAAACATTGACCAATGAACCATGAAAATGAGGTCAAGGTCAGATAAACCATGCTAGGCAGACATGTACAGCTGACAATTCTTCCATACAACAAATATAGTTGACCTATTGCTTATAGTTTAAGACAAGAGTGCACACGCTGAAATGTCTCACCTTCTTTACTAACCATTGATATTATGTTGATAGTCCTAAATATAAAGCTTTATTACAACTGTCACATAAACTTAACATTAAGCAAGTAAACTAAACATTGACCAATGAACCATGAAAATGAGGTCAAGGTCAGATGAACCATGCTAGGCAGGCATTTACAGCTAACGATTCTTCCATACAACAAATATAGTTGACCTATTGCTTATAGTTTAAGAAAAACAGACCAAAACACAAAAACTTTACACTGAGCAATGAACCTTGAAAATGAGGTCAAGGTCAAATAAAACCTGCGTGACTGACATATAGATCATAAAATATTTCCATACACCAAATATAGTTGAACTATTGCATATAGTATTAGAAAAAAAGACCAAAACTCAAAAACTTAACTTTGACCACTAAACCATGAAAATGAGGTCAAGGTCAGATGACACCTGCTAGCTAGACATGTACACCTTACAATCATTCCATACACCAAATATAGTAGACCTATTGCATATAGTATTAGAAAAAAAGACCAAAATTCAAAAACTTAACTTCGACCACTAAACCATGAAAATGAGGTCAAGGTCAGATGACACCTGCCAGCTAGACATGTACACCTTACAATCATTCCATACACCAAATATAGTAGACCTATTGCATACAGTATAAGAAAAACAGACCAAAACACAAAAACTTAACTATAACCACTGAACCATGAAAATGAGGTCAAGGTCAGATGACACCTGCCAGCTAGACATGTACACCTTACAATCATTCCATACACCAAATATAGTAGACCTATTGCATACAGTATAAGAAAAACAGACCAAAACACAAAAACTTAACTATAACCACTGAACCATGAAAATGAGGTCAAGGTCCGATGACACCTGCCAGTTGGACATGTACACCTTACAGTCCTTCCATACACCGAATATACTAGACCTATTGCTTATAGTATCTGAGATATGGACTTGACCACCAAAACTTAACCTTGTTCACTGATCCATGAAATGAGGTCGAGGTCAAGTGAAAACTGTCTGATGGGCATGAGGACCTTGCAAGGTACGCACATACCAAATATAGTTATCCTACTACTTATAATAAGAGAGAATTTAACATTACAAAAAATGTTAACTTTTTTTTCAAGTAGTCACTGAACCATGAAAATGAGGTCAAGGACATTGGACATGTGACTGACGGAAACTTCGTAACATGAGGCATCCATATACAAAGTATGAAGCATCCAGGTCTTCCACCTTCTAAAATATAAAGCTTTTAAGAATTTAGCTAACGCTGCTGCCGCCGCCGCCGGATCACTACCCCTATGTCGAGCTTTCTGCGACAAAAGTCGCAGGCTCGACAAAAAACAGACCAAAACACAAATACTTAACACTGAGCAATGAACCTTGAAAATGAGGTCAAGGTCAAATAAAACCTGCGTGACTGACATATAGATCATAAAATATTTCCATCCAACTATAGTTGAACTATTGCATATAGTATTAGAAAAAAAGACCAAAACTCAAAAACTTAACTTTAACCACTGAACCATGAAAATGAGGTCAAGGTCAGATGACACCTGCCAGCTAGACATGTACACCTTACAATCATTCCATACACCAAATATAGTAGACCTATTGCATACAGTATAAGAAAAACAGACCAAAACACAAAAACTTAACTATAACCACTGAACCATGAAAATGAGGTCAAGGTCAGATGACACCTGCCAGCTAGACATGTACACCTTACAATCATTCCATACACCAAATATAGTAGACCTATTGCATACAGTGTAAGAAAAACAGACCAAAACACAAAAACTTAACTATAACCACTGAACCATGAAAATGAGGTCAAGGTCCGACGACACCTGCCAGTTGGACATGTACACCTTACAGTCCTTCCATACACCGAATATACTAGACCTATTGCTTATAGTATCTGAGATATGGACTTGACCACCAAAACTTAACCTTGTTCACTGATCCATGAAATGAGGTCGAGGTCAAGTGAAAACTGTCTGATGGGCATGAGGACCTTGCAAGGTACGCACATACCAAATATAGTTATCCTACTACTTATAATAAGAGAGAATTTAACATTACAAAAAATGTTAACTTTTTTTCCAAGTAGTCACTGAACCATGAAAATGAGGTCAAGGACATTGGACATGTGACTGACGGAAACTTCGTAACATGAGGCATCCATATACAAAGTATGAAGCATCCAGGTCTTCCACCTTCTAAAATATAAAGCTTTTAAGAAGTTAGCTAACGCTGCTGCCGCCGCCGCCGGATCACTATCCCTATGTCGAGCATTCAGCGACAAAAGTCGCAGGCTCGACAAAAAACAGACCAAAACACAAATACTTAACACTGAGCAATGAACCTTGAAAATGAGGTCAAGGTCAAATAAAACCTGCGTGACTGACATATAGATCATAAAATATTTCCATACACCAACTATAGTTGAACTATTGCATATAGCATGTATAGTATTAGAAAAAAAGACCAAAACTCAAAAACTTAACTTTAACCACTGAACCATGAAAATGAGGTCAAGGTCAGATGACACCTGCCAGCTAGACATGTACACCTTACAATCATTCCATACACCAAATATAGTAGACCTATTGCATACAGTATAAGAAAAACAGACCAAAACACAAAAACTTAACTATAACCACTGAACCATGAAAATGAGGTCAAGGTCAGATGACACCTGCCAGTTGGACATGTACACCTTACATTCCTTCCATACACCGAATATACTAGACCTATTGCTTATAGTATCTGAGATATGGACTTGACCACCAAAACTTAACCTTGTTCACTGATCCATGAAATGAGGTCGAGGTCAAGTGAAAACTGTCTGACGGGCATGAGGACCTTGCAAGGTACACACATACCAAATATAGTTATCCTATTAATTATAATAAGAGAGAATTTAACATTACAAAAAATCTTCACTTTTTTTTCAAGTAGTCACTGAACCATGAAAATGAGGTCAAGGACATTGGACATGTGACTGACGGAAACTTCGTAACATGAGGCATCCATATACAAAGTATGAAGCATCCAGATCTTCCACCTTCTAAAATATAAAACTTTTAAGAAGTTAGCTAACGTCTTAACGCCGGATCATTATCCCTATGTCGAGCTTTCTGCGACAAAAGTCACAGGCTCGACAAAAATTACTCAAATGATAAATCATTTTTGATAACCTTTATTAAATAACTAAGTCTGTTATTCATGTTATTGTACTTAATATGATAATAACTGCCTGTGCTGTATAAAAGTGTCAACTTGGCCAATACAGAATAAGTCGGTAAATATTGATTTTTTTCAAATTGGCAGAGTTCTGATCCAGCCAAATTCGCCCAATACAGGATTTAGGAATGTCTCTGTTTTTTTTTTCAGATCGAAAGTGATGATGTACACCAACTTAGTGTAAACAGTCATTTGGAAGACGCTGTTTTATTCACATACTATAAACATGACGAAACGTTCAGTCTGGCAAATATTTCAGGCTGAAGACAGGCACATTCATTTAAAAAAGCTCTTTGTAACATGTGTAAGCAGACAATTTAACCATTTCACTCAGGTTTGGACAATGAGTCTGTAGATTATCACTCATTTCTTGTGGACCTCATAACTATTTAAAACATTTTATCAGTTTAATAGGTGCAAATTGATTGCCTTTTTACTTTTGCTTCTCATGTTTTTGTAAGGTGTCATTTATTTCTCAACACAAACCAGGCATATGCATTTTTGAAGGGTGACCAGTAATTGTTGAAGTATTTATTATTTGGTCTATGGATAGTTGTCTTATTGGCAATTATATTCAACGTTATTATTTATTAAATCCTTTTGTTTCTGCATCTCTTACGCAATTGAAGAACCTTTCCAATTACTATTTATGTGATGCGTCAAAATATGAATTGTAGAACTTTATAGTGACTTGAAAGGGTGAACAAATCATCAGAAAATGTAAAGACATCTCCCTGTTTCCATTCTCTATTTTATTTTGAAACAGTACCAGATCATTTGACGTTGGAGCTTATAAAAGGACACTGGCATTTGGATAGTTCCATTTCAAGGTAAAAAATGTTAAAATCTTGTGGAAATAAAAAAAACAACAAAAAAAAACAAAACAGGCAAACACTGTAGTCAGTTAATAAACATGATAAAGATATGACAGTCAGGAGTACTACTTGTACAAGTCATTTTGATTTACTTGGAGAAGTAAATATTAATCATGTTAATATACTTATATTAAGTAAAATTGTAAGATACTTAAAAACAAGTGTATTTTATTTACTTGTATAGGTAAATTATTTTAATGGCTTAGTTATGTCCCTTATACATTCAGATTTGTTTTACTTATAAAAGTAAAAAAGTCATACTATCTTCTTTTCTTGAATTTCTCAGGACTTCTTTGCTCTATTAGAATTTTTAATTGTCTGTCCTTTGCAGATGTCTTTACTAATCATTGCTAATTATTTAAGCGTAATTTCATGGACAATGAAAATCTCATTTGAGATGTAAAACAATATCAGAAAGACAACTATAACCTTGGACAAAATGCTGTTAAATAAAATAACGTACACAGGTAAATAAAAATAATTTTGTTGTAAGGAGTACATGGAGTACGGAAATATTTTTCATAAAATAAATAAATTTGTTGTTCATAATACGAGAACAGAAGTGAAAATTTATCGTCATACTAAATACTTATCAAAGGTGGTATATATTAAAAATAGTGAGACGAGATATAACACAAAATGAGTAAACATCAAATAACAAAAATGCATTACAAATTGTATCAACAGGTCAAATAAACACGAAAGTACGATTTTAGAGTACTCGCAGTTACTGAAAGCTAGTTAAAAGCCAATAAATTGCTTCGCCTAGTGCAGCTGGATACGACCGCAGAGGTCCAATCATGAACAGTTGGGGCAAAAATGGACACAATATTCAAGCTTGATACAGGTCTGAATTTGGATTGTAATTAAATAGTTGACACATAATAGGATTGATACAGAATAAATGTAGTCAAAGAACTTGAAATTTGTTATATAATTTGAATTTATTTTCAATTGAAGACTTCTTGCTTTTGTGCAATACACTGTGCTGTTGCGCAATACTTAGTAAATCTGTTTTCAGACTATATACAAAGAATTAGCAAAATAAATTGTGACCCCCCAATTTTTCTTTGGAAAATTGACAATTTCTTCAATCTTGAGGGAAAAAAAAATTGACCACCCTAAAAAAAATTGTTTGACGACGTGATAGCATTATACGACCCCACAAATTTTTTGCGGTCGTATAAAAACAATAATAAAAAATCATGCATCAGAGACTTCAATAAACTAAAACACCTCCCAGGGATTTAGTGTTCTAACGTCATGGACAGTCAAAAAAGACATGACTTGTGCAATGCCAAAAGCAAAGCATGATTTTACATCCCAAAACATGAGAATTTTAGGGATTGTAAACAAAATTTACTTATACAAGTAAATTTTTTCAGAAGATTAAGGGGAGATTATTCAAACTTTATAAGAAAATATGAATATAACAAATTTATTTATATAAGTATATTATTATTTACTTCTTCTAGTAAATAAAATTAACTTGTACAAGTAGTACCCCCGACTATGTCATTACATGGTTATTTCTGTATTGGCCTTGTTATTGGTCCTTGGCCAGCTGCATTGGCCTTCAGCTTAGTCTCAGGCCAATACAACCAGTCTCAGACCAATAACAAGGCCAATACATAAATAATCATGTAATAATCGGAAACATCACTACAAAGGCAAACAAAAAATTAGGCTTTATATGACGGAATCTTGGTAAATGCCCAATGAATATAAAGGGTCAGGCATATATAACCCTTGTTGGACCAACACTAGAATAAGCTAGCAGTGTCTGGGACCCACATCTCCAAAAACACATACAACAACTGGAAATGGTCCAAAGGAGAGCAGCCATATTCATCAGGCATGAGTATTCTCGAGACCCAGACATAGTAACATCTTTATTAGAGGACCTAAAACTACCACAACTACAGGAGAGACAAAAAAAATCACGTCTACTCCTTTTTCACAAAGTAATCTACCAACTTAAATAATGCTAATTGCAATCCCAAGTCCAGAATACTTGATGACACCAGCAAGAATGACGTGTCAGTTCCATCAAAGACAATTTCTCAGATTAGGATCAATTTCTGAACAACGAAAACATAGCTTCTTCGTAAGGACCATCACAAACTGGAATGAACTACCGCCTAGCCTATTGGACATTGATGACTATGAGGCATTCAAGACCAACCTCATATCACACAAATATCCGTAAATCAGCACAGAAATGTTTTTATCTACACTGGCACCTATATATATATGTTAAACACCTGTACATATGATTTTAAAAGAGCACGTGTTGGATGACACTACAACTTTAATTTCAACATATTCGTGTGATGAGTCAACCGACTCTTTATGGATTACCCATATGTAGATCTATGTAGATGTAGATAATATCATAATATTATCATGATTATGTATATAAGAAAAATTACTCAAATGAGTTATCTTAAGTTGCAACAAATGCCTGGACAACAACTGGTTATTATTTTACGTTATTTCAAGACATAAAATTTAGAATTAAAATTGAATTCAGTATACAGAAAAGGGTAACCTTAAACAGTGTTAAAAAGAATGACAGCAATGTCACTTCTTAAGTTAGTTTATACATCGGTCTAATAATCAATAATTACAATTATATAAGGATAAACGAGCATATACATCATGTACGTTGTATTTATCAGTCAGGGGAATCACTCATTTAACATGTTTAAGTAGCAAATTAGAAATACTGTGATTTTGTCGTTTTACCATGTTTACCAAAATTTTAAACATACAGTATAAAATTGAAAATGGAAATGGGGAATGTGTCAAAGAGACAACAACCCAACCAAAGAGCAGAAAACAGCGGAAGGCCACCAATGGGTCTTCAACGCAGCGAGAAAATCCTGCAACCAGAGGCGGGCTTTAGCTGCCCCCTAAACAAAAATGTGTACTTGTTCAATGAAAATGGATGTCACACTAAACTCCAAAACATATACATGATATAAATGAACTAAAATTAAAAAACATACAAGACTAACAAAGACCAGAGGTTTATATTTATATATCTAATTATTAGCAGAATTGAAAAAAATGAAACTTTTTGCTTCTATTAAGCATGTTAAGTAGCAATGCCTTTGATACAATCATTCATCTGTAAATACTATATTTGTTGAAAAAATGCTATAATGAAGGCTTTACATAATGAACTAACATCACTTTCAACACTATTGTGCTATTTCATGGCCGTCAGTTTTTATTGGTGGAGGAAGCCAGAATGCCCAGAAAAAAAACCACAGACCTTCAGTAGGAAAACTGACAATCCTAGTCAATTAAGATTGGAGTCGAGTGCACCTACCACAAGCGGGATTCGAACTCACCCCCTCAGAGTTGACAAGAAGAAACTACAGGTATAATACTTAAACAAGTGAATTTCATGTCATTATCCCAGATTCAGTACAGGGTCATGATCGGACATGACCAGTCATCCTATAAACACAGATGTAGGTTCTGATAATTTTAGCACCTAAATTAATCCCAGGATCATTAATATTATATATTAAAAGCTACAAAATAAAATGACTTAGTCTAGTCATGCAAGTGATTTTTTTGTACTACTTAAATAGGTGTTTATTAAGAATGGCTTCTCTTATTAATCTCCCAAAATGACCACTGTACAAGCTGGTGTTTGTACTCGACCCCTGTCATAGTAAGCCACCTCTCTACTTACTGAGCTAAACATGCTCAAGGAATACCCCACTAGCAAAGCTATTAAATGGAGGTAAGATATATACATACTTAAGTAATCTCTATAATCCACAGTAAGTTTTTAAGTTGGGCTCCAAATGGGACCTGGAAGCATGATTTGTCTTGTAAAATTTCCATTGTCAGTTGTAACGGTCAAGGTTTGAAACCGGGACCCCTGGAATAGTAGCTAGTGCTCTAACTTAGCAAAAGGAGTACTCCACTAGTGCAGCTAATGGATGGCGATTATGTATGAGGGTTGTGATGGGATTACCTTCATCATGTTCATGACGAATAACGGTAAAAAATCTTGCCAAATGACATCATGGACATTAACAGTAATTTTTGGTGCATGAACATGATGAAGATAAAATGTAAATTTTCTTTATGACGGTAAAAAAAATGACTGATTTTGACGAATCACATTAAATTCTTTCCAAAAATAAAGGCAAAGGATAAATATTTGAGACATCTGACGAATCACAACAATGCACAATAGGATATTTTGACAAATCACAATAAAATTTTAACCAATGCAATTTGATGCTTAAACACTAGCTGAAAACGACTGTTTGACACTAAACAGTAAAGGGCATTTCTACCATCATGTATCTACATCGTACATGTAGGTATGGGGAAGCATCACTACATTAAAACCTACCTAACATCAAAACAAAATTCGTCGCTTCAATGCCTCCAGTTCCAATAGATACAAATGCACGTAGTATGACTAGGAATAAAAAACTGGATGCGAATGCTGATACAACACCAAATACCGCTGTAATAAATATAGCTACTAAAAATGGGATTCGCCTGCCAAAATGATCACTTATTGTTCCAAATGTGAAACACCCAATAATACTCCCTATCCTTGTTGCAACCGGCAGCCATGCGTATGTGAAATGGTCCACTTTCCATAAATCTTTGATTGGTTTGCTTAAAAATATGATAACCATCATTTCTGAACAAATTGCAAAATATGCTCCGCCAGTAACAGCCAGCATCTTCAAATTAAATTTTCCAAATTTTAAGTTGGAAAGGACGGCGTCAATGTCACTGTTTGTGCTGGAGGTTTGTGTGTTATCTTCATCATTTTTTCCGTTTTCGTCAATGCTTCTTGTTGTGTTGGAATTTTGTGTGAGTTCGCCATTGATTGTCGTCAATGTTTGATTGTGTTTGTTATATTGTTTATTGTTTTCCACCACGCTTGTCGGTAGTTCCATTAGGGGCTTATTGGTGTAAGGGACAGAAACTAGTAAGATTTTAGTTTCTTTAGCTACTATAGTAGTCTATAGTCTCAGGTCTCAGAATAAAAAAATACAAAATTTATAGGCTAATATTTCAGAAAATAGAACAAATAAACAATAGATAAAAATAAGCCAAAAAACAATGAACAAAGAATATTCACTGGACACGCTGGAGTACGGTTAAAATTAAAATAATAGAGAATAAAGTATCTATATAGAAATTATAAAGCATAGAGAAGAAATGGCTAAAAATAATAAAGAATACAGAAATAAAGGACCCCCAACCTGACCCTCATTTATTTTAGATTTGTAGTAAAAGTGCTGGTACTTTGGTGCTTTAATGGAGCCCCTTCAGTTTCAATTTACTGGATCCGTATCTGGTTGAAGCATAGAAATGAACAGTTCACAATTGGGATTCTGCATTTATCTCTTTTGTAGTATTTAGTGTTGTATCAACCGACCGAAATGATCAATTTCTAGAATCTAGATGAAAGTCAAGATATAAGTCGAGACCAGAGGCATATATACTATTTATATGTCTCTTGTGAGACTTAACTGCATCTGTGGTATTCTTTATTTCAAGTTCGTAGGGATAGATGCGATCAAAACAGTCACCAGACTTTGATTATTTAGTGAGATCTCGAGAACATCATCTCAGTAAAGGAACGTAAAGTTAAAGGACAATTATTATAGCTACTTTTTATTCTTTCAAGAAGTTCCTGTGTGAATTCTGCCTCGTTTGGGTAAAAAAACAAGTCGACAAGGAGAGGGGCACAATTGTTTCCCATTCAAATGCCGATTGTTTGTTGAAAAGCAGGACGTAACACATATGATGCCAATCAAGAAATCAAGCATCTTGATAATGTCAGTTTCACAGATTGTTTTGTTCGAACCAGGGATGCATGTATATATATATATTTATTATATACTTAGTAGTAAATACAGATAAATTGTATGTGTAATACAATCATTGGCAAGCGTGCTGTATCAGCCACCCGTGATGATATCGATATCAGCACGGTTGCAAAGGCTTTATCACACCTTTAATCTGTATGACGTCACGTCATCGATTGCAGTTACTGTTGCAAAGGCTTTATCAAACCCCTAATCTGTATGACGTCATGTCAAACTTATAATCTGTATGACGTCATTTCAAACCTCCTTATCAGTATGACGTCATGTCACATAAAAAATCATCTACGTGAGGTATATGTATATAATAAAGTGTATATGATATGGCTTTTTCAACATCACACACCGTATCAACCCTCAACCAATATAATCCCTCGAGCAGAGCTCTTGGGATTATATTGGCGTCTCGGGTTGATACAGATGTGATATTGAAAAAGGCATATGATATTCTCTATATAGTAACCAGGTAATATAGCAGCGATATCAATCAATTATTGTTTCACTAAGCTTGGATTTTTTGTTGATCTTATATTGCTGAATGTTTGTACTGTTTAGATTTATATTCTAGTACCTATAACATATTTTTCAGAGGGCAAAATTGCGATTTGGAGGTATAAAATCGGCCCTTAGATTAAATGTTTTTCATAATCATCTCTTCTATTGGGAAAATTTAATGCTGAATTTATGTACTTCAATATGAATATTTTCATTTGATGAGGTCATAATCTTTCAATCAGTTTAATTGAGGTTTGGAGCTGGTATGTCAGTAACTGCTATATATATATAGTAGCCCTTTATTAATTTATGTTGATTATTGTCATTTTGTTAAATTTCTTCTGTTACCTATTCTAACATCGGACTCGGACTTCTTTTGAACTGAATTTTACTGAGCGTATTGCTGTGTGTTTTATTATTCCACATTGGCTAGAGGTATAGGGTGGGTTGAGATCTCACAAAACATGTTTAACACCGCCGCATTTTTGAGCCTGTCCCAAGTCAGAAACCTCTGGCCTTTGTTAGTCTTGTATACTTTTTTTAAATTTTGGTTCATGATCATGTATATGTTTCGGAGCTTAGTGTGACGTCTATTTTCGCTGAACTAGTATACTTTATTGTTAAGGGGCCAGCTGAAGCCCTCCTCCGGGTGCGGGATTTTCTCGCTGTTTTGAAGACCCATGTGTGGCCTATGGGCTGCTTTCTGCTCTCAAGTCGGGTTGTAGTCTCTATGACGTTTCCATTCTCAATTTTACTTTAATAATTCACTGCAGTTTCCTAAACAGAATCATATGATGTAGTTTCATGAAACATATAGTAAAATATAAATTTGATTAATTTCACCATTGTCGGTTATCTGTATCTATCATGATTTCCAAGAATTAATATTATACGATTACTTACATCTAAAACTTATTTGCTGTTTTTTTAGCCTCTGCTGCCCAAACTGGTTGACCGAAATAAAATAAAAAAACTTTAATCTTGATAATCCAATGATCAATCTTGGTTCAAATTGGTTCAGGTGCTTAAATTCGAGAGAGAAGACATTTGAAAAAAAACATACGGAAGACGGACGCCAGGTGAAGATAATAGCTAACGTGGCCGATGGAGTTTGATAAGCTAAAATTGTAGTAGTTAAATGACAACTTCTAGTCTCTTATCTTCTGTAAGTTCGGCATTTATTAAATATACGGGTAAAGATTATACGATGAACATAAATTATCATTGAAACATATCTTCTATATATTTAAAGAATAAAAACGGTGGGAGGTTTAGCTAGCTATAAAACCATGCAGATTTAACCCACAATTTACTTCGGAAAATTACTGTACCAATTCAGGAATATGACAGTTGTTTTCCATTCGTTCTGTTGGTTGATAAAGTCCAACGTTCGACTTTGTCAATTTTATGGACTTCTCCTTTTTGTTTTGTTTTTTTTCTATTTCAATTGACATGTTGTTGTTTTTTAAATCATTAAATGACTAGGAATGCCAGTTTTCCTGCTAAAGGTCGTTGGTTCTTTCCGGGAATTCCGGCTTCCGGGCTTCGCCAATAAAATCTGGCCTCCAAATTATACCCAAAGCGTGCTGAAAGTGGCGTTAAAAATTCAACAATCAATCATTCAATCAATAATTTACTCGTACATGATACTTCTTTGTTTTTCTATGAGTGTTGACTTTGTTTGGGGGTGGGGTTTAAACTTAAAGTTTCTAAAAATCCCGATTCGCTCATTTAGGACTCTTGGGAATATCCAGGAAAAAAATCTCCTATTTTACATCTATTTAATTACATTTAATTAATTAATTAGTTAATAACACTAACACACAAAAAAGGCTTCTTACAGTTTTGCTATACTGTAAAATTGTCCAAAAAAGTAAAGAAAGGTTAACGTCGTCATTTAAGGACAGCAACTCCTATGTATACGGAGTCAACCATTTTTGGCCATTTAGATCTTGACTTGCTGATAATTTTTGCTATTTAAAGTACAGAAATTTCCTTGAAATAAGAAATTCAATTTTATGCATGCTGTTTATGACAATGCAGTTTTTGAATTGGTAAAATGGAGTCAAATCGTCATCGAAGTGCAATTACTCATACGAAGAGTTTCTCTCAGTCTACTATAGTTTTGACACCAAAACATCAAATGGGTAGTTACATTCATGAAAATGAATGGTAGCTAGATTACCATTCTGAGCATTTTTGCAATGCCAGATAATCCAGATCTACAACAGTTTTCGATATATTAAACAAATATTACTTGCATATTACCTCTATGTTCTATTTTTAGCCATGTGGCCATGTTGATTCGCAGTCGGGAGTGTCAAACACATTTTTAAAGCTACATACTCCCAAAGATCATTGTTGTCAAGTTTGACATTTTTAAAGCTACATACTCCTAATGATCAGTGTTGCCAAGTTTGACATTTTTAAAGCTACATACTCCCAAAGATCAGTGTTGCCAAGTTTGACATTTTTAAAGCTACATACTCCCAAAGCCGGATCAGTGTTGCCAAGTTTGACATTATTAAAGCTACATACTCCCAAAGATCATTGTTGCCAAGTTTGATTCAGATTGGACCAATAGTACAGAGGAATTGTTTTGTGATATTAATGGCAATGGATGGCGGACACCTTGTAATGAGAATAGCTATAATACTTTCACCGTCTAAGTCAGAACCTTCTCAGGGATTACCTTTAGTTATAACTTATGCTTTTTTTTCATTTTTAGGGAAGTTGGCATTGATGCAGAATTTTTATGGACTCTGTCAAATTTGTTCTCAAATTTTGTCATTTTAACGCCTTATTAGGTGTACAGACACTTTTCAGGACAGGGTGTCTTTTCATTTTTGTCTCGCCTTCGACGACAGTCGCGGAAAGCGAGACATAGTAATTGCTTTTCCGGCGACGGCGACGGCTGCGATAACAATTGTTAAGTTTTCAGCTGAAGTTAGTTTGATAGGAACTACTTGTGATAGATCATTGATATTTTGTAATTGAGTTGCATTACTGTCAGTACATATCAGTTTGACGACAATTTTGAGGCCCTGCCCTCAGGCCATGGTCCAGTGACTTTGAATTAATTAGCCATTTTCAATGTTAAGTTGTCTGCTTAAGTTAGTTCGATAGGAACGACTTGTGATAGATCAATTATATTGTGTATGAAGTTGCAATTACTATCAGTAAATATCAGTTTGACGACTATTTTGAGGCCATGCTTCAGTGACTTTCAATTAACTAGCAATTTTCAATGATAAGTTTTCTGCTTAAGTAAGTTTGATATGAACTACTTGCGAAAGATCAATGATATTTTCTATAAAGTTATATTACTATCAGTACATATCAGTTCGACGACCATTTCAGGGCCCTGCCCCTAGGTCATAGTCCAGTGACTTTCAATCAATTAACAATTTTCAATGCTAAGTTTTCTGATTAAGTTAGTTTGATAAGAACTACTTACAATACTCAATAGACAATATTTTCTATAAAGTTACATTGCTGTCTGTACATCTCAGTTTGTCAACCATTTTGAGGCCCTACCCACTAGTTAATCCAACGACTTTGAATTAATTAGCAATGTTGCTGTCCATCAGATCGTCTTTTTCTGAATTTTATGCCGACAGGCGAGACATACCTCTGTGTCAACAGTTAATTTTTTTTAACTTTTTGGTGTGTTATTTGGTTGCTGTACTGTGATCAGATCCTGACCTTTTACCTACTAATTTAAAAATCAACAGGGGTTTGAACTTTCCAAGGGGCATTGTTCAGCTAAGTTTGTGTCGGTTGAACATAATGTTCAAAAGACTTCAGGAAACCACTATTTCCCCAAATTTCAGTTTATCAATTGCTGTCATGAACTTTAATATAGTGACATGAAAGTATATAGGAGTCTTTTTCATTCCATGGGCTGTCATGAACGTTATAGCATATAGGAGTCTTTTTTTATCCCATGGGGCATTATCAAAACAAGTTTGGCAAAAGTTGGACATATGGTTTGAAAGATCTTCTTCTTCCAAATACTGCCCACAAGATATCATCAATATAAACTTGAATTTGTCAAAATTTCATTCTATCACCTTAACCTGTGAAATATTGACCAACATTCAATAGAAGTCTTCCTCATCCCATTGGGGCATTAGAAACAAAATGTTGTTTAAGATATTATTCATTGCCCAAAAGATTATGCAGAAACTGAACTTGATGTTGATGTCCAGACACCTAGACGGCATTCTGATTCATCATTTACTAAGAAGGGTCCTCGGTGGCCGAGTGGTCTAAGTAGTTCAACTACTGTATCACTAGCCTGTCAACACTGAAGTTGTGAGTACAACTCCAATCTTAATTGACTAGGGTTGTCAGTTTCCCAACCGAAGGTCGTGGTTCTCTCGGGCTTCCTCCACCAATAAAAACTGACCGCCACGGAATAGCCAAGTGCTGAAAATGGTGTTGTATCTATCTGATGAGTTAAGCCCTTTTCAACTGATTTTTATAGCTGTACTGTTACACCACTGTCCCAAGTTAGGTGGAGGGTTGGGCGCCCGCTAACAAATTTAACCCCGCTATATTATGTATGTGCCTGTCCCAAGTCAGGAGCCTGTAATTCAGTGGTTGTCGTTTTTTACTGTATATCATATCTGTTTTTCGTTCATTATTTTGTACATAAATCAGGCCGTTAGTTTTCTCGTTTGAATTGTTTTACATTTGTCATTCCGGGGCCTTTTATAGCTGACTATGCGGTATTGGCTTTTCTCATTGTTGAAGCCGTACGGTGATATATATATAACAGATAGATAATGGCTATGCATAATTAGATCGCTTAGGACATATAAGCTTATATGCATGATTTTATTGATTTTATATCGCCTAGTAGTACTCATAGACAGATGTAGTAACTCCAGCATGTAGCAGGCAGGAAGCTGAAAATTCGTTATTTTTACCTTTAAGTAACATTGTTTAGTGAATGTAAAGATTTTTTACTATAATGCATGCCCTGTAAATAATATTCAAAACTTTTTTATTTTTAAAAATTTTATTAATAACTTTTAAACTGTGACCCATTTTTAATGTACATAGAAGTTATTATTAGTATCTTTGCAGGGATTTAACTGTACATAATGTTATTTTTAAATAGTTAGGTATTTAATTAATAATTTTTATAAGGATTAACCAACCTTAATTCAGTAAGGTTGGTGTACTCCAACTATTGGAGGAAGATATAGAGGAAAGAAGAAGACTTATAGTTGTTAATTTCTGTGTCATTTGGTCTCTTATGGAGAGTTGTCTCATTGACAATCATACTACATCTTCTTATTTTTATATTAAACATCACTCAACTAATCAATCATTTACCATGGTGAGTTTGACTTTGTCACAATTTTGGCTTAGTAATTACTGTGGATTCATTAGTATTCATGGAATATAAATTTTCGTTGATTTCGTGGATACAGTTGAAACACGAATTTAAATGTTCAACGAATTGCAAATATTCTATAGGTTTGTATGCAGGCTATTGTTTCAGAAAAAGGGTGAAGGTTTGGTACCATTAAAACGTTTAAACCCGCTGCATTTGTTTGCACCTGTCCTAAGTCAGGAATCTGATGTTCTGTAGTTGTCGTTTGTTGATGTGGTTCATAAGTGTTTCTCGTTTCTCGTTTTTTATATAGATCAGACCGTTGGTTTCCCCGTTTGAATGGTTTTACACTAGTAATTTTTGGGGCCCTTTATAGCTTACTGTTCAGTGTGAGCCAAGGCTCCGTGTTGAAGACCGTACTTTGACCTATAATGGTTTACTTTTATAAATATTGACTTGGATGGAGAGTTGTCTCATTGGCACTCATACCACATCATCTTATATCTATTTGCAAAACTACGAAATAAAATATCCATGAAAATTGGTAGCCAAGACAATAAATGAATCCACAGTATTCAATATCAAGCAAGCTCACATACCCCAGGTAATGAGGATAAGCTCAATAGTGACTTGATGGCATAGTTTTCACTGTTTATTTTAATGTATGATTCTTTTCTGTAATGGTTTTAGACAAAACATTTTGTAGGTATGACCTTGACCTCTTTCTCAAAAAGGGTCTTCCTCTAATTGTATGTGACCACATATTCAAATACGGTTGCATATGCAGTTTTTTATTTAGTAAAACTACTTATTTGCGCTAATTTCTGTCTTTTTTTTTAGTAACTTTGATCTTGACCTTTGAGGTATTGACCTCAAAATCAATAGAGATCATATTCACATTAAACATGAACCTATATCCAAGATGGTTACAATCTGATATAGAACAACTGAGTTAGCTACCAGAAACCTCTTTTTTGCAAAAAAATTTTTATTCTTAGACCTTGACCTTTGAGGTATTGACCTCAAAATCTAAAGGGATATTCCTATAATTATACCTGACCATATATACAAGTTTAGTTGAAGTCAGATAGAAAGCAATTGAGTTAGTATCTGGAAATAGTTTTCTTGTCACAAAATTTGATTTATCTTTAGTAAATATGACCTTGACCTCAAAATCAATAGTGATCTTCCTCTTATTACTTGTGACCGTATATCCAAGTAAGGTTCTCATCCAAAATAAAGTATCTGAGTTAGCATCTTGAAACAAAATGACTAACAGAATGACTGACTGACTGACGTATTGTTTGACTGACTGAATGACTGGCTGACATATTGTCTGACTGACAATGACTGGCTGTCGTATAGTCTGACTGACTGACGTATTAACTGAAAGACTGATATAAATGACTGATTGGCTAATGTATTGACTGACTGACGGACTGACACATTGACTGACTGATGTATTGACGGAGTGACGTGTTGACTGACTGAGTGACATAATGAATGACTGACTGGCTGACGTGTTGACTGACTGAGTGACCTAATAAATGACTGACTGGCTGACGTATTTACTGACTGACTGAGTAACGTAATGAATGACTGACTGGCTGATGTATTGACTGATAGTCATGTAAAAAATCTAGACCTACTTCCCTACTATTGGCTATAAAAACAAGAGAAAGACATATTAACTTATGGATTTATTTTGTCTATTCAGATTATACATTTACATTGTACACATTGGTTCTAACAGCAATGAAACAAAAAACAAGCTTGTCGTCAGGCTATAACAAAAAGTAGCTGGTACACCTCTATCAATCTTTAATACAACAGTGTACCAAACACTGCAGGAGGAAGTTTGTATCATTGTTATCTTTATTCATATTGAATATTGGTTCCTTTAGAGGCTAATAGTTTAAACACAGTATTTTTTGTCTATAAGAACACATTTTTTCCACACAAAAAAGATGGAATACGGCTATAAATCATTATTAACAGAGAGGTTTCATACAGTGCAGAAAAGGAAACAATTCAGTAGTATTTCTTTTTTCAGAATGAATGTTAATTTTTTTATATTCTGTGGGCTAAAATTTTATATAAATTCTGATGATTTTGCATTTGAAAAACAAGTTGTTTTTTATTTCGAAACAAAAGACATACAGATTTTATTTTCATACACAAAACACGTTTATAAAAAACCTTGGTTTGGTACACTCCAGACATAAAATTATCATTTGTGTTCCAGATTTATAACCTGAGACGTGGTTCTACAACAAGCTTGTTGTGTAACGACTTTATAACAAGCAAAATGAATACATTCATTATTATAAATATTTGACAATGTTTACATTTAAAATTTGATGTATAACCATATTTGATCGGCCACAAACCATGATATTAGAGCAGAAAATTCTTACAAAAAGCAAACCAACTTCCATACAATCAACTGATTCATTCATTTAAGAAACAATTGAACAAATTGGGAATGTATATATAATATTCTTAACAAATTGAGGAAATTTTTTTCTCAAATTCCTAGTTAATTTTGTTTCTTAAAAATGTACACACCAGAAACATAAAGGATTTATTTCTGTTTTCATGAAAAATCTAATTGAAATCAAGCAAACTTACATCTAGCTAGGTTCATTTCTCCCTTCTTCCGAAGATTCTTAAGGTGGTACCAAACACCTTGACTAAAATTAATTTGGCTCGTTTAATTTTCATAAAATTTTGACAAAATATTTACTTTGACCCTTCTATAAAAATATAAAAATTTCAAAAAACTTGAACCACACACTTTATCGGAATATTTCATTGGATATATAGTAGTTTGACAAACGCTAATTTTGATCACTGAGAAGCTTAATATTTCCTTCACAACAGAACATGATTAAACGTTCAGCTGATTTTTAAAGAGTTATCTCCCTGTTGTGATATGTACCACCTTAAAGCAATATAATGAATAATAACACAAAAGTTAAATTTTGCATGGTAACATTTTTATGTTTTAATGACTATCGCCAGAAAAATGGATACTAAACAAATGTGAATAGTTATCTCAGCACATAAAAGGTACAATGACAGTTTAAACATTACCAGTATATATATATACTACTTACATCATGAACATACCGAAGACCAAAAATAGTCTTTAAAAATTGTCACGAAAAAGAAACCCTTCTTGAAGAAAAAGTACAATTTTATACGACTTACATGTGTTTTTCACTTTATAAAGTGGTGGAAAAATAAACATAGCTGTAGTCAACACAAAAATAAAACTATATAGCACTTTCTATTAATTATCTAATAATGATATACATATATAACAAGAGTTCTGTCAAATGCCTGGGATATGCTACATACATAAAATAAAAACATATTTATACACATCTATAAAGCCGACCTTAGAAAACCTTAGACGACTACATTATCTAAACTCCATTTATTGCACATAAAAATTTGAAAACTCTCCCTGCATCAAGCTGCCGTGTTGCAGCATGACCTCTGACCTATACTAAACACTACAATTTCTATAAATTAAAAAAAAAAATATAATATGTTTTAAATCTTTATTCTTGTTATTGATAATGGAAGTCAATAAACACTTCTTGTTTGACTGTACAATTGACTTTTTTCTACAAAACCATTTACCTAACTTATAATACACAAAGTTTTAATAAATTTCATTTCATTATCAAAAATTAGCTTTAAAATAATTTCCTGTTGAATTATATTTCTGGAACTTTTACAATAAAAGATGATTGATTGACTGATGTTTAACATCACTTTCAGCACTCTTGGCTACATCGTGGGGGTCAGTTTATATGGGTGGAGGAAGCCAGAGTGGCTGGAGAGAACCACCGACCTTCGGTAGGAAAACTGGCAATCCTAGTCGATAAAGTTCAGGAAAACTTAGACCACTTGGCCACTTCACTAAAAGAACATTGAATCCTAGTCAATAAAGATCGGGAGAACTTAGACCACTTGGCCACATTACTAAAAGAACATTGAATCCTAGTCGATAAAGATCGGGAGAACTTAGACCACTTGGCCACTTTACTAAAAGAACATTGAATCCTAGTCGATAAAGATCGGGAGAACTTAGACCACTTGGCCACTTTACTAAAAGAACATTGAATCCTAGTCGATAAAGATCGGGAGAACTTAGACCACTTGTCCACTTTACTAAAAGAACATTGAATCCTAGTCGATAAAGATCGGGAGAACTTAGACCACTTGGCCACTTTACTAAAAGAACATTGAATCCTAGTCGATAAAGATCAGGAGAACTTAGACCACTTGGCCACTTCACTAAAAGAACATTGAATCCTAGTCAATTTCAAAATGAAATTATCCACGACAAAGAATCTCACTGTACAGATATGGCAAAAATGTAAATAAAGATCTGATTTCTTATAATAAAGTTCTTTAAAGCAGAATTAAGCAACAAGAAATGTTAAATTAGACATGACAGTGTCTGTACAATGGCAACATCATACACCAACTTTGGCAAATAAATAAATACAACCAACACGAAGATCCTAAAGATCTGGACTTCACAATCAACAGATTACCAAGCTCATTTTTTGGAAAAATTCACCAACTGCTGTAAATTCGGAAATAATTGTGATATTTTTATTACATGTATTGCGAAAAATGTGACAGGTTCACCCACAATAATCTAAACTCGCATTTTGGATTTTTTTTATATGAATGAAGCAGATTTTTTCTCAGTATACAAAAATAATAATCACATTTTGGTCTAAAAGGACAAAATCCCAATAATAAATGCACGCAATAATTTCTAAATTTACAGTATATAATATGTGTTGTATAAACACCAACTATAGCACTTCAACAAGAGTATTTCATTCACTTCAACATAGCACAACTCTAGACATAATTTTTTTATTAAATGTCAATGAAATGAACAAAGCATTATATCATAGATTATAAATTCAAAATATATATTATAAATAAACAATGAACTAGAAAGATTAGATATTACTCTGCCCTTAATGATCCAGCAGTGTTATGAAGATGGAAAAATAACATGGAACTAACATGGATACTTGTCTTACATTCACCGTCATCAATTGTTTGACCAATAAGATGTGTGTCAGCTCACATGTATTTAAGAGGGGCCTGATGGGTTATTTTCGTTCTTTGTGATCGGCGCATTTTCGCTATCGTGATCCGTTTTGTACAGATTTTTTTTTTTTCTATATTTTCGTGATCCGTGATCATGGAAATTTATTTTCTGTGAATCGTGATTGACCAAAAAATCATCTCATGAATCGTGATGAGACCCCCCCTATCAGGCCCCTCATTTAAAGGTAACCGAAACGTCACCTGTTCTGTAAATTTACATGTATTTGATATCAGGACATTTTTACTGAGTTGATTTGCATGGTAGGACATGCATGCACAGTAGGAAACTATTAAATAAAATTGAGAATGGAAATGGGGAATGTGTCAAAGAGACAATAACCCGACCATAGAGCAGACAACAGCCTGAAGGCCACCAATGGGTCTTCAATTACCCTGTTGACTCATTAGGTCTTGCTCCATGTAGAGATTTCATATCTTCTTTTTATCTTGGTTAACATATCAAAAATAAATTTACCGGTTCATTTCCGATAAAATTACTCGTTAAGATAAATATATCCTGCCTTTAAATTGCTGAAAATTAACAGGTATTTTTATTTTCATTTAATCTTTAATAAGAATTAAAAGAGGCAAGTCGATCCTTCTCCTCATTAATTTGGTTTAAACAGATTTAAGGATTAAGTAATTACCCAAAATAAAACAAGAAAGATGTAAGCAACTAAAGGTAACAATACGACCTTCAACAATGAATATAATCATAAAGTAAGCTATAAGGGCTGTTCCATTAAAATGTATGTGGGAGGGTAGGAAGGGACTTTCAAAATATCCCTACAACCAAGAACCATTTTTTTTGGATAATTTTGCATAATGGTAATAGACGCATACTGAAAAAAGACCCATGACCCACATTCAATAACTAAAATTCCCTTCCTACCCTCCCACATACATTTTAATGGAATAGCCCTAAAAGGTCCTGACATGACAAAGTGTAATACAATTCAACAGAGAAAACCACCAGCCTGATTTATCAAAGTTCATCTTCAAATCCCTATAGAAAACTATGACACAATATTTCATACTTGATATCTTTCTTACTTTCCTGACAAATCAACACAGAATTTTACGAGGGTGGTAAAGGGTTATTTTCGTGCAACCTGTTTTGCCATTTTTATTTCACGTGCAGCCGTGAAAAAGGTTCGTTATTCACCGTGTTTTGTGAAATCAGTAAAAAGATCAACGTGCAAGAAAATTTTAATTGTTCGTTCATCGTGAAATGGCAATTTTATTTCGCGTTCTTCCATGCAGATATCCCCCTTTACATGCTACGATTGGAATCAAGATACTAATCCAAACTTCACACACAATGTGTCAAAGATTTCCCTACGTCATATATGTGACAATAGATCACTAACTTTTTTGCTATTATATAAGTTTTGTGAAAAATTAAGACTGGTCATCAATGCCCCTTTTTCCATTTCATTTTATTTCATGCCCTCTGAATGCCAATATCCATTCCAAAGTTATTGCTTGCATACATCCTCACAACTTCAATGAATTTATAGTAAACAGTTGATATCTCCATGCCCACTCAAATAATATTAACATTTAAATCTAAATCATGGTTTTTATCATTTTATAGGAAGAAGGAAAAAACTAAAATTGATAAAATTGAATTATTATCCCAATAGGACAAATTAAACATTTCAAAATGAATATTATTTTTCATTTATGACATCACACTGCAGCCTTTTAACAGATGCAGATAAACTTCAGATTCGTTTTATTTTGCCTTCTTATATTTTTAACAACAAAGCAAAGCTAAAGATGTAGATGCTCTCCTTTTTTTTATATACACAAAACTACATTAATTTATGAACAACTCAATGTTGTACATTTTTCATTGTACAAATGGAAAGTAAAAATCCTATCCAATGTCTACATGAAAAGAGTATAACAATTTTCAATGTCTACATGAAAAAAGTATAGTCCTGTTCAATGTCTACATGAAAAGAGTGTTGGCCTCTTCAATGTCTACATGAAAAGAGTATAGCCCTCTTCAATGTCTACATGAAAATAGAACAGCCCTGTCCAATGTATACATGAAAACAGTTTTACACTGTTCAATGTCTACATAAAAACATGTATAACACTGTTGGATGCCTACATTAAGATAGTCAAACTATTTTCAATGTTTCTGAAAAAAAAAAAATGCTCATCAAAGTTCTTTATCTACATGAAAACTTGTATAAAACTGTTTCATGTCTACATTAAAACATACTTATCATTTTTCAATGTTCAAAGGAAAAAAGTATAACACTGTTCATTGTCTACATGGAAAATCATTTTGTTTAAAGTACATGTAGTCTATTTCTACTTTATCACAATGCAAAAACAATATACGACCAACAGCCATCTGTTGTATGGAATGATCTATAACTGGCTCTCTAACAAATCACACAGCACGGAAGGACAGGACTCTTTACTTGATCTTATTGTTAGTCTGTACATCTGAAAACACAGGTATGCTTATTAATAAATATAACAGGTATGGTAATGGATAAATAACAGGTATGGTAATGGATACATAACAGGTATGGTAATGGATACATAACAGGAATGGTAATGGATAAATCACAGGAATGGTAATGGATAAATCACAGGAATGGTAATGGATACATCACAGGTATGGTAATGGATACATCACAGGTATGGTAATGGATACATCACAGGTATGGTAATGGATACATCACAGGTATGGTAATGGATACATCACAGGTATGGTAATGGATACATCACAGGTATAGTAATGAATAAATCACAGGTATGGTAATGGATAAATATCAGGTATGGTAATGGATACATCACAGGTATGGTAATGGATAAATATCAGGTATGGTAATGGATACATAATAGGTATGGTAATGGATACATCACAGGTATGGTAATGGATAAATCACAGGTATGGTAATGGATACATTTAACCCCGCCGCATTTTTGCGCCTGTCCCAAGTCAGGAGCCTCTGGCCTTTGTTAGTCTTGTATCATTTTTAATTTTAGTTTCTTGTGTATAATTTGGAGTTTAGTATGACGTCCATTATCACTGAACTAGTATACATATTTGTTTAGGGGCCAGCTGAAGGACGCCTCCGGGGGCGGGACTTTCTCGCTGCATTGAAGACCCATTGGTGGCCTTCGGCTGTTGTCTGCTCTATGGTCGGGTTGTTGTCTCTTTGACACATTCCCCATTTCCATTCTCAATTTTACATAACAGGTATGGTAATGGATACAAAACAGGTATGGTAATAGATAAATCACAGGGATGGTAATTCAAAAATTATGAAGACATATATTGATTAAGCACAGTTAACATCCTACAATAACTATTATTGGAAATTAAATTATTTGATCCCAAATAGCTATTTTACTTATAGTCTTAGGTACAATTTAATATATGCAAAAGCATACCCGAGATAAAAGAAGAACATGTCCATGGGACACAGATGCTCCACTTGTGAATATACCACAAATTCAGCAATTTTTCCATTTACAGAGGGACATTACTCAAGAATTATGAAAAAACGCCACCCAATTTAAACTTGATCTGTGTTCAGTGTAATAAGCATCAAGTAGCATTCTAACATTTGGTTGAGGCAAAGTATTTTTTTTCATTTATAAAGGAACATAACTAACTCGAGAACGGTGAAAGTGAAGCCACTCAAATTCTAACTTGATCCGTGTTTGGTGGTAATAAGTATTGCTTATAACTTTCATAACATTTGTTTGAGGCAAATTTAAGTTAAAGAATGGACGTACATTTTAACCTCTAAACAAATGTGTTTAAACCCTATTATTCTCAACTGGAAATATTTGTTAATTTTTCTCTTTTCAACTCCAGGATTACATTCTTGTATTGAGCATGAAAACTTAACTATGAAATTGACATAAGTGTTTAGTAACTTTACGTAGGTTACAAAAGTAGTTTCCACATGGTCTTTCGAAAAGTAAACCACCGACAAAAATTCTAACGGACCAATTACATTCAAGTATTTGTAGATATGCAACTTACCTGTGCTTGCTTATTTGGTTCAAGCCTGGCCAACATTAAGTGTATATTGATAACAAATTATTACCTGTGCTTATTCATATGATTCTAGCCTGGCCAGTATTCAGTATATACTAACAAATAATTACCTGTGCCTGTTTATTTTGTTCTAGTCTAGCCAGTATTTAGTGTACATTATAATTACCTGTGCTTGTTTATTTGGTTCCAGTCTAGCCAGTATTCAGTGTATATTATAATTACCTGTGCTTGTTTATTTGGTTCTAGTCTAGCCAGTATTCAGTATACATTATAATTACCTGTGTCTGTTTATTTGGTTCCAGTCTAGCCAGTATTCAGTGTATATTATAATTACCTGTGCTTGATTATTTGGTTCTAGTCTAGCCAGTATTCAGTGTATATTATAATTACCTGTGCCTACTTATTTTGTTCTAGTCTAGCCAGTATTCAGTGTATATTATAATTACCTGTGCTTGTTTATTTTGTTCTAGTCTAGCCAGTATTCAGTGTATATTATAATTACCTGTGCTTGTTTATTTGGTTCCAGTCTAGCCAGTATTCAGTGTATATAATTACCTGTGCTTGTTTATTTTGTTCCAGCCTAGCCAGTATTCAGCGTATATTATAATTACCTGTGCCTGTTTATTTGGTTCCAGTCTAGCCAATATTAATTGTATATTATAATTACCTGTGCTTGTTTATTTTGTTCCAGCCTAGCCAGTATTCAGTGTATATTATAATTACCTGTGCCTGTTTATTTGGTTCCAGTCTAGCCAATATTAATTGTATATTATAATTACCTGTGCTTGTTTATTTTGTTCCAGCCTAGCCAGTATTCAGTGTATATTATAATTACCTGTGCTTGTTTATTTTGTTCTAGTCTAGCCATTATTCAGTGTATATTATAATTACCTGTGCTTGTTTATTTTGTTCTAGTCTAGCCAGTATTCAGTGTATATTATAATTACCTGTGCTTGTTTATTTGGTTCCAGTCTAGCCAGTATTCCTATTTGTGCAGTTCTTGTGTACAGGATTCCAGCAGATACAAAGTTTTCAGGGTTGGGATCAATATCTAGTAACACACTCATGCTAAATCCAAGTAACTGAAACACATGTTCAATAAGTTTAAATAACAATGCTTGACCCAAGTAACTAAAACACATGTTCAATAAGTTTAAATAACAATGCTTGACCCAAGTAACTGAAACACATGTTCAGTAAGTTTAAATAACAATGCTTGATCCAAGTAACTGAAACATATGTTCAATAAGTTTAAATAACAATGCTTGATCCAAGTAACTGAAACACATGTTCAATAAGTTTAAATAACAATGCTTGATCCAAGTAACTGAAACATATGTTCAATAAGTTTAAACAACACTCCAGTGACTAGATTGCAGCTACCTTAGGCACAGCTGAATTTAGAACACCCACTTTTAGAACCACCTTTTATTTTAACAATTTTTCAGAATTTATATTTCTTCTGCAAGTTTACCAATGTAGTGTTATAGATAATGCAAATGTTGTTCGCTATGAAAGATAAGATTTTCAAGTCCTGACAGAATTATTTTCCTCAGCATACATTTTTTATAAGTCTTGATCATTATGAATGCAATAACACACATAAAGGATTAGGTATTATTCAGCTTAAAATTTATAATTTTTTTTCCTTCTGACTTTTATTTACCTTTGTTTTAACCTGTTCAATGTCCATAGGAAACTGTGCTTTAAATATTCTCTGACATTCTTGGTTAGGTCTACAAAACAAAAATAAACAAGTGAATCTGTGAGCTACTGCTCACTAATGATACCCCCACCCTGCTCAAAGTATAAGGTAAACAGGAAGTTATTGAGTGATGAATCTGAAAACGCATAACACGGTAGAGCTGACTCATATAAACTCTGAAACCAAATTTCAGAAATCCTTGTAATGTAGTTCCTGAGAAAGATGCGACGAAAAATATTCATGGGACAGACTGATGGATGGACTGACGAATGGACAGACAGAGGTAAAACAGTATACCCCCACTTTTTGAAAGCAGGGATATAAAAAAAATTCTTTAAACATGTTAAATTGAGAGCGAAAATACTAGAGGCATATTCAAACTCATATGTCAAAGACAAACTGATAGCGTCATGGCAATAAAGGAGAGGGGAGGATAGCAAAGGGATATTCAAACTCATAAGTCAAAGACAAACTGACAAAGCAATGGCAATAAATGAGGAGCATACCATAGTGATATTAAAACTCATAAGTCAATGACAAACTGACAAAGCCTTGGCAAAAAATGATCAAACAACAAACCACAGTATATAAAAAACAATAGAGAATAAAATGCTTCGCTGGGGCGCAGCTTGATACGACCGCAGAGGTCGAACCCTGAACAGTTGGGGCAAGTATGGACACAACATTCAAGCTTGATACAGCTCTGAATTTGGATTGTTATTAAATATTTGACACAGCATAGGTTTCTGACACAGAAAGAATGTGGTCTAAGAACTTGAATTTTTTTAATTTACCTATTATGGTCCAATGTCCAAAATCAAAATACATGGTTTGATTCAGCATATATATCAAAGAACCCCATATATTCAATTTTTGTTAAAATCAAACAAAGTTTAATTTTGGACCCCAACTTGGACAAACTTGAAAACTGGGCCCATAATCAAAAATCTAAACACATGTTTAGATTCAGCATATCAAATAACCCCAAGAATTCAATTTTTGCTAAAATCAAACTAAGTTTAATTTTGGACCCTTTGGATCTTAATGTAGACCAATTTAAAAAACGGGACTTAAAATTAAAAATCTAAATACACGGTTAGATTAGGAATATCAAAGAACCCCAATAATTCAATTTTTGATGAAATCAAACAAAGTTTAATTTTGGACCCTTTTGACCTCAATATGAACCAATTTGATAGCGGGGCCCACAAATAAAAAATCTAAATTCATGGTTAGATTCAGCATATCAAAGAACCCCATATATTCAATTTTTGATGAAATCAAAAAAAGTTTAATTTTGGACCCCAACTTGGACCAACTTGAAAACTGGGCCCATAATCAAAAATCTAAACACATGTTTAGATTCAGCATATCAAAGAACCCCAAGAATTCAATTTTTGTTAAAATCATACTAAGTTTAATTTTGGACCCTTTGGACCTCAATGAAGACCAATTTAAAAAAAGGGACCCAAATTAAAAATCTAAAAACACGGTTAGATTTGGCATATCAAAGAACCCCAATAATTCAATTTTTGATGAAATCAAACAAAGTTTAATTTTGGACCCTTTTGACCTCAATATGAACCAATTTGATAGCAGGGCCTACAAATAAAAAATCTAAATACATGGTTAGATTCAGCATATCAAAGAACCTCATATATTCAATTTTTGTTGAAATCAAACAAAGTTTAATTTTGGACCCCAATTTGGACCAACTTGAAAACTGGGCCCATAATCAAAAATCTAAATACATGTTTAGATTCAGCATATCAAAGAACCCCATATATTCAATTTTTGTTGAAATCAAACAAAGTTTAAATACTGGACCCTATCTTGGACCAACTTGAAAACTGGGCCCATAATCAAAAATCTAAACACATGTTTAGATTCAGCATATCAAAGAACCCCAAGAATTCAATTTTTGTTAAAATCAAACTAAGTTTAATTTTGGACCCTTTGGACCTTAATGTAGACCAATTTAAAAAACAGGACCCAAAATTAAAAATCTAAATACACGGTTAGATTAGGAATATCAAAGAACCCCAATAATTCAATTTTAGATTAAATCAAACAAAGTTTAATTTTGGACCCTTTTGACCTCAATATGAACCAATTTGATAACGGGGTCCACAAATAATAAAATGCTTCGCTGGGCGCAGCTTGATACGACCGCAGAGGTCGAACCCTGAACAGTTGGGGCAAGTATGGACACAACATTCAAGCTTGATACAGCTCTGAATTTGGATTGTGATTAAATATTTGACACAGCATAGGTTTCTGACACAGAAAGAATGTGGTCTAAGAACTTCAATTTTTTTAATTTACCTATTATGGTCCAATGTCCAAAATCAAAATACATGGTTAGATTCAGCATATCAAAGAACCCAATATATTCAATTTTTGTTGAAATCAAACAAAGTTTAATTTTGGACCCCAACTTGGACAAACTTGAAAACTGGTCCCATAATCAAAAATCTAAACACATGTTTAGATTCAGCATATCAAAGTACCCGAAGAATTCAATTTTTGTTAAAATCAAACTAAGTTTAATTTTGGACCCTTTGGACCTTAATGTAGACAAATTTAAAAAACGGGACCCAAAATTAAAAATCTAAAAACACGGTTAGATTTGGCATATCAAAGAACCCCAATAATTAAATTTTTGATGAAATCAAACAAAGTTTAATTTTGGACCCTTTTGACCTCAATATGAACCAATTTGATAGCGGGCCCACAAATAAAAAATCTAAATACATGGTAAGATTCAGCATATCAAAGAACCCCATATATTCAATTTTTGTTGAAATCAAACAAAGTTTAATTTTGGACCCCAATTTGGACCAACTTGAAAACTGGGCCAAAAATCTAAAATCTAAATACATGTTTAGATTCAGCATATCAAAGAACCCCATATATTCAATTTTTGTTGAAATCAAACAAAGTTTAATTTTGGACCCAACTTGGACCAACTTGAAAACTGGGCCCATAATCAAAAATCTAAACACATGTTTAGATTCAGCATATCAAAGAACCCCAAGAATTCAATTTTTGTTAAAATCAAACTAAGTTTAATTTTGGACCCTTTGGACCTTAATGTCGACCAATTTAAAAAACGGGACCCAAAATTAAAAATCTAAAAACACGGTTAGATTCGGCATATCAAAGAACCCCAATAATTCAATTTTTGATGAAATCAAACAAAGTTAAATTTTGGACCCTTTGGACCTCAATGTGGACCAATTTAAAAACGGGGCCCAAAATCCAAAAACTTAATACACGGTTAGATTCAGCATATTAAAGAACCCCAAGAATTCAAGAATAAAACCCCATTGAAATTGATCAAGAAATAAGCAATTTCTACGAAGTATCTTCTTTTGCACAATACTGTGCAATTGAATATTTCTTGCTATTGCGCAATACTGTACAATTGACAATTTCTTGCTATTGCGCAATATTGTGCTTTTGGATATTTCTTGCTATTGCGCAATACTGTGCAATTGAAGATTTCTTGCTATTGCGCAATACTGTGCAATTGAAGATTTCTTGCTATTGTGCAATACTGTGCAATTGAAAATTTCTTGCTATTGCACAATACTTATTATATAATAATTTACATATCCTGTTTGGTGTGTATCTCCTACCATATCATTATTATTTGCTTTTAAATATAAATCAGAAATAACCAACTTAAAATGGAAAATTTTAAAAGAAAAAAAAAGGAAAAAAAGGAAAAAAAAAAAAAAAAAATCCCCCCCCCCAAATTTTATGAACCCCCTTATGATTCATCACCCCCAAACTCAATCCCAGCCTTCCCTTTGTGGTATGGTACCTTGCAGTACAATTTCAGAGAGATCCATACACTTGAACACAAGTTATTGTCTGGAAACTAGAAAAATGCTTATTTTTGGCCCCTTTTTGGCCCCCAATTCCTAAACGTTTCGGGCAATTACCCCCAAACTCAATTCCAGCTTTCCCTTTGTGATATGGAACCTTGTAGTACAATTTCAGAAATATCCAAACACTTACACACAAGTTATTGTCATGAAACTAGAAAAATGCTTGTTTTTTGCCCCTTTTTTGGCCCCTTATTCCTAAAATTTTGAGGCAATTACCCCCAAAATCAATTACAGCCTTCCCTTTGTGATATGGAACCTTGTGGTACAATGTCAGAGAGATCCATACACTTACACACAAGTTATTGTCTGAAAGTTACAAAAATGCTTATTTTTGGCCCCTTTTTGGCCCCTAATTCCTTAACTGTTGGTACCATAACCCCCAAAATCAATCCCAACCTTCCTTTCGTGGTATTGAACCTTATGGTGAAATTTCATGGAGATCCATTCACTTAAACTAAAGTTAGAGTGCGAAAACCAATGTGTCTTCGGACGACGACGACGACGCCAACGTCATACCAATATACGACCAAAAAATTTTTAATTTTTGCGGTCGTATAAAAAATCTAAATACATGGTTAGATTCAGCATATCTTGCCCTCATGTGAAAAATGCTGTGTTGCTTATTTAAGTACAAGATTAGTAAAATTTAATGTTTGTTAGTTCGTTTTTTCTTTCTTTTTAGTTTTAATCTAGTCTTTCATGTTGCCCAATCTGATCAATTGCAAGTCATATACTGGAATGGGAAGAGTTATTTTAAAGTGTAAGCTGACTTTTATTTGGCATTGAATTCAAACATTTTAAGAGATCTAGGGAATTCACAGGAATATTAAGACATTATCAACAAGCATTCTGAGAGTATTGCATGGCAATACATAGTCCCCTACCAGTTAAACATTCATTGTACTGGAACAAAATGCTAACTTGATCTATAACTTGTCATGGTGTAAACTATATAACAAATATCAAGTCAATATCTTCAAGCAGGACGAAAAAACATCATTTGAGTGAATTTTTCTAAGTCCAAGGACCATAACTCTGCACAAAATCATCAGACCGGAACAAAATTCGAACTTGATCTGTAACTTGTCATGATAAAACTATAAATCAATTATCAAATCAGAATCTCCAAGCATGACGAAAAAAAGTGCAGAAAACTGATTATTTGAGTGAATTTTCTATGTCCAAGGACCACAACTCTGCACAATATAATCAGACAGGAACAAAATTTGAACTCATACCTGCCAACCCTCCCGTTTTGAGCGGGAGACTCCCGCTCAAATGGCGAAATCTCCCGCTTGCCGGTACCCTCCCGCGCGGGAGTATCGAATCTCCCGCTATGGGATATTTTAACCTTCAATGACAAGTCAACATTAATTACATTTTTGTCTCACTGATGAGGGTTGTTTTTACCTGTAAATCACAGACCATGTGAAATTAAATGGATTCACTTGACAGCTTGGGTGTCAAACATAGTACTAATTAACGATCATTAACGACTGTTGCTTCAAGCAAAACACTTCAAAGAAATTTCGGGTTACTTCCCCTGTTTAATCCTGTTTTAAGTTACCCTTCTTAAAATAATGTGAATTGATAAAACAATATAAACTAAATACAAATTAAACAGAGAATCATAAAAGGATGGCAATTAAAAGATTTTGTATGCCTTAAGACAAAAAAATAATTATATTTAAAAATCACTTAAAAGATCTATACTTCTGTTCAATGTTTATATTGAAATTTATAAGATATGTACTGAACCAAATTTAGTGAAGTAGATATGTGCACACACAAAATGCACCTGTAACAACATGATTGCTCTCTTATAACAAAGGTATCTGGGGTGAATATTGTCCGGAAGGGATTCAAATGTCAAAGTTGATGAAATAGGAAAGAAACAAACACACACCTTCTGTAGGATATAACCATATATAAAGAAACAAAATATATCTATTAGCTCTTATATGTGTTTCGTAGATGTATTAATAAACACGTCATATATTTCACTTGAAAATGTCGTTCGCGCAAAATCTCCCCCTCAGCTGTCATAGCTGAGAGGGTGACCTCGCTCTTTGAAGGTTTCAAAGGTTGGCAGGTATGCGAACTTGATCTGTAACTTGTCATGATAAAACAATATACCAAATATCAAATCAATATCTTCAAGCACGAAGAAAAAAAGTATGGAAAACTTATTTGCCGGACTGACGGATAGACGGACAGACAGACAGATGGACGGACAGACAGAGTGCAAACCTAAAGTCCCCTTCGACTTCCTCGGTAGGGGACTAATTAGCACTGTAAGTGGAATTTTTCTTAACTTTGTTTGTAGTGAAAAACATAATCAAAAACAATTTGCTACAAGATGCTGTTTATTGCTAAGAGTTGTACAGAACTTATACCCAATACCACTGACAGTTGGAAAGGAAAAAATCCTCTTGACCGAAATGTATATTTGCCAACAAAATTTCAAAATTTTCATGGAAACTTATTAAGAAAGAAAATTCCCCACCAATCCTTACTCTAGCAAAATGTCCACTCTTCGACATTCGTACTAATCAAAATAGAAAGAAACCAGGCTGACATGAAAAAATCATTTCAATAGAAAGAAATTCACCATTTTACCATTTATATACTTTTCTACCAAATGTGTACAGGTTGCAATTGATATTAATAGAAATAGAAAGTAACCAGATGGCCATGGATACTAATAATAACCGAGTTTGTCAATGTTTTTATTGATTTTTATTGAAATAGAAAGTAACCGGATGGCCATGGATACTAATAACCTTGTTTATCAATGTTGCTATTGATATGTATAGAAATTGATTGATTGATTGGTGTTTAGAGCCACTTTTAACACTATTGTGCTATATCGTGGCGGTCAGTTTTTATTGGTGTAGGAAGCTGGAGAGAACCAAGACTTTTTGTAGAAAAACGGACAGTCCTAATCCATTAAGATTGGAGTCGAGTACACCTGCCATGTGTGGGATTCGAACTCACAACCTCAGTGTTGACAGGCTAGTGATTCAGTAGTTCGACTACTTAGACCACTTGCATTGGCCAACGAGGCCCCTATTTATAGAAATAGAAAATAACCAGATAGCCATGGATACTAATAATAACGGAGTTTATCAATGTTGCATTTGATATTTTTTGAAAATAGAAATTAACCAGATGTCCATGGATACTAATAACAACAGAGTTTTTCTATATTGCTAGGGATAAATACAGACACACTAATACTGTAAATAAGCAATTCAATACTTACAAACTTAAAGCCTTCCACCGTGTAAAGAAAGTGGCCGAGTCCATTTCAGCTGGTTCTATAAATTTGTTGAGTATAATTGGGAGCTTCAGGTTGATTCTTTGTATAGATCCACTCATTCTGAAAAAAACATGTGTCATGTTAATAGGGGTGTATAGATCCACTCATTCTGAAACAAACATGTGTCGTGTTATTAGGGGTGTATAGATCCACTCATTCTGAAACAAACATGTGTCATGTTATTAGGGGTGTATAGATCCACTCATTCTGAAACAAACATGTGTCATGTTATTAGGGGTGTATAGATCCACTCATTCTGAAAAAAACATGTGTCATGTTATTAGGGGTGTATAGATCCACTCATTCTGAAAAAAACCATGTGTCATATTATTAGGGGTGTTTAGATCCACTCATTCTGAAACATGTTATATGGGGTGTATAGATCCACTCATTCTGAAACAAACATGTGTCGTGTTATTAGGGGTGTATAGATCCATTCATTCTGAAACAAACATGTGTCTCACTCTCACCTTGCTGTTCAGTGTGAGCCAAGGCTCTGTGTTGAAGGCCGTACTTTGACCTATAATGGTTTACTTTTTACAAATTTTGAATTGGATGGAGAGTTGTCTCATTGGTACTCATACCACATCTTCTTATATCTATTAGAGGTGTATAGATTCTGAAACTAACATGTGTCATGTTATTAGGGGTGTATAGATCCACTCATTCTGAAACAAACATGTGTCATGTTATTAGAGGTGAAACAGTATGTTAGAAATATTTTCTGTATATAGTTCAACATTTTGTGAAAGATTCGATTTTCTTAATGACCACTTTTTTTTATGATAAAAAAATTGAGAATGGAAATCGAGAATGTGTCAAAGAGACAACAACCCGATTAAAGAGCATAAAACAGCCCAAGGCCCCTAATGGGTGTTCAACATTATTTATAAATTCAAGGGGTAAAACAAGTAACCTTCTACTTTAGAAAGGAACAAGATTTTCATGACTACTTAAAAATATAAATATTCAATTTTGGAAGTTTTGAGAATTCCAATACCCATTCAATATGGATGACCAGTTTGTTTAGTCAGAGGTTTAGTTAGCTATATTTCTTTTGAAAATGCCTGTACCAAGTCAGAAATATGACAGTTGTTTTCCACTCATTCCTTTGGTTGATAAAGTTTGCTTTTATAAAAAAGAAGATGTGGTATGATTGCCAATGAGACAACTCTCCACAAGAGACCAAATGACACAGAAATTAACAACTATAGTTCACTGTACGGCCTTCAACAATGGCAAAGCCCATACCGCACAGTCAGCTATAAAAGGCCCCGAAATGACAATGTAAAACAATTCAAACGAGAAAACTAACAGCCTAATTTATGTACAAATAAAATGCTTCGCTGGGCGCAGCTTGATACGACCGCAGAGGTCGAACCCTGAACAGTTGGGGCAAGTATGGACACAACATTCAAGCTTGATACAGCTCTGAATTTTGATTGTGATTAAATATTTGACACAGCATAGGTTTCTGACACAGAAAGAATGTGGTCTAAGAACTTCAATTTTTTTAATTTACCTATTATGGTCCAATGCCCAAAATCAAAATACATGGTTAGATTCAGCATATCAAAGAACCCCATATATTCAATTTTTGTTGAAATCAAACAAAGTTTAATTTTGGTCTCCAACTTGGACAAACTTGAAAACTGGTCCCATAATCAAAAATCTAAACACATGTTTAGATTCAGCATATCAAAGAACCCCAAGAATTCAATTTTTGTTAAAATCAAACTAAGTTTAATTTTGGACCCTTTGGACCTTAATGTAGACCAATTTAAAAACGGGACCCAAAATTAAAAATCTAAAAACACGGTTAGATTTGGCATATCAAAGAACCCCAATAATTCAATTTTTGATGAAATCAAACAAAGTTTAATTTTGGACCCTTTTGACCTCAATATGAACCAATTTGATAGCGGGCCCACAAAATAAAAAATCTAAATACATGGTAAGATTCAGCATATCAAAGAACCCCATATATTCAATTTTTGTTGAAATCAAACAAAGTTAAATTTTGGACCCCAATTTGGACCAACTTGAAAACTGGGCCAAAAATCTAAAATCTAAATACATGTTTAGATTCAGCATATCAAAGAACCCCATATATTCAATTTTTGTTGAAATCAAACAAAGTTTAATTTTGGACCCCAACTTGGACCAACTTGAAAACTGGGCCAAAAATCTAAAATCTAAATACATGTTTAGATTCAGCATATCAAAGAACCCCATATATTCAATTTTTGTTGAAATCAAACAAAGTTTAATTTTGGACCCCAACTTGGACCAACTTGAAAACTGGGCCCATAATCAAAAATCTAAACACATGTTTAGATTCAGCATATCAAAGAACCCCAAGAATTCAATTTTTGTTAAAATCAAACTAAGTTTAATTTTGGACCCTTTGGACCTTAATGTAGACCAATTTAAAAACGGGACCCAAAATTAAAAATCTAAATACACGGTTAGATTTGGCATATCAAAGAACCCCAATAATTCAATTTTTGATGAAATCAAACAAAGTTTAATTTTGGACCCTTTTGACCTCAATATGAACCAATTTGATAGCGGGTCCACAAATAAAAAATCTAAATACATGGTTAGATTCAGCATATCAAAGAACCCCAAGAATTCAATTTTTGATGAAATCAAACAAAGTTTAATTTTGGACCCTTTTGACCTCAATGTGGACAAAGTTGATAATGGGGCCCAAAAATCAAAAATCTAAATACATGGTTAGATTCAGCATATCAAAGAACCCCATATATTCAATTTTTGTTGAAATCAAACAAAGTTTAATTTTGGACCCCGATTTGGACCAACTTGAAAACTGGGCCCATAATCAAAAATCTAAATACATGTTTAGATTCAGCATATCAAAGAACCCTAAAAATTCAATTTTTGTTAAAATCAAACTAAGTTTAATTTTGGACCCTTTTGACCTTAATGTAGACCAATTTGAAAACGGAACCAAAAATTAAGAATCTAAATACATGGTTAGATTCGGCATATCAAAGAACCCCAATAATTCAATTTTTGATGAAATCAAACAAAGTTAAATTTTGGACCCTTTAGACCTCAATGTGGACCAATTTAAAAACGGGGCCCAAAATCCAAAAACTTAATACTTGGTTAGATTCAGCATATTAAAGAACCCCAAGAATTCAAGAATAAAACCCCATTGAAATTGATCAAGAAATAAGCAATTTATACGAAGTATCTTCTTTTGCACAATACTGTGCAATTGAATATTTCTTGCTATTGTGCAATACTGTACAATTGACAATTTCTTGCTATTGCGCAATATTGTGCTATTGGATATTTCTTGCTATTGCGCAATACTGTGCAATTGAAGATTTCTTGCTATTGCGCAATACTGTGCAATTGAAGATTTCTTGCAATTGTGCAATACTGTGCAATTGAAAATTTCTTGCTATTGCACAATACTTATTATATAATAATTTACACATCCTGTTTGGTGCGTATCTCCTACCATATCATTATTATTTGCTTTTAAATATTAATCAGAAATAACCAACTTAAAATGGAAAATTTTAAAAGAAAAAAAATAAAATGCTTCGCTGGGCGCAGCTTGATACGACCGCAGAGGTCGAACCCTGAACAGTTGGGGCAAGTATGGACACAACATTCAAGCTTGATACAGCTCTGAATTTGGATTGTGATTAAATATTTGACACAGCATAGGTTTCTGACACAGAAAGAATGTGGTCTAAGAACTTCAATTTTTTTAATTTACCTATTATGGTCCAATGTCCAAAATCAAAATACATGGTTAGATTCAGCATATCAAAGAACCCCATATATTCAATTTTTGTTGAAATCAAACAAAGTTTAATTTTGGACCCCAACTTGGACAAACTTGAAAACTGGTCCCATAATCAAAAATCTAAACACATGTTTAGATTCAGCATATCAAAGTACCCGAAGAATTCAATTTTTGTTAAAATCAAACTAAGTTTAATTTTGGACCCTTTGGACCTTAATGTAGACAAATTTAAAAAACGGGACCCAAAATTAAAAATCTAAAAACACGGTTAGATTTGGCATATCAAAGAACCCCAATTATTCAATTTTTGATGAAATCAAACAAAGTTTAATTTTGGACCCTTTTGACCTCAATATGAACCAATTTGATAGCGGGCCCACAAATAAAAAATCTAAATACATGGTAAGATTCAGCATATCAAAGAACCCCATATATTCAATTTTTGTTGAAATCAAACAAAGTTTAATTTTGGACCCCAATTTGGACCAACTTGAAAACTGGGCCAAAAATCTAAAATCTAAATACATGTTTAGATTCAGCATATCAAAGAACCCCATATATTCAATTTTTGTTGAAATCAAACAAAGTTTAATTTTGGACCCCAACTTGGACCAACTTGAAAACTGGTCCCATAATTAAAAATCTAAACACATGTTTAGATTCAGCATATCAAAGAACCCCAAAAATTCAATTTTTGTTAAAATCAAACTAAGTTTAATTTTGGACCCTTTGGACCTTAATGTAGACCAATTTAAAAAACAGGACCCAAAATTAAAAATCTAAATACACAGTTAGATTTGGCATATCAAAGAACCCCAATAATTCAATTTTTTATGAAATCAAACAAAGTTTAATTTTGGACCCTTTTGACCTCAATATGAACCAATTTGATAGCAGGCCCACAAATAAAAAATCTAAATACATGGTAAGATTCAGCATATCAAAGAACCCCATATATTCAATTTTTGTTGAAATCAAACAAAGTTTAATTTTGGACCCCAATTTGGACCAACTTGAAAACTGGGCCAAAAATCTAAAATCTAAATACATGTTTAGATTTTGCATATCAAATAACCCCATATATTCAATTTTTGTTGAAATCAAACAAAGTTTAATTTTGGACCCCAACTTGGACCAACTTGAAAACTGGGCCCATAATCAAAAATCTAAACACATGTTTAGATTCAGCATATCAAAGAACCCCAAGAATTCAATTTTTGTTAAAATCAAATTAAGTTTAATTTTGGACCCTTTGGACCTTAATGTAGACCAATTTAAAAAACGGGACCCCAAATTAAAAATCTAAATATACGGTTAGATTCGGCATATCAAAGAACCCCAATAATTCAATTTTTGATGAAATCAAACAAAGTTAAATTTTGGACCCTTTGGACCTCAATGTGGACCAATTTAAAAACGGGGCCCAAAATCCAAAAACTTAATACACGGTTAGATTCAGCATATTAAAGAACCCCAAGAATTCAAGAATAAAACCCCATTGAAATTGATCAAGAAATAAGCAATTTATACGAAGTATCTTCTTTTGCACAACACTGTGCAATTGAATATTTCTTGCTATTGCGCAATACTGTACAATTGACAATTTCTTGCTATTGCGCAATATTGTGCTATTGGATATTTCTTGCTATTGCGCAATACTGTGCAATTGAAGATTTCTTGCTATTGCGCAATACTGTGCAATTGAAGATTTCTTGCTATTGTGCAATACTGTGCAATTGAAAATTTCTTGCTATTGCACAATACTTATTATATAATAATTTACACATCCTGTTTGGTGTGTATCTCCTACCATATCATTATTATTTGCTTTTAAATATAAATCAGAAATAATCAACTTAAAATGGAAAATTTTAAAAGAAAAAAAAAAGGAAAAAAAGAAAAAAAAAAAAAAAAAAAATCTCCCCCCCCCAAATTTTTTGAACCCCCTTATGATTCATCACCCCCAAATTCAATCCCAGCCTTCCCTTTGTGGTATGGTACCTTGCAGTACAATTTCAGAGAGATCCATACACTTGAACACAAGTTATTGTCTGGAAACTAGAAAAATGCTTATTTTTGGCCCCTTTTTGGCCCCCAATTCCTAAACGTTTCGGGCAATTACCCCCAAACTCAATTCCAGCTTTCCCTTTGTGATATGGAACCTTGTAGTACAATTTCAGAAATATCCAAACACTTACACACAAGTTATTGTCATGAAACTAGAAAAATGCTTGTTTTTTGCCCCTTTTTTGGCCCCTAATTCCTAAAATATTGAGGCAATTACCCCCAAAATCAATTACAGCCTTCCCTTTGTGATATGGAACCTTGTGGTACAATGTCAGAGAGATCTATACACTTACACACAAGTTATTGTCTGAAAATTACAAAAATGCTTATTTTTGGCCCCTTTTTGGCCCCTAATTCCTTAACTGTTGGTACCATAACCCCCAAAATCAATCCCAACCTTCCTTTCGTGGTATTGAACCTTATGGTGAAATTTCATGGAGATCCATTCACTTAAACTAAAGTTAGAGTGCGAAAACCAATGTGTCTTCGGACGACGCCAGACGACGCCGGACGACGACGACGACGACGACGACGACGCCAACGTCATACCAATATACGACCAAAAAATTTTTAATTTTTGCGGTCGTATAAAAAGGAAAAAAAGAAAAAAAAAGAAAAAAAAAAAATCCCCCCCCCCCCAAATTTTTTGAACCCCCTTATGATTCATCACCCCCAAACTCAATCCCAGCCTTCCCTTTGTGGTATGGTACCTTGCAGTACAATTTCAGAGAGATCCATACACTTGAACACAAGTTATTGTCTGGAAACTAGAAAAATGCTTATTTTTGGCCCCTTTTTGGCCCCCTATTCCTAAACGTTTCGGGCAATTACCCACAAACTCAATTCCAGCTTTCCCTTTGTGATATGGAACCTTGTAGTACAATTTCAGAAATATCCAAACACTTACACACAAGTTATTGTCATGAAACTAGAAAAATGCTTGTTTTTTGCCCCTTTTTTGGCCCCTAATTCCTAAAATTTTGAGGCAATTACCCCCAAAATCAATTTCAGCCTTCCCTTTGTGATATGGAACCTTGTGGTACAATGTCAGAGAGATCCATACACTTACACACAAGTTATTGTCTGGAAGTTACAAAAATGCTTATTTTTGGCCCCTTTTTGGCCCCTAATTCCTTAACTGTTGGTACCATAACCCCCAAAATCAATCCCAACCTTCCTTTCGTGGTATTGAACCTTATGGTAAAATTTCATGGAGATCCATTCACTTAAACAAAAGTTAGAGTGCGAAAACCAATGTGTCTTCGGACGACGCCGGACGACGCCAGACGACGACGACGACGACGACAACGACGACGACGACGACGACGCCAACGTCATACCAATATACGACCAAAAAATTTTCAATTTTTGCGGTCGTATAAAAATGAATGAATAACAAATATGTAACACATAAACAAACGACAACCATTGAATTATAGGTTCCTGACTTGGGACAGGCACATACATACAGAATGTGGCGGGGTTAAACATGTTAGCGGGATTCCAACCCTCCCCCTAACCTGGGACAGTGGTGTAACAGTACAACATAAGAACGAACTATAAAAATTAGTTGAAAGAGGCTTAACTCATCAGATGGATGTCAGTTTTCATGGACTTCCTCTTTTTGAATATACCTTGGAGTTTCAGTATTTTTGTAATATTTTTTAGTGCACCACAAACAAAATGATGTTAATTCCTCTCCTTTGTGAAAACCAACTGTAAACAAATACTTACGTGTAAGAAATATTTAAAACTGGAGCTTCTGAGAATTCGGTGACACATTCAGCTTGGATGACCTGCTGGTTTTGTGCACCACACTCTATCACCTCACCAGCTGGCTTTGGTTGACAACTTAATTGTACAAAAAAGTTAAGGGAAAAAAATATATTCTGTAAATCAATTGCATTCCTATCATTGCTTTCAACAAAGTCATATTTCTGCTTTACCTTGAGGCGCACCTGAGATCACATGCTTATTTTAATGTCGTTCAATGAGCTAAATTTTCTATGATTGATTGTGGTTTACTTAATGTCCAGTCACAAATATTTCATACAAGTTCAGGATGAGAACAAATTAACAATAAATACAATAAGTAGGTCCTACAAGGTAGCCCTCAATTGGCATGTAGGTAGGGAGATTTTGACTGCCAATGGAATACTGTGGATTCATTATTATTTTTGGGGTATATACAAATCTTGGGTTTTTGTGGGGACCAGTGAACAACAAATATAAAAGTTCAATGAATTACAAATTCTATATAGGCTTGAATGCAGACATTGGCAACACCACGAAATCAATTATCCATGAAAATGCAAGTTTTCCTCAATCCACGAAAAATTGGTATCAACGAAAAATAAATGAATCCACAGTGTGAGGGTATGGTATGTTGGAAAGGGACCGAAATTTTGCCTTGCAACAGGCCATCTACAAACCCATCAAAGAGTTGTTGCAAGGGTTATTTACCATGCTGAGAGCACAGCACTCTCTCTACACAATGCATTAGATTTAACATAAAGGATATGATCACCAAGATTTCCTGGACACACCAAATCAGCAGTAAAACCTGTAAACTGGAATGATGTTTTGTTTCCAAAGAATATTCCCAGTCGTCCTAAATTCTGTCTATACTCCGACTTGACACCAATTTGTAATGAATCGTTTTCAAATAAAACACCATTATTCTTACATATAAATCTGAAAAATAGCAATTGTACAAATTTTTAATGGCAGTATGTTTTTCTTTTTTCTTCTTCATCATGGATTGACAGGCATTTATATATAGACATGTTTTTCAACAGATAATTATTAAACTTAAGAAATTATTCTTCAGGTCAAGCATGCTCTATTCTGTATGTATGTGCCTGTCTCAAGTCAGGAGCCTGTAATTTAGTGATTGTCGTTTGTTGCTGTGTTACATATTTGTTTTTTGTTAATTTTTTTGTACATTAATTAGGCTGTTAGTTTTCTTGTTTGAATTGTTCTACATTTGTGATTTCGGGGCCTTTTATAGCTGACTATGCTGTATGGGCTTTGCTAATTGTTGAAGGCCGTACAGTTACCTATAGCTGTTAATTTCTGTGTCATTTGGTCTCTTGTGGAGAGTTGTCTTCCCTGGGTCCCATGTATGTTTTAATGGAACAACCTTTAAATGTTATTGCAATTTAATTAACTACATTTTAAAACAAGAGGCTGTTAGAATGACAGCAAACCGGATTTCCTGCAGAGGTCGAACCCTGAACAGTTGAGCAAGTATGGAAACTACATTTAAGCTTAAAACAGCTCTGAATTTGGATTATGATTGAATATTTGATACAGCATAGGTCTGTGACACAAAAAAAAATGTGGTAAATGAACTGAAAAATTTGAAATTGGACATTTACCTATTATGGTCCAATATCCAAAATCTAAGTACATTGTTAGAATCAGCATATCAAACCCCAAGAATACAATTTTTGATGAAATCAAACTAAAGTTGAATTTATGACCCTTTGGACCTCAATGTGGACCAATTTATTAAAGGAGCACAAAATCCAAAATCTCTAAATACATGGTTAGATTCAGTATTTCAAAGAACCCCATAAATTCAATTTTTGTTGAAATCAAACAAAGTTTAATTTTGGACCCTGATTTGGACCAACTTGAAAACTGGGCCCAAAAATCCAATATTTAAATACATGTTCAGATTCAGCATTTGAAAGAACCCTATATATATTCAATTGATGTTGAAATGAAACACGGTTTAATTTTATCCATATACTTATTGATTTTCTGTTCAAACGGAAATAACTCAAACTGAATAAATGATATAAAAATAGTTCTCTAAAATTAGATATGACAATATGTTAAAGATGAACAGATGGACACACAGAGGGAAAACAGTATCTCACGATTTACCCATTGTTGACAAGCATATAAAAATCTACACTGCACTTGGCATTTGACCAGTTACTAAGGATAAAGTGAAATTTCAATTCAAAATTTTTATCTCAATTATTAAAATCGCTCCCAAAATTGGTTAAATTCTACATTTTTAAATCAACAATAAACTGGAAAAGTTGATGATCCTTTACTTACTTTCTATAATTTTCATCAGAACCAGCTGTCAGACCGTTAGCATCCATTCCACCACCGTTCTGTGTGGGTGTGTCAAATACGTCCACCAATAAACCACCCAGACCACCACCTCCTCCTCCACCAGTAGAGGGCGCTACAGTTGGTGCTCCGAGTCCTAACAAATCTGCTGACCCAGTACTGCTTGGTGTTGATAATGGCTACAAAAATTACGATTTCCGTAATTTCTGATTTTTTTCAGTAACAATATTTTTTTTATATATAATTTCATAATAATTATACTTACAACTAGGCAAACAATGACAAGTAAAAGACTTCCTTTCTTTATTATGACAACTGTGATTCATGATGAGCATGTTAGGAAAACTGACCATTGCGCTGAATGGAAGTCTTGTTCAGGAAATATTTGCAAAAGACATCAGACATCATACTTGGCAGGTTCATTAATTATTCAGAATCGAACAAAAAATGGATAGATCGCTTACTAATAAAGATAGTCCAGAGAAACCCGATACTTATAAATAATCTGTATCACACAAGCGCTTACTGTTACAAAATTATAACCAAAAAAAAAAGTGTCACATTTATCAAAATGATATCTAAACAGGGAACTGTTCCAGAAGGGTAATGAACAAAAACCCACAACAGGAAGACTGTCAATCGTAACACCGTAACTTTGGTCCAAAATTGGTAAAAATTACGGGTAAATCATAACGGTTGGCAAGGATGATATACCAAGAGCCACTGCTTGGGCCCTGGAATTGCAAAACTAGAAAACTGACATGTCAACATTTTTGCTCATTTTTGTTTGATGCACATAAACAAATAATTGATACTCATGTAAGCAACACAGTTCATGTATTGTGGCCTCTATTTCGTAACTGATTTTTGACATCATCAATCAATATGGAAAAGCAAATTATATGTACATATCAATGTTCATTGAAATCCTGGCAAAAAAAATAATTCTCATAATTGGTCTTTTTTGTATGAATAGACAACTTACAGCGGCACTAATTGCAGGAAGAGCGTGAACTTCTATATTGTTACTCATCTGAGCCTGTGGTAGTTTGTGTTCACGTTTCTCCTCAGGACCATCAGGTACTGACGATGGTTTCTTTTTTTTCAGTTTGGCGAGGATTGAAGATTCTCGTTCTGGGAATGGTGGCATTTCTTCTAATACTGTTGCCTAAAAAACAGAAAGGCGATATTTTTTCTATTAAATACTGTTGCCTACAAAATAGAAAGGTGGCAGTTCTTCTATAGTTAAAATTGAGAATGGAAATGGGGAATGTGTCAAAGAGACAACAACCCGACCATAGAGCAGACAACAGCCGAAGGCCACCAATGGGTCTTCAATGCAGCGAGAAACTCCAACCCGAAGGCCACAAGATATTCTCTTTATGTAAGTGTTTTAATCAAGTCATACTTTGTTTGTGGTAAACCTAAGTCTATTGTTTAATGACAGACCATGTCTGAAAATCAATTAAGAAAAGTGAATGGGGAATGTGTCCATGGGACACAGGTGATGTCCCTACTTGTATACAACGTCATAAAGGGACACAACTCAAGAACGGAAACGAAAAATTCAGCAATTTTTCCATTTCTAAAGGCGCATAACTCTTAGAATGGTAAAAGTGACGAGACCAATATTCAAACTTGATCTGTGTTTTGTGGTAATAAGCATTGTGTTTAAGTTTCAAAACATTAGGTTGAGGCAAACTTAAATTAGAGATCCGGACAAGATGGACGGACAAGGGTAAAACTTAATGCCCTCTCCGCTACAGCAGGGGCATAAATAGTCATTTGTGTTATATATCTTAACTACATACCCATTTTCTGCCGAAATTTTGAGGGAAAATTTACCAAAATCAAGTGAAATCATAACATTGCACAAATTATTGGATTTGTAATGTAATTCTTGATCAGACTTGAATAAAACATGTGATTAATGTGGTATGTTGTCAATTAGAATTTTTTTCTAGTCTAACCCTCTTACTTTTTGTGGCAGAATGTAAAAAACACACAAACATTTTCTTTGGTCTAGGAAATGAGAATTCTATCAAAATGATATAAATTAATTTTATAACATTGTTTGCAGCGAAATACTGTGATTTACCAGTGAAATAAAACCAGATAATTTCACATGTGAGACAAATCTTATAATTTCACTCCTCTGAGGTCAAACAACAATGGGTATTGTCAAGATGTTGTCAATTCCTTGCATTTTCTACCTGATTTCCATTAAAAAATTAATGTAATCAAAATAATAACTAATCCAAGAATTGAAATATCAAAAAATATTTAACTGGTGACGAAAGGACACTGATAATTATTGGGCATTCGTAAATTAATGTGTTCACTCACTCTTTAAAAACTTATCTGTATTTGAATTGTTAGATTTAACTGTTATTTCATAACAATTACACTAGCTTAGATTCTTAGTTTACCAGATGTTTGTGAAATAAACAAAGAAACTTCTCAAATAGACTAGGTTTCCCAGTGGGGATCCAAGACTAGGTTTCCCAGTGGGGATCCATGACTAGGTTTCCCAGTGGGGATCCATGACTAGGTTTCCCAGTGGGGATCCAAGCCTAGGTTTCCTAGTGGGGATCCAAGCCTAGGTTTCCCAGTGGGGATCCAAGACTAGGTTTCCCAGTGGGGATCCAAGCCTAGGTTTCCCAGTGGGGATCCAAGCCTAGGTTTCCCAGTGGGGATCCAAGCCTAGGTTTCCCAGTGGGGATCCAAGACTAGGTTTCCCAGTGGGGATCCATAAACAGGTGATATCAGATAATAAAGAGACAATTGAAAATTAACCAAATATAAAAACAAAAAATCTTCAATTGACCCTTTGAAGAAGTTGTTCCCCTTGTTTTACACCCTTTTACTCATTTTCACGTTTTTGGATTGATTGATTGATTGTTGGTGTTTTAACGCCACTTTTAAGTGCCACTTTTGGGCTATTTTGTGGCGGCCAGTTATTATTGGTTGAGGAAGCCAGAGTGCCCGGAGAAAACCACAGACCATCGATAGGAAAACTGACAATCCTAGTCAATTAAGATTGGAGTCGAGTGCACCTGCACGAGCGGGGTTGCAACTCACAACCTCAGTGTTGACTGGCTAGTGATTACAGTAGTAGAACAACTTAGACCACTTGCCCACCGCGGCCCCTACGTTTTTTGGAAGAAACTAAAGTAGATAGAGACAAAAAACAACAATACTTTGTCTTTAAAAGACCATTTTTTCTACGAACTTACCAAAACATCAAGTGATGCCACTGTACTTAGTTGTAAATATTCTACACTTCTTTGTTGTAACTCCACGTCAGAATTTTTCAGGTTATTGTTACTTTTTAAAACCTACAAGAAAAAATGTGGTCAGTTTGTACTTTTTAGCATCTTTTATTGGATAAAATCCTCAGTTACAGAATATAGTATTTGACCAGGAAAGGCGCTGTTCATATCTATTTTTTAAACATTTGTAAAGAGTTCAACAGAATCATGTGTCTCATCTGCTACTGCTGCTGTTCATGTAAAAGTGTTGACTGCCAAGAGCCAAAAAACTTAAGTCCATTTATCAGTTAAATAAAATGCTCCGCTGGGGCGCAGCTTGTTACGACCGCAGAAGTCGAACCCTGAACAGTTGAGGCAAGTATGGTCACAACATTCAAGCTTGATACAGCACTGAATTTGGATTGTAATTAAATATTTGACACAGCATATGTTTCTGACACAGAATGAATGTGGTCTAAGAACTTAAAAATTTTTAATTTACCTATTCAAACCATATCATTATTATTTGCTTTTATATATAAATCAGAAATAACCAATTTAAAATGGAAAATTTTACAGAAAAAAAAGGAAAAAAAAATCCCCCCTCCTCCCAAATTTTTTGAACCCCCTTATGATTCATCACCCCCAAACTCAATCCCAGCCTTCCCTTTGTGGTATGGTAGCTTGCAGTACAATTTCAGAGAGATCCATACACTTGAACACAAGTTATTGTCTGGAAACTAGAAAAATGCTTGTTTTTTGGCCCCTTTTTGGCCCCAAATTCCTAAACGTTAAGGGCAATTACCCCCAAACTCAAACCCAGCTTTCCCTTTGTGATATGGAACCTTGTAGTTCAATTTCATAAAGATCCATACACTTACACACAAGTTATTGTCCTGAAACTAGAAAAATGCTTGTTTTTTTGCCATTTATGGCCCCCAATTCCTAAAATTTTGAGGCAATTACCCCCAAAATCAATTCCAGCCTTCCCTTTGTGTTATGGTACCTTGCAGAACATTTTCATAGAGATCCATACATTTGAACACAAGTTATTGTCTGGAAACTAGAAAAATGCTTATTTTTGGCCATTTTTTGGCCCCTTATTCCTAAACGTTTTGGGCAATTAACCCCAAACTCAATTCCAGCTTTCCCTTTGTGATATGGAACCTTGTAGTTCAATTTCATAAAGATCCATACACTTACACACAAGTTATTGTCATGAAACTAGAAAAATGCTTGTTTTTTGCCCCTTTTTGGCCCCTAATTCCTAAAATTTGGAGGCAATTACCCCCAAAATCAATCCCAGCATTCCCTTTGTGATTTGGAACCTTGTGGTACAATGTCAGAGAGATCCATACACTAACACACAAGTTATTGTCATGAAACTAGAAAAATGCTTGTATTTTTCCCCTTTTTGGCCCCTAATTCCTAAAACTTCGAGGCAATTACCCCCAAAATCAATCCCAGCATTCCCTTTGTGATATGGAATCTTGTGGTATAATGTCAGAGAGATCCATACACTAACACACAAGTTATGTCTGGAAGTTACAAAAATGCTTATTTTTGGCCCCTTTTTGGCCCCTAATTCCCTAACTGTTGGTACCATAACCCCCAAAATCAATCCCCACCTTACTTTAGTGGTATTGAACCTTATGGTAAAATTTCATAGAGATCCATTCACTTAAACTAAAGTTAGAGTGCGAAAAACAATGTGTCTTCGGACGACGACAACGACGACGCCAACGTCATACCAATATACGACCGCAAAAAAATGCGGTCGTATAAAATCCAAAAAATTAAAAAAAATATTTTTAAAACTTTGCTCTTGACCAAAAAGCAGCTTCTGTCCAAGTTTTGTTAAATTACAAGGTTTGACAAATTTATTAATGTCTGAAAAAACTTTAATCTCAGACTGAATCTAAATGTCGACATTGCAATTACAGAAACTAGGAACCCAATGTCTCATTTTCAAAACTTTCTATGCAGACTCAACAAAAAAATATTGGACAAATGCCAATTTTGCTGGTCGTATATTATCCATGACATCATACTGGACATATATCCAACTATGTTTGAAATGATTGAACAATTTTGTCTCTAATTTTGTATACATTTAAACCATTTCTGACCAATATGATTGATTTTTGATATCTACATGTTAATTCAATATATACATGTGATTTCCCAGCTCTCACCATATCTATGTATTAAAAAGAAATGACATCTCTAATCCAAAAGCTAAGTGAAGGAATCCATCGAGAAATTAGGCCAAAGCTTTCCAACTATAATCACCATGGATGGGTGGACATAACAAAATCCATTTGAAAATTTGTGCAAGTCAGCTGTTTTTATATCTTGATATGAAAAGACAAACTTACATTTTGTATATCTCCCTTTATTTCAGGAAACAGATTAATGAACTTGATATATGTAGACAAAAGAAGTCCTCTGGTTGCTGGTCCACATAAATGATATTTACTGTGTAATAACTGGAACTGGATTATTGCACTGAAACACACAAAAGTTATGTTTTTAATGATGTAAATTACACATTTTCAATTTTTACGTACTATTAAGGCATCCTCTGACTTTTTCCCAGTAATCTCTATTTGCCAAAGTGGAACATTTTTGTGTGCTGGGTTCAATTCAGTAATTTTGTGAATAAGCTAAAATCAGGAGCATGTTCCTTTGCATAAATTTCATCTTTAAAAAAGAAAAAGTCTCTTGCGCAAGAAAATAAAAAAAAAATGTAACCTTGTGTACAAGTTTGGACATCTTGAAATTTGACCTCATCGAAAATAAACCATTTCACAGTACTTGACAATATTTTTAGAAAGCATGCATTGGAAATACACTTCTGACACAAATGTTCAAATTCTACATATTTATACAGTTTATTAGTCATTGCTCCAAATACTCTTGTTTTTTTATTTAAGTGTATTTAAGTACCAGACAATTTTAGAATTATCCGAAATCAGATTCTTGGTTCATAAGACTACATTTTTTTTCCTATTTAGAAAATAAAAGTATGTTAAAATTCATATCATTTTTCATATTAACCCTTACAAGATGAGATATAAATTCTATAGAATGCACTATAAAACATTCATATACAGGTCAAATGGTGATATACATTTTTTTTAAATTTGTTGCAACAGTTGTCCTTTAGTAATGCATTTTAAGTTTTGTACTATATTTTTAAATTGTTTTCAAAAGTATTGTATAAAAAAAATCAAATATTTACTATATATACAACTTTACCTTGACCTAGGATCTCCAGCAATTAGATTACCAAACTCTCCCAATATATATCCCCCAACTTTGACCATATTTTCATGGCAGGCAGGAGCCTGTAATGCCTGGAATATCAGAAAGCAGTGCCTTTCAATGAAGCTGACATTATCCCTATTATTAGTACCCTTTCAATTCTAGCAAATTTCTTCAAATAAACTCAGACTTTTTTTTCAGATTTGATCAAAGAGTCCAGTGATATATATATGTTCATTAAAATTGAAAACAAAATTACTGAATACCTTGAATAATTAATAAATTGTAACCAAAGTTTTACTGAATAAATGGAGCAGTACAATATAAGAAAACAAGCATGCAATTGACACATTTCTGTACAATATCTGCATCACACTTCCCTTAACATAGTCTTGTCCACAAAAAAAAAGAAGATAGTTTAAGTCCTCACCTCAAAAACAGTTTTGGCTGCATATCCTTGGACATCATCTCTATTTATAACAATCTGTATAACTCTATACCAAACCTCTTCACTGACGTAATCTCCCGATATTCTAATTAGGTTCAGGATGACATCCACATACCAGGTGTAATCCACAGCATACTTCTCTGCCAAGATGGCTACCTTCAGGACCTGAAACAGGTATATTATCAGGATAAAAATTAGATTAGGGATCCCCAAACCATATTCTTTTTACGCACCAACCTCAACTTTTATTATAACAGGATTTTTCAAAAACAAACTTTTCACCGACTTATTTGTAGTTGTAGCTGCTAATTTAATCAAAATATATATATCGAATTGACCAAACCCATGTTCATATGATTATCATAAAATTTTGACATCAAATATTTACTTTGACCTGTTGACAAAAATATAAAAATTTCAAGAAATTTGAGCCACACAATATACAGGAATAAGTTCATTGGATACATAGCAGTTTGACATACACTGATTTTGATCATTGAGAAGCTTCATTTTAGCTTTACAAACATTATGTGATTAAAGTGTTTATCTGATTTTTGAAGACTTGACTCCTTTAGGTGTTCTGTAACCTCTAAAGTTGTGTTTTAAGTTTTCCTTGCCATGATCATTGGAAAAACCCAACAAGTTGTAATAACAGATAACTATAATACCATTTCCTCTCTTATTGAGTAATCAGCTGATTCCAAATATTCCAACATTTCCCCAACAATTTCTTCAGCGTTTGTTCTATCACACATAGCATACAGAAGATCTACTGCCCTTTGTCGTACACTCACATCTCGTTCAGTCTGAAAAATATACATGTAAAATCATCAAAAGGTTCATTTAATTTAACCAAGTCAATGCTTTTCATGACCATGAAGTAATATACACAAACCATTTTGTAAATTGAATATCTGAGTATACAATATTAATAATATTATCTTGACTGGTAAAATGTATTTTGCAGCAGGAGAAAATATGAGAACTGAACAGTAGGTAACTGTGAGATAATGTATAAAAAAATCTGCATTTAAATTGGTAACAGGAAATTCATAATAATCATTACACTTGGAGAAAAATTTGCCATTGGTAAAAACAGACTAAACCTAATTTCATCATCTCATCCTATCAAAGTATTTTAAAAGTTGTATTTGGTAAAGTATTTAATATCGTAGTTTTCCCCTTCCCATAATATTAATTAAAACTGATTTCCAAAAAGTATTAACAAATCTGTACTATAAAAAAAAGATATAGAAATAGAAATTCTTTTCCTATCCAATTAGGCCTTAAATAAAATATTGTTTGTTTCCCCAATCCCAACCGATCCTGCAAAAATGGTCCTACTCAGAAAATTTTATTGTCAAAACTTAGTCAAATATTATTTTATTCATTTCCAATTTTCAGGCTTGCCGGATCATCCGATAATGTTCAAGCTTTTTGGAAAAATAAAATTATTTCCCTACCTACCTACCCACACCTGCTTGGCAGGGTCTGGATTGGGGAAACAAACAATATATTAATTTAGGCCCTAAGGAGCATTATTTTGAAAGGGAGATATTTTTAGTAATATTTGGATTACTTCCCTTTATATATGAAAATAGTCCATACCTTTAATGAAGTAATTACTGTTTCTTGATGTTTTTTTACTGCTTCATGAGAGAATTCTGATGTGGCTAATAAACACATACTCTCTAATGCAAGATATCTGAAATTATAAAGTATGTCAATTAATGAAAACTTTTTAAATCACAAATATTCTGCAACAACAACTGAAATTATAACGAATTATAAGAATGCATGCATTGTTGTTCTTAGCATACCCTCATTAGTAATTCAAAGTATTGGTAAGCAGGAAATAGGTGTCTGACAAGTATGAAAAGGGCCCACACGTAACAATCCATCACTACTAAGCTGGTGAACATATATGAAGTCATGTGTTCATTCGCCATATTGAAAAAAATCAAAGTATGAGACAAACTATAGTAACAGATGACTTTGTAACATATATCTATAAATGATTAAATGTTAAGAAGAAATATAAATGCCAGTTGATGTAAGATGTTTCTAAAACTTAAAATTTTTTTAACCATAAACTGTTAACACAGAGCTATGTCTTGCCTATTTGTTATTTTGATAATGCAAATATTGAAATTAAAATAGCAGTACTTTAAAACATGTAAGTTATGCAAATATTTAAAGTCAATAAACCACGACTGAAGGTACAGGGCTAAACAATCTCCATGGAAATGAGATGTGCCATACTAATACAACTGCAAACCAATTACAAATTGACTTTTCATAAGTCGTTCCCTTTTAAACAAACCTAAACACAAACATTAACTTGTAAACTATGTAAAAGTTTCAAAGTCAATGAACCATAATTAGGGGGTGGGGTTATATAATCTCCATGGAAATGAAACTTGCAAATGCCAATACATTTGCATACCAAATATCATTGACTTAACATTAGTGGTTCAGCTTAAACTGACCTAATCACAAACTAATACATGAAAACTAAGCAAAAGTTTCAAAGTCAATAGATCACGAATGAGGGGGCGGGGCCAAATAATCTCCGTGGAAATGAGATATGCAAATGCTTATACAACTGCATACCAAATATCATTGACCTATCACTAGTGGTTCTCCATAAACTGACCTAATCACAAACTAATACATGTAAACTAAGCAAAGTTTCAAAGTCAATAGACCTTGACTGAGGGGGCGGGGCCAAATAATCTCTATGGTAATGAGAAGTACTAATGATTATACAACTGTATACCAATTAACACTGGCCTACCACTAATGGTTCCCCTTGAACTGACCTAATCACAAACTAATACATGTAAACTAAGCAAAGTTTCAAAGTCAATAGACCTTGACTGAGGGGTCGGGGCCAAATAATCTCCATGGTAATGAGATGTGCCAATGCTAATACAACTGCATACCAAATATCATTGACCTACCACTAGTGGTTCACCATGAACTAGACCAAATCACAAACTAATACATTGTTGACGCTGCTGCCGCCGACAACAGCATACCTATGTCTTGCTTTTTGACTCCGTCAAGGCGAGACAAAAAACAATTCTGACCAAAATTTTGACCCCCTCAAAAATAGGCCTAGGACGTCTTTAAATATGTATATCTATGACAATATGCATAAAAAATTTTGAATTCTGTTGAGGCAATCTTGACTTATTAAATGACAGACAGACAGACAGACAGACAGACAGACAGACAGACAGACAAAGACAAACAGGACAGAGTGATGAGTAGAGGGTACCTACAGCAACCTACATCCCATTAGTTTCTCTGTGTTGTAAGAATTGTCCTAATTGATTACAAGCTCTGGCTAGAGTTACCTACCTTAGATTAGTTTCTCTGTGTTGTAAGAATTGTCCTAATTGATTACAAGCTCTGACTAGAAGATTTGGATCACTGTCCATGTGTATGATAAGATTAATGGCCTCAAACAAAACAGCATTTTTAGAATTGGAATGCTGAACTTTCTTTGACTTTGGGGGCTCCTGAGCCTTGTTGAGTATTGTTTCCAGACATTCTGTTAGTCGTGTTCGAACAGCAGGATCCTCTGAAAAACACAAATATAAAATATACATGAGACAGTCCTATCCATGAAGAATCATAAATATATATGTCATTATTCAATTTCAATAATTAATTATTAATATGTCTAATGAAATATCAACAGTGTTCTCCCCAGGATTTTTTTAAGGCGCAAAATTCAAGGGCGCGTAACTCTTTTTTTAGAGTGAACGTTTGTGATCTGAAGCAATAAGTCATAAATCATGACATGCAATATGAATTATAATGCTTTGTGTTATGTGTTTAATAATGCAGAGTATTAATGAATTACAAGAATATATATATGAAATAAATTGATTTTAAACACAAAAGTTATTTATATTCAGTCAATTAAAGAAGTCAAAATATAAATATTCATCTCTACTCTCTGCTCCTTCTAGGGATATTGTTTCAAGATAGTGTTATTTTGTTGGACAGTCTGTTCCTCAACTTTGTCTTTATCCTCTTCAGGGTTAAAAATTAAACCCCCACTCACAATAACTTTTGCTTATACCCCCTTTAACATTTCTAAGCCATGAAAACTCAAGTCAGCCACTTGTCTTTGAAACCAGAAACATGGTGCTTGCTTTTATCAATTGCTAAAACTTGAGCTTGGTTGGGATTAGGAGAAGCAATGAAATCTGCTTATACTGACAGTGTAGACGGAGGTGTATTCCCCTTTTCATTAGAAGTCATTGGTCTGAAAAAAACTTCTACTTCCATCATCTACCTTTTGCTTATAATTCACCCCTTTGTTATTTGCAGAGAACATGTTCATTCAGAATTAATAAAATTGAATATGGTTAAGATATTTGGTAACAATTTTTTTTTATAAATGAACAGCTGACCAGTTTCCATAGTTTCACATTACTCATTAGATTACGCTTCCGTGCGTATTATTGTTTAATCCTATTTTTGGCAGATAGATATAAACGAAACTTTACAAATTCGTTAAAGTTAAAACCATTGAAATTATTTACCAGTGACATTATACAGAAGCTGCGGCGATTCTGTACCCGTGTTGATTGTCACATATTTCCCGACGCACGGATTCACGATCGATGTTCAATGACCATTTTATTTCTAAAAATATGACAGTTTCAGACAAATTTACCTTGCAAGCAACATTTTTTCACTTTCTATTAAAGTAAATCACTCCTCGTTATCTTTAATCTTTATTTTAATTTTTTCAACTACTAATACTTTCATTCATAGTTTTCATCGTAAATATCTTTAACAATGTGTATTCAAATTTATCATGTGTATTCAACACGTTCATTGGTCGTGTTTAAATAGATTCTTCTTCTCGACCAATGAAAAAATTCGTTATATAAATGGTCAAGTGATCACATACACGATGCGTAAATACAATGTATTTGCGATCTATTTCTTCAATTTCTGCACTGAAGTTTTTAAATTTTTTTAATTTTCTTCAAAAAATATCTATCTTCTTGATGATCATTTATGCTATTACCTGACAACATAGTCCGATAAGGCTGAGATAAGCGTGGCTCAGGTAAAACTAATTATCAGTTATTGCGTAACACTGACCGACCCATCAGCGGTGATCAGTAACTTGACAATTTTAACCAACATTTATAATGAAAATGTGAAAATTAACACGCTGCGGGATCAAGTATTAAGGGACAGCGGCCAATTAAGACGCTGCGGGATCTACAAAAATATTATGAAGGCGCTGCGGCACCGCAGCGTCATATCGGCCAGGGGAGAACACTGATCAATCCCACCCTCCCACATTCATTTAATTGAAAAGCCCTACTATAAATCTTTTTGATATTGAGATATACAAATGTGCGAATTGTATGCTCCATCTGATTTATATATATTAATATATATATATGCTTTCCTCAAATTCATCTTCATGGTTAACTACCTGGACCAATATTTTAGCTTGGAAAATGAGAAACAGGAGAACTAGAAACTTAAGATTGTGGATGAACTGGTATATTGATTCTTATGTACTTTGTACTTCATCTTTTATAAAAGTTCTTCTGAAGGTCTTAAATGTTGAATCAGAAAATCACCTTATTAAAGGCCAAATGGTTGTTTAACTGGTAAATCACAAATGATAATGGGTTAGGGTTGATCAGTCTTTTTCGTCTTACTCCTAGATGCTGCATGCTTGGTGGGGAAGCAGTAAATACTAATTTTTAAGTGGTTATATTATAGTTCTAAGTTCTTTGGTTTGACATGGTCCTATATAAGCCCACATGTGGACGGTCATAAGTCTTTGGTTTGAACTGGTCGTATATAAGCCCACATGTGGACGGTCATAAGTCTTTGGTTTGAACTGGTCGTATATAAGCCCACATGTGGACGGTCATAAGTCTTTGGTTTGACATGGTTGTATATAAGCCCACATATTGATGTTGGTGGGAGATCTTTGATACAAATAAATGGGGAATGTGTCAATGGGACACAGTTGATGCCCCCGCTTGCATATCATATAAAGTTATAAATTTAAAAATTAAAGGGACATAACTGAAGTACGGTAAAAGTGACACTACCCAAATTTGTACTTGATCTGAGTTTTGTGGTAATAAGTATTGTGTAAAAGTTTCATAACATTCGGTTGAGGCAAACTTAAGTTAGAGAACGGAAACGAAAAACTCAGCAATTTTTCTATTGGTAAAGGGCTTAACTCTAAAACGGTTATAGTCATGCCACCAAAATTCAAATTTGATCTGAGTTTTGTGATAATAAGTATTGTGTATAAGTTTCATAACATTTGGTTTAGGCAAACTTAAGTAAGAAAACGGAAACGAAAAATTTAGCAATTTTTCCATTTGTAAAGGGGCATCACTCTAAAACAGTAAAAGTGACTCCACCAAAATTCATAAAAAAAGAAGATTTTGTATGATTGCCATTGAGAAAATTCTCCTACAGAGACCAAATGAGTTAGATGTAATCAACTATAGGTCATGACTATGGCCTTCAACAATGACCAATACCCATACTGTTTAGTAAGCAGCTTGGAACAGGCACCTACAGGATGTGGCAGGGTTAAACATGTTTGTGATGAGCACTCAATCCTCCCACTAATCTGGAAGAGTGGTGTAATGGCACAATAAGATGGTTTACTGTATTCTTTTTATAGGTTATTTATTATTACCTGGTGGTGGATAATTCTGAAGAAGTCGAAGAAGTTTTACAGATAACCATGGAGCTGGTACAAAATAGTATGTGTAGTCCTGTAAATCTGTGTACGATGATGTCACAATCTGAAAATACAAAATATTATGTGTAGTCCTGTTAATCTGTGTACGAGGATGTCACAATCTGAAAATACAAAATAGTATGTGTAGTCCTGTAAATCTGTAAATACAGCTGTTTCACAAACTACGCCTCTTTTGGGGAGATATATAATATTCATAGATATTTTGTTTTGTTTACGTATTGGTTCCCAGATATGATCTCATAGAGACATAACTTGGGAATGTTATCAGTATTAATACACGTGGTGGCGACAAAAATTGAATTCTGAGGAAGACCCAAAGTGAAGGGAGGAGTAGTATAGAATTTTAGTATATGTTTAAACTCTTAGAAGTTTGGGGCATATAATTGTTGAAAATATGCTACACAGCCCTATGTTTTGACCCTTGAATAAAATAGTAGTGCATATCAACTTTCCATTCTAGGATCTAATTTTTTACGAAACTTCATAATTAAAGTGGCAAAGTTTTAGCCGTAAAGGGAGTTCCTATGGGAAATTGCATTGTCTATATTTACAGAAGTGCAACCTGTAAATCTGTGTACGATAATGTCACAATCTAAAAATACATAACATATCATTTCCCCATAACTGATTTATGAAGGAAAACAATTGATGTAACAATCTGAAAAGATGAGAAAATACATGGGGAATGTGTCCTTGGGCACAGATGATGCACCCACTTGCATATAAGGTTATAAAGGGACAAAACTCAAGAACTGTAAAAGTGACCCTACCCAAAGTTGTACTTGATCTGAGTTTTGTGGTAATAAGCATTTTGTATACGTTTCATAACATTTAGTTGAGGCAAACTTAAGTTAGAGAACGGAAACTAAAATTTCAGCACTTTTTCCATTTGTAAAGGGGCATAACTCTAGAACGGTAAAAATGACACCACCAAAATTCAAATTTGATCTGTGTTTTGTGGTAATTATCATTGTGCATAAGTTTCATAACATTTGGCTGAGGCAAACTAAAGTGAGTTAACAGAAACGAAAAATTCAGCAATTTTTTCATTTGTAAAGGGGCTTAACTCTAGAACTGTAAAAGTGACGCCACCAAAAATCAAACTGGATCTGTATTTTGTGGTAATGAGCATGGTGTATAAGTTTCATAACATTTGGTTGAGGCAAACTGAAGTTAGAGAACGGAAACCAATTTTGTTATGTACAGAGGGACATACAGACGGACAAGGGTAAAACTTAATGCCCCCTCCGCTACGGCGGGGGCATAAAAACTAGGTTCATTTATCAGTAAACTATGGACATTAAAAAAAAAAAATAGTTTCAAAAGTTTGCTCTGGATACTGTCTTTTGCTCAAAATAAAGTTCCAAACAAAATCCATGAAGGTTTGACAAAGTAACTGATGTTTGCTTTATTTTAAACGAAAGTCAACTATCCACCATGAACAATTTAACATTTTTTTTCATTAGCCGTTGATCCTTCCAAGTGATAAGTGATCTTTTAAAAGAGTATCTACGGTCATATCTAACAAATTTATGTGGTTGTTAGTAGCGTTACAGAGGTAATCGTTAAATAAAGTTAAAAGTTCTATGAAATTTTAATACAGTTGAGACATAATTTCTGCTCTGTAGATTGCCCTCCTTTTTATTGAACTTTTACAGACCTTTGTCCTTGTATCCATATTGTATATGGTTTAAGTAATAACATGTATAATGTTTCTGGTATATCTATCTTACTCTGCTAAGTCTTGATACTGCTAATGAAACACATCCTTTATATTCCTCAGGACTTCTCTTCACTAAAGCTTCTATGAAACTGGCAGCCGATGTAACAACTCCCTGAAATATAGAATATAAGGCCCTACAATCAAAATTATTTGCTTCTCAGGCCAAATAAAAAAAGCAATACAAATCAAGAAAAAGAAGCTATAGTCTATATGCCAGCTTGACAACAACTCGAAAGACATAAAGGCGCCAACATACTGTCTATAACAGGACATTCGTCTCTAAAATATACCAAAGTCTAAATTGAACCATATCTAGAAAAGTGGTGAACAAATTCAACAGGGACCTTTAGAAATCTGTCTGTTCTAAAATGATAAAAACCCTATGACTCTCTTCTGGAAAAATGTGAATATTAAAGTAAACATTTATCAGTGTTCCAGCTTGAATCTCAGGGCAGAAGGGTGCTAGTTGTCTGAAAGGGCACTTTAGCGTTATAACCCAGATTTTAAGGGCAATGTTGGACAGTGTATAAATTACCTTGAATATTGCTAGGCTCAGCTGGAGACCATTAGTTGTATTTAAACCATATTCAAAAAATAATGTGTTCTTGATATTGGTTCCAATAAGAATTTTATTTATCAAATTATTATACCATGAAGCAAAGCATATCATTTTGATGTTAATCTAAACAAACTTGTACATTTGGTAAGGAAAATAGTCATCAGAAATTTCAATGTTTTATAACTTATACCAAAATAGACAAGCAGTTTTGAAAGATGGAGTTATACATGCAAAATTGAATGTTTAATGTAATTAAATTATCTACATTTAAATTACTTGTTCAAACATATAGTATATATGTTATTGAGAGTAATTTATTATCATTTGAATTGTTACAAAAAAGTATTTTTAAGTGCACACCAAAGTGCTCCTCAGTAAGGAGTTTTATAAATATAACAGGTGAGACAGGAGATGATCATATTATATTGATGCAATAATATATTGCAGAAGGTATAAACAGTTACTTTTTTCTCCATCATTGTTAAAAATAAGATTGTTGAGTGCTCTTATGTCAGGATTATTATAAAATACAAGAAGTAAAACAGGAAGTGAATCTTGTTATGTTCAAAGTACAAATTTCTTTGATTCTTCTTTAAATTCATACTCATGGTTATGAAACAAAACATTTTTTTTACCAATTAAGTTAAAACTATGTATGCCTTTAAAATTGTTTACGATTTTATTTTTTATGTTATGCCTACTGAAATAAATTTTTTCAGGTGTACATGCTGTACATAAACATTACAAATGGATAACATGTGGACATTTCATTCTGTATTAAATATCTAGTATTTGTTCAATTATCTTAAATCCACTAATTAGCAGTTAACAATCATTAACAAAGGTGATAAAACTGCCAAAGCATTAGGTATTTAACTTAATCCCATTGTCAGTTAATTAGTGTTACACAATCAGGTAACAATTTTACCGGAAACGCCGGTAGGCATGAAATTTGGAAATTTTATTTTTTTGAAATGGCAGAGGGGTGCATTCTTTTACTTTGGAGGGCAGAAGGGCGGGGGTAAGGGCACCAAGGGCGGGCCGCCCTTCTATTTAGGGCAGGCGGGAACACTGATTTATGTATATGTGCTACATCTTATCTTTTTAGAGTTGGTTAAAACATATGGAGGTGCTCCTAAAGACAGAAGAATATAGCTGTAAGACTTACCATGTGTTGATCATTTAGAAGATGTATGACTCGAGATGACCATTCTGATATATTGATAAGATCAGGTGACGTACGTAACAAACGTAACAATGTCAATGCAGCACTCTGTTTCACAGCATCTATCGTATCTCTGAAGGTATAAAATACATTCCATGGCTGATTTGCATCTTTATCAAAGTTTTTATTCTTTAAATGATGATTAAAATACAATTTAATTGGTAAAAGCTTTTTATTGGTTGAAATTAAATTACCTCTGTCAAACAATCATCTAAATTATCTGATCTCGCCAACTTTTGTACACCGGAGTTACTTCAATCAGACGTAAACAAAGCATCTTCTCCATCGTTTCCAGTGTGACAAATCACAACAAAACTGACATGGACAGCTGTTGGCATAATACGGGATATGTTCTTCTCTTACATATTCTATGATGATATGATACTAAACCCCTAAGGGGAGGGATTGTACTTGATTTTCATATGATGAAGACATAATCTTTCAGTCAGTTGAATTCAGGTCTGGAACTGGCATGTCAATAACTGCTAGTAGTCCTTTGTTAATTAATATTGATCATTGTCTTTTGGCTTAAGTTTCTTCTGTTACCTATTCTAACATCGAACTCTGACTTCTTTTAAACTAAGTTTTACTGTGCGTTTTGCTGTGTGTTTGTTTATTCCACATTGGCTAGAGGTATAGGGGGAGGGTTGAGATCTCACAAAACATGTTTAACCAAGAGTGGATGTTGTCCTTGGTTTCTTTCTGGCATATTTTTTTGTTGTTCATTGTTGAATTGTAAAGAGAAGGCCGTTAGATGGATAGTTTACCCATTGGAAATCATATCACATCTCATTATTTTTATATATATGTAAACAAGCAGTGATTTTCCTACCCTTTTTTAAATGGGACCTGGGCCCTTGGCAATTGGAAAAAATGTGTCGTATAACGTATGAATTGGGAAGAAATAAATCATTTTATTCCACTGTTTAAACATATTGATGGTTTAATCAATATTTGATTGGTTGAGACTATCCCACGTGTCATTTAACAAATCTTCATATTCCATTCTGAGGATCATATTCCCCTCTGAAATGTCGGGATTACTTCGTGCGACGTTACGCGCGGTTAATGTACATAATGTTTTGAACTTCTTATTCTTCTTAAAATAGCGATAGAAAAAATCATTATCATGTTCAAATTTATTTCAGACGATAAAACAAAAAGACTTATAATTAAATTTTGATCCTTACTGTTTATCAATGGGTATGTCGTGTTTAGTTTGACTTACAAAAACAAGCGGATAAGAAAAAAAATGTATGCAAAATAATATTTAATGCATTGATAGTAAACAAAGCATAGGCAGTGGAATAAAACATTCATTTCCCTTTGCCTCGGGTGATGTGAAGATTTGCTCACCCTCGAAAAATCATATTCTTGGGTGAACAAATCTTCATATCTCCCTCCGGCACGGGAAATAAATGTATAGTGTTCAACATATTTTAAGGATGTACATGTTATTTATTATTTAAAAATTCCAATTTTCTTTTCATGTTTTAATTTGAACATATCAACTAGTCATACAACCCTGAGAATTATTGCAAGTTTCCTTGTCAGTAAGATTTCTCTCACAGACACTTATATGGCATGGTATAATGTATTCAGTGCTTAGTTCTGAGCTAGAGACTAGAGTCGACAACTGTCACTGATTAGGGTCGCACTCAGAGTGAAATTGATGGTCAGTTTCACTTTGTACAGGAGCAGAGTTCATTTCACGTGAATTATGCTCAGGTGTTTGGGTAGAAACAATTTGTTTAGTGTTAGTACTTGGGTTTGAGGTGACTGCTTTAGTGCCTTTATCCGCCACAACCACGGCTTCAACCTGTTCTACATCCGTAAAAGTAGAAACAATTTCGTTCAAAATATATCAGTCCCTGTAGTATCTTCAGTACTAATTTTGGATTTTTAAAAAGCTAAACAAGTTTTTTACAATCACAAATGAATCAGTGGCATCTCTGCCTTTTTTTAATTTGCGAAACATAATATTTTGAATAATGAGAGGACATGTTGTCTGTTTGGGCATGCTCAATTCACAGCAAAAAAAATAAACCAAACCGGCAAATCTTTGCTCAGTACGACATTGCCGCTCGAAAAAGCATACAGTAAAAATTTACGTGTGAGAAAATAATGAAAACCTTTTAGTTTTTCATGTTGGCATGTATTTACAATGTTACTCAGATAATAACACAGCATAATCACTTCATATCATTCTAAATTCTTACTGTTAACCACCGGAAGTCATCCAAATGCTGAACTAAGCTTACCCATTGTAAAACTGGTTTACGGTCGAAATATGATAGTTACCCGTCTTTATTCGATGAAATTACACGGGGAACAGTACAACAACCTATATTTTGAACCAAATCCTACGAACAATAAAATTATCAATTAACTTTCCGCTACAACTTGATTGAATTGGGAATTTTACAGGTTCAATTGGGAAAAATTTTAGGTATTTTTTTATTGGGAACGGGGCCAATATTCGGCCCTAAAATAAAGGCAGGAAAATCACTGACAAATCATGTTTGTAACATACAATAGATTCACCTACCCTGAGACTAATAGTTTTGGTATTTCTGTACCTAGAGCTTCAGCCATTTCTCGACTACCGATGTTAGCCACACATTGTAGTGCCAAGGTAACGTGGATAGGATTGCGACTAGATAAATCATTCTTTATGGCCTGGATGACTAATTTCATCAAGTCATTATGAGCACTAATCATCACCGATATAAATAAATATCCCTAAAACAAAATATATATGTAATTAGAAAACAATAAGAAAATCATCACACTGTGTTATTTCTCTGGGATATTCAATTGAAATTAGACCTCCAAAAGTTAACAAGTAATTACTGTGGATTCATTTATTTTCGTGGGTACCAATTTTCGTGGATTAAGAAAAACTCACATGTTCGTGGATATTTAATTTCATGATTTTGACAATGTTTGCATACAAGCCTATAGTAAATTTGCCATTCGTTGAACTTGAACTTTGAATTTCGTGGTTTACATATAACCACGAAATCCACGAAAATTGGTATCCCACGAATAATAATGAATCCACAGTACTGTGGATTCATTATATTATTCATATTAAAGATACAGATTTTCATTATAAATGAACCACAAATTTAAAAGTTCAATGAATAATACAAATTTTCTATAGGCTTTTATACAGACTTTGGCAAAACCATGAAAACACATATCCATGAAATACTTGTTTTCCTCAGTCCATTAAAGTTGGTACATATGAAAATAAATGAATCCAAACTATTGAACTTTTAAGAAATATAAATAGTATTATTTTCACCCCATGTTAACTTCAATGTTCATATTTTTTTTTGTATGACAATCATGATAATATTTGTGGTGCAAATGTCCTGTAAACTGTTTTTCTATAAGGGAACTTTAGGGGTTTACCATGTTTACATGTGACAATAAATGAGAGTATTTGTGAAAAAACTTCAATCACCATTTATTTTACTTACTATTTGTTTTTCTGTATATTTATTAGAACTAAGGAGGTTCACTGCTTCCATCTGACCAAAGTCAATATCATGTCCCAGTAAAAATATAAACAACAGTTTACACACATACTTTTTCTTCTGATAACCATCTAATGTTTTATCTCCTGCAAAATATAAACACTTGATAAAACATCATTCTCTCCTGTTAAAATATAAACACTTTATCATCAAACATCCCTCTCTCCTGTTAAATTATAAACACTTTATCATAAAACTTCATTCTCTCTTGTTCAAATATAAACACTTTATCATCAAACCCCATGTTCTCCTGTTAAAATATAAATACTTTAGCATCAAGCCTCATTCTCTCCTATTTAAATATAAACACTTCAGCATCAAACCTCATTCTCTCGTTATTAATAAATTGCTTCGCAGAGCGCAGCTGGATACAACCGCAGAGGTCCAACCCTGAACAGTTGGGACAAAAATGGACAAAATATTCACGCTTGATACAGGTCTGAATTTGGATTGTAATTCAATATTTGACACATAATAGGTTTCTGACACAGAATATCTGTAGTCAAAGAACTTAGAATTGGTTATATGATTTGAATTTATATTCAATTTTTTGCTTTTGTGCATTACACTATGCTGTTGTGAATTGGGTCTAACACCCCCCCCCCCCCCCCCCCCCCCCCCCCCCTGGAAAATTTTTTTTTACCTCCCCTCTTTTTTTTGCTTTTGTGCAATACACTACGCTGTTGCGAATTGACCTCCCCATCCCCCAAAAAAATTAATTTTTTTACCGCCCCCCCTCTTTTTCAATTTTTTTTTTTTTATTTGAAGATTCAAAAAATTTTCTTACTGATATCTGAAATCTTGAGGAGAAAAAATTGTCCCCACAACAAAAATAAATTGACAGCTAATCACCTCAAGACAATACAACATTTCTTTATATATAATTTAAAAGCAGTGTAAGGGAGGTAATTCAAGCACAACATTGTACTTAAGTAATTGTCCATTAACCAGGACACCCTTGCTTTTCTCATTTTTTTCCCCTAATTCCTAAACGGTTTGAGCCATAGCCCCCCAAAGCCAATCCTAGCCATCCCTTTGTGGTATAATTTCAGAGAGATCCATACACCGTTCCACAAGTTATTGTCATGAAACTAGAAAAATGTTTATTTGGGCACCTTTTTGGACCCTAACTCCTAAACTGTTGGGACCATAACCCCCAAAATCAATCCCAACCTTCCTTTTGTGGTTATAAACCTTGTGTTTAAATTTCATAGATTTCTATTTACTACTACTTAAGTTATTGTCCGGAAACCAAATGTCTTCGGACGACGCTGACGACGACGACGTGATACCAATATACGACCGCAAAATTTTTTGCGGTCGTATAATAATACAAGAGGCTGTCAGAGAGACAGCAAACTGGATTTTCCTGCAGAGGTCGAACCCTGAACAGTTGAGCAAGTATGGACACTACATTTAATCTTAAAACAGCTCTGAATTTGGATTGTGATTGAATATTTGACACAGCATAGGTTTGTGACACAAAATGAATGTGGTCAAAGTACTGAAATATTTGAAAATTGGACATTTACCTATTATGGTCCAATATCCAAAATCTAAGTACATATTAGAATCATCAAAGAACCCCAATAATTCAATTTTTGATGAAATCAGACAAAAGTATAATTTAGGACCCTTTGGACCTCAATGTGGTATTATCTTATTAATAATGAAAATAAATACAGGTTAAGATTAAGCATTTCAAAGAACCCTATATATATTCAATTTATTTTGAAATCAACACAGTTTAATTTTGGACCCCGATTTGGACCAACTTGAAAACTGGGCCCAAAATCAGAAATCTTAATATTGTAAATTCAGAAATTATTGCGTGCATTTATTATTGCGATTTCGTCATTTTAGACTAAAATGCGATTTTAATTTTTGCGATATTGAGAAAAATCCTGTTTAATTCATATAAAAAATTTCAAAATGCAAGTTTAAATTATTGCGATTATACCCCTTTCGCATTTTTCTCAATAATAAAAACATCGCAATAATTTCTGAATTTACAGTATATGTTTATTAATAGACAACATGGATAATATAAGCTTAGTTTTTAAAGGAGTTCACTTCATCAAAAAAAATATATAGCATTCAGAAAATTAGTTTTTACAGAATAACAAACAAACTTGCCACAAAATTCTTCAAACAATTTACCAAAGAAAAGAAGAAAAAAATCCAAAATTTTATTTATCATTAATACAATGTCTTTTCATCTGGCGATAACTCAACAAGAAGAAAAGCTAAAATCGTGAAAATTGAACTTGACCTTCATTTAGTCACAGGAAACAACATATTTAAATTTGAAAAAATTTCAATAAAGCGTTTTCATGATATTGAACAGACACTGTTTGGCAGCAGCCCGCCCGCCATACATCACCAAATCAATAACCAATATTTCCTACGAAAATCCGGTTAATAAACACTTTATTATCAATCCTCATTCTCTCCTGTTAAGATATCAACATTTAATCATCAAACCTCATTCTCTCCTGTTAAAATATAAACACTTTATCATCAAACCTCATTCTCTCCGGTTAAAATCTAAACACTTTATCATCAAACCTCATTGTCTCCTAATAAGATATAAACATTTAATCATCAAGCCTCATTCTCTGCAGTTAAAATATAAACACTTTATCATCAAACATCATTCTCTCCTGTTAAAATATAAACACTTTATCATTAAACTTCATAATCTCTCCTGTTAAAATATAAACACTTTATCATCAAACCCATTCTCTCCTGTTAAAATATAAATACTTTAGCATCAAGCCTCATACTCTCTTGTTTAAATATAAACACTTCAGCATCAAACCTCATTCTCTTCTGTTATTAAAAATATAAACACTTTATTATCAATTCTCATTCTCTCCTGTTAAGATATAAACATCTAATCATCAAACCTCATTCTCTCCTGTTAAAATATAAACACTTTATCATCAAACTTCATTCTCTCCTGTTTTCTTACCTTTGAACTTTGACCTAATATTTGCCAATTCTTTGTTTATTCTCTTTATTTCTGCTTCTTTACTCTTACCTAAAAATAGGATTTCAAAATAATCAGTCAACTACAAATAGCATCTACTACCTAACAAAACTAATCAACATTGCAGGTACATGTATGTTGAATGTTCAGAGCTTACACTACAGAATCATAGGTAGAATTTACTTCTCTTTTTGAAACTGATCATTTCTGATTGGGAATAATGCTTGCATGCTCAGTGTGCTACAATGTTTGATTTATACAATAATATATATATATTTGGCCGTATGTATCCTATAATTCTTATTCTTTTTTATATTGTGCCATATCCAAATCATACCTGAGAATACAATTACAGTAACAGTTGTCTCAGTTTATGTCTTAAAATTGCATTTATAGTCTTAATGTTTTAGCATAAGCCAGGATAAGGTATAGTTCTGACATGAAATGACTTATATTTTATTTGATCTTTAGACAAAATAAATGCTTGAAATTGCAGAATTAACAATTGAAAGCAATGCAGGGTTTCAGCTAGGATTTTGAGGGCTTTAGTCACTTTCGCGGGAGATGAAATAACGTTATTTTGGGTAACAGCAATGGACACTCTGCCTATTGACTAGGATCTTTGGAGGCATTAGGCATGCTACAAATGTAGACAGTTATTGCATGATTTGACTGATGTTATGCTTAAATATGAAGATAAGAACAAGGATCCGGAAATCTAGTTCACAATTTCACTTCAGTTATTTTCAGGGGACATTCCTGTTCAAAAAGCTGGATTCCTCTTTTTTAAAACCAGGAATCACAGCATAAATGAACTTGTAACGATTATTTCACTGCATAATCATTACCCTTGTAAAAACATTTAAATCGATATTTGGAATTCATTTCATTAAAGTTGGAACCAAGGATTTGTATCAATCCTTAATGGAATGATTGTTATGGCTGTAAAATGTAAATTAATCGAGAATAGATCACGTTTACTTTCAATTTTTAAATGAAACGAAAACGGGAAGTGACAAGTGGATAATAAATTCAGAATAAATCCGGATTCATCTACGGATATGTTAGTGGTTAATAAAAGTCAGGAAATTATCATTTTTGAAATTGATTTGATCAGTAAGAATTATATTTTTCTCTCTCGTTTAATTTGATACTAAATGATTTCGTCTTTTACGTTTTAGAATAAATACATTCACGCATGCGCAGTACATAGTAAACGGAAGCACCTGCTTGACGCATGAAAATATATTTCTGGACGTATTGAATAATTTAAACTTCTATCTTTTTAATTGAAATTGACGAAAGTTTTCGATGAAAAGTAATATCAAATATGACGAAAATACGTTCATATGACGAAACTGCTACAAACGAACTGCAAATTGTGATTGTTTTGGGAAATATTGAAATTCAAATGCAAACTGTCAGGGGGAAAATAATTTTGTTCAAATGACGAAACTATGAATTGTTGTCGTTTAAGAACTATTGAAATTGAAATGCCGAGACTGACTGATTTAACTGGGAAAAATAATTATGATGGTCAATTATGAGGTTTTTTAATAATTAACGGATAAGTGACCCATCTGATGGCGATAATCGGATTACCTGTCATCACAACTTTTAACACCTCTTGTAAACGTTAATTAGCTGAGGGGTCATAAACTTGTTAGAAACATGAAGACAGGTAGAATTATAGTATTTTCATGCGAAAATATTTTTACACTTTCCAAATTTAAGTGACGAAATTGATTTGAAATACTTTCGTCATTTTGAAAACCGTTTCTTAAATGACGAAAATGACGAGCGCTAGCAAAAGCACTGAGCTATGGGGATATATGAATTAATGATTCAATTCCTTGAAACCTTATTTATTCACAGCATTAATGCAAGCTAAGTAATGACTTGCTGATGGATTTTCTCAATGATCTTTTGGTAATTATTGTAATCATTGTAACAAAACATTTCTTCTAAATATAGCCAATAACCAATCAAGATCAGATCATTAAAACAGACAACCAAGAACTAGAAACATCAATACAAGCAATTTACAATGATATTACTGGTATGCTGTTTTGTTAATGATCAGTGAAATCTATAATTACAACATACAACACATTTTCAGAAAGTTGTGAATTCTATTCTAGTAATCTAGATCATGCAAAATCAGACCTTGAGGGGAATCATGTACAGTCTGCAGTGAATGTTGCATTTTATTGAGATATACAATTTTTGATGTTGGAATGCCTTGAGATTGTTGTCAGCCAAATAAATTACCGGTATATAGACCCTTATGAAACATACATGTACTGCAATTACTGTTCAAATGACATTTAGGCTGTCACATGGGTAATCACAAAAGTTGCCACATGTGTGATCACAAAGACATGTGAAGTCATAAAGGCTGCCACATATGTGATCACAAAGGGTTTCCAGCAGTGCCTGCATACGGAGTATATATCTCCCAGTTGATACGATATTCCAGGGCTTGTATTTCCTATCATGATATCCTTGATAAAGGGTTGCTGCTTACAAGGAAGCTATTTAATCAAGAGTTCCCAGTGGTGAAGTTGAAATCATCCCTTGGTAAATTTTACAGACACCATCACAAGTTTTGTTTCACAGATGAAGAAAGATATATTTCAATTATCGTAATTACAATCCCATCCACTTTTCCCCCAAATATGACCTACCTATAATTAGACTTATCAACAGGTCTGTACTTACATGAGCAACACAACGGGTGCCACATGTGGAAAAGGATCTACTAACTCTTCCAAAGCACCTGATATCACCCCAAAATTTAGGTGCGGTGCATGTAACAGTCTTTAGTTTTCTATGTTGTGTTTTGTAAACTGTTGTTTGTCTGTTGGTTTTTTTTTTCAGCCATTGGCTTTGTCAATTCATTTTCGACCAAATGTAAACTCTATCTGTTACTCATGCACCCCCACCACCAGAAACAGCATGTTTTGCTTAGCAATTTCTTTGAAGCGAGAAAAAACCATTTCATATATATATAGAATTGATTGATTGGTGTTTAAAGCCACTATCAGCACTATTGTGATTGTTCGTTTATATTCAATGTCAAGAAGCCAGATTGTCCAGAGAGAACCACTGACCTTCGGTAGGAAAACTGACAATCCTATAACTAGTCAATTAAAATTAGAGTCAAGTGCACCTGTAGCGCAGGATTCTAACTCACAACCTCAGTGTTGACAGGCTAGTGATACAGTAGTTCGACATGTACATAGAAAACTAAAGGACAAAATCCACATGGTCCATAGAGTATTTTGTATTTGTTCATGTTATTATAATTCTCGGCATGCTTCATGGTTGAGTGCTCACAAACATGTTTAACCCTGCCACATTCTTTATATGCCTGTCCCAAGTCAGGAGTTCAGCGGTTGATGTTGGTTCATGTCTGTCATATTTGTATTTTTACGTAAATTGTTTTGTTATAAATTAGGCTGTTAGTTTTCTCAATTGAATTGTCTCATATTTTTCATGCATGTTGGGGCCTTTTATAGCCGACTATCATGACTATATGGTATGGGTTTTTCTCATTGTTGGGCCATACAGTTGCCTATAATTGCTTACATCCACTTCATTTGACTTTGATGAATAGTTGTCTCATTGGCAATCATACCATATCTCCTTATTTTTATATTCATGTGCTTGGGTTTTTTTTATTAATTTTCCATTGAAATTATCATTTTTCCTCAATACATGGAAAATAAATAAATTTACTAAAATCATGATAATACAGGAAGAATTTCATCGTTTATTTTGTCTTCTATTTGATTATAAGTGAACTAGATTACCAGAAATCAATACCATGTGTACATACACTTAATTATAGCATTGATCAAAGTGTTTAATGTTAAAAAAAAGAGACAAACAGACACTCAAGGTCTGGGTATTGGTTATCTTAACCCTTTTCTCCATGGAAAATATCTTACATGTATATAATGGATATTGCAAAAAATGTTGAAATTAGCTAACAGTATTAAAAAATAAAAACTTTTATAATAAAATGCTCCGCTGGGCGCAGCTTGATACGGCCGCAGAGGTCGAACCCTGAACAGTTGGGGCAAGTATGGACACAACATTCAAGCTTGATACAGCACTGAATTTGGATTGTGATTAAATATTTGACACAGCATAGGTTTCTGACACAGAATGAATGTGGTCTAAGAACTTAAAAATTTTTAGTTTACCTATTCAAACCATATCATTATTATTTGCTTTTATATATAAATCAGAAATAACCAATTTAAAATGGAAAATTTTAAAGAAAAACAAGAGGCTCTCAAGAGCCTGAATCGCTCACCTGTATTTCAGAGGAGAAGATTTTTAAATGTTAGCAAACTTGATGAACAAATTGTGTAAAATTGTCTTTAAAGGGCAATAGATCTTGACCAATTAAACAATTTTACCCCATGTCACATTTGCTCTAAAAGATTTAGTTTTTGAGATATAAGCCAAAAACTGCATTTGACCCTTATGTTCTATTTTTAGCCATGGCGGCCATGCTTGTCGATGGATACAAACTTCGGATACAATTTATAAACAAGATACCCTAAGGAACATTGAGTTTAAGTTTGAAGGTAATTGGCCCAGTAGTTTCAGAGGAGAAGATTTTTAAATGTTAGCAAACTAGATGAACAAATTGTGTAAAATTGTCTTTAAAGGGCAATAACTCCTTAAGGGGTCAATTGACAATTATGGTCATATTAACTTTTTTGTAGATCTTACTTTGCTGAACATTACTGCTGCTTACAGTTTATATATATCTATAATAATATTCAAAATAATAACAAAAAACTGCAAAATTTTGTTAAAACTACCAATTCGGTGGCAGCAACGTTAACCCAACAATGGGTTGTTCGATTCGTCTGAAAATTTCAGAGCTGATAGATCTTGACTAATTGAACAATTTCACCCCATGTCAGATTTGCTCTAAAAGCTTTACTTTTAGAGATATAAGCCAAAAACTGCATTTGACCCCTATGTTCTATTTTTAGCCATGGCGGCCATGTTTGTCGATGGATCAAAACTTCAGATATAATTTATAAACTAGATACCCTAAGGAACATTTATTTAAATTTGAAGGTATTTTGCCCAGTAGTTTCAGAGGAGAAGATTTTTGAAATAGTTTACGACGACAGACTACAGACAACGACGGACGCCAAGTGATGGCATAAGCTCATATGGGGCCCTTCGGGCCTCGGTTAGCTAAAAAAGGAAAAAAAAATCCCTCCCCCAAATTTTTTGAACCCCCTTATGATTCATCACCCCCCAAACTCAATCCCAGCCTTCCCTTTGTAGTATGGTACCTTGCAGTACAATTTTAGAGAGATCCATACACTTGAACACAAGTTATTGTCTGGACTAGAAAAATGCTTGTTTTTTGGCCCCTTTTTGGGCCCAAATTCCTAAACGTTTAGGGCAATTACCCCCAAACTCAAACCCAGCTTTCCCTTTGTGATATGGAACCTTGTAGTACAATTTCATAAAGATCCATACACTTACACACAAGTTATTGTCATGAAACTAGAAAAATGCTTGTTTTTTGCCCCTTTTTTGCACCTAATTCCTAAAATTTTGAGGGAATTACCCCCAAAATAAATCCCAGCCTTCCCTTTGTGGTATGGTACCTTGCAGTACAATTTCAGAGAGATCCATACACTTGAACACAAGTTATTGTCTGGAAACTAGAAAAATGCTTATTTTTGGCCCCTTATTCCTAAACGTTTTGGGCAATAACCCCCAAACTCAATTCCCGCTTTCCCTTTGTGATATGGAACTGTGTAGTACAATTTCATAAAGATCCATACACTTACACACAAGTTATTGTCATGAAACTAGAAAAATGCTTGTTTTTTGCCCTTTTTTTGGCCCCTAATTCCTAAAATTTTGAGGCAATTACCCCCAAAATCAATCCCAGCATTCCCTTTGTGATATGGAACCTTGTGGTACAATGTCAGAGAGATCCATACACTAACACACAAGTTATGTCTGGAAGTTACAAAAATGTTTATTTTTGGCCCCTAATTCCTTAATGGTTGGTAGCATAACCCCCAAAATCAATCCCAACCTTCCTTTTTTTGGTATTGAACCTTATGGTACAATTTCATAGACTAGAGATCCATTCACTTTAACTAAAGTTAGAGTGCGAAAACCAATGTGTCTTCGGACGACAACGACGCTGGACGACGATGATGACGCCAACATCATACCAATATACGAACTAAATTATTGCGGCTGAATGATATGCTGAATGTTATTGTGCATTTAGATTTTTTTATTTTGGGCCCTGTTTTCAAATTAGTCCATATTCTGGTTTAAAGGGTTCAAAATTAAACTTTGTTTGATTTCAACTAAATTAAAAAAATTTGAGTTTTTTTATGCTAAATCTAACCATGTTGTTAGATTTTAGATATCAGACCGTTCTAGGTAAATCAAATGGATTACTTCAAATTTTTAAGATCTTTGACCACATTTATTTTATGTCAGAAACCTATATTATGTCAAAAATTTGATCACAATCCAAATTCAGACAGTATCAAGCTTGAATATTGTGTCCAAACTTGTCCCAACTGTTCAGGGTTCGACCTCTGCGGTCGTATCAGGCTGTGCTCAGCGAAGCATTTTATTCTTTTTAGGATCAATATTCTTCTGTCAGCTGTTCCATTCATGCGTCCATAGTTATTATTGTAAAAATACGGATTTCGGTCATAGCTGGTCCATTTCTGATCAATCCCGCCTCAGGTCCTTAGTTCGTAAAATTATTTCAATGGCGGACGAAGAAAATTTACAAAAATAAACGATGTTTGACAAGCTATTTGGAAAGGAATATGACGTTTTTAACGCTATAAATGGATTAAACATTTACAGGAGGTAACTTTCATCACGTTCTCATGAAGTTACAAACATATATTGCCGCCGAAAGTTAGATTGATTTGATGTCTCTCTCGAGTAACAACTATCGGAAGTGATAAAAAGTTGTCTTTTTATCAAATAACCTGCAACAAACTGTAAAGTCAATACTTTAACTTGTTTTCTAAAGAAAATAAATCGTTTATGTCTTTGAACAGTATGTTGAATTTCTTTAATTATTAATAAAAAATGATTTTTCATTGACTTGGTAAAATTTGAAAATGTCCGATGACAAAAGCGACTGAAAGCGAGTATGGTGAACAACAGGCCGACTAGATTTCACTTTTGACGGTCGGGCAAATCGAAGTGGCGGAGGGGAAAGCAACTTTATTGCTGCAGTCGCCTGCTAGCGTGAGCCCAGTCATGTCTGATGGGTTAGGTCAAAATAATTTCCATGGAAATGAGATGTGCTAATGTTATTATAAAACTGCATATCAAATATTATTCACCTACCACTAGTAGTGGTTCCCCTTACTCTCATGATTTTCTTGAAGCTTGGAGACAAAACTAGGTGGAACTGTTTAAGTGAACTCAAACTAATGTCTCTCCCTTCATAAAAATCAATTATTTGACCTTAAAAAGTGATAGTCAAAGAAACAAGCCATCTTCCATGGTAGGTGACCAGACTGTGGCAGATGTCGCTGGTCCAACGGGCCTGACAGACAAAATTGATGACAGACCGCCAAATCAATTGATTGAATCTGTCAAATTATCTGGGGATGTTGTAGTAAATTCATTCTATTAGGCCACTTTTTTTTATTAGTTGGTTTACGGGATTCTTCTAAAAAAAGGAAGGGTAGGAGGTTGTAAAAAAAAAATAAATAAAAATAATGAAAAAGGATAGGGTAGGCCATGTAGGAGGTCGAAAAAAAAATAAAAATAAAAGTTGGAATTAATACTGTTTTTTTTTACCAAAAATCGAGAAACAAACAATGACATTACTCTATAGTATAATACTAACCATGTATGCAGATCGTTTCATGAACTGGTATTAATTCTTGCTGTTTTAATTAATGTGTTACAAGGAGTCCAATGTCAATGTAGATTGATGAAAGCAGACACATATATATATATGTCTCTGATGAAAGGGAAGTGTGTTTTCCAATTGCACTTCTTTTTGTTCTGTGTATTTATTTATCAAATTTAAATCAGGGAGTGACAATATTCCTCATATCATAATACAATCTTATTGAGGAAATACCATGCTCTCTGCATGTCATATGCCTTCATATGTGGTACATATAAACATACAATTTTTGTCCTTTTTATGCTATTTTACACTGCTAAGTATTAACTTATATCTCGAAGTGTCCTGTGATTGTCCCTTTTTATAAATGTTGAAGTGATATTGTCAGGCATTCTATGACAGTAATACATGTTCTGATTTTGTGTTGGGATCTTGTTCACTATATCCCTTCTTTATATCAATTTAAATAAGAATAAACTGCTTCGCTGAGCGCAGCTAGATACGCCCGCAGAGGTCCAACCCTGAACAGTTGGGGCAAAAATGGACACAATATTCAAGCTTGATTCAGGTCTGAATTTGGATTGTAATTAAATATTTGACATATTATAGGTTTCTGAATAAATGTAGTCAAAGAACTTGAAATTGGTTATATGAATTGAATTTATATTCAATTAAAGATTTCTTGCTGTTGTGCAATACTTAGTAAATCTGTTGTCAGACTATGAACAAATAAAGTTCAATTAATTCTCAATGTCATATTAGAAATTTATGAAAATAAAAAGGGAGCTTACATCAATAGATATAAACAATTCACCAAAGTTTCATGAGAATTGGTGACAGCATTTATGAGTCCAAAAACTGGAAAATCACCCCTTTTTTTAATGAATAAAACCCCATAACTCAGAAATGTAAAATGTAAAATTTATAAAATTCTAAGGGGAGCTTACATCAATACATACAAACAATTCACCAAAGTTTCATAAGAATTGCTGAAAGTATTTTTGATTTTTTGTCCGAAAACTGGAAAATCCCCCCTTTTTTATGAATAAAACCCTGTAACTCGGAAATGTAAAATCTAAAATTTATAAAAATCAAAAGGGAGCTCATGTCAATAGATATAAACAATTCACCACAATTTCTTGCAAGTTGGTGAAAGCATTCCTGACTTATTGTCCGAAAACTGGAAAATCCCCCTTTTTTTAATGAATAAGACCCCATAACTCGGAAACGTAAAATCTAAATTTTATAAAAAACGAAAGGGAGCTCACGTCAATAGATATAAGCAATTCACCAAAGTTTTATGCAAATTGGTTAAAGCATTTTTGAGTTAATGTTGGACATGTTGACGACGGACAGACGGACGGACAACTGTATACCATAATACGTCCCGTAAACGGGCGTATAAAAACACATGGATCTTATTTAAATTCCTACTCAATAGGACTGTTCCATTAAAACATATTAATAGGTACCGTGGGAAGGTATTTAGGTATTTATATAATCAGGCCAATTAATCAGACACAAATCCCTGGCAGCAAGTTAAAAGATCCTTCCCTTTAGTAGGTACCTCATATGTTTAATGGAACAGTACAATTAAATATGAATTTCTAAGAAATTGGCTAGTACTTCACATGGTGTGTCCAAAGGGACAACGCTGGCATCGTCAGTCAATTTGTCTTTCTTGGAAGCTTTCACGGTGTCAATAACAAAAACGCTTTCACTAAGACATTCAAGAATAATGTCTTTTACAGTCTGTAATGGTTTTGTGCAGACAAACTGCCCTAAAACATCCCCTTTCGACGGGTTTCAACACTTGAAAAAAAATTGACCCGCCGTCAACCTCCATTTTCAACTGGTTCCTTTTCACCGCATTAGATCATGATGAAACATTGACTGAACAGGGAACCGCACGGGATTTTCCAATCCACTCCGAGGGTATTCCGACTGGAGGAAGAAAGGCCAATCTTTTTTATTATGTTTTTATTTTTATTTGTACTTCTTCAAACAGAAAAGGGTCGGCGGTATTAAAAAAAATCTTCAAAATCTTTTTTTTTTTATTTCAAAATCAGGAAAAACAGGGTCGGCGGATCCATTAACCAACAAATAAAAGTGGCCTTATATAATATCTGAATTCTGCCGCTTTAATTCATTAATTATTCCTTAAAATGTAACAATGACTTTACAATTGATAAAAATCACTTTTTCATTGACTAATTTTGCAATTGACCTCTTTCACAGTACAGTAATTGTGGTATTAGCAGTAATTTAAACCCTGATACTAGTTATATTAAAATAAATTGTAAAATTTTGGGTTTCCTGATAAGGTTATCCCATCACCATGATCACATGCATGCATGCACCAGTCAGGAAAATCTGATTTCACCGGCAATTGTATTTTTTCACTGTACATCTGAGTTCCAATGTGTCCCTCATTGCACATATATATTTTATCAATCAAAGGGCAATAACTAAAAAAAAATGTTTTTTTTTGGTTCCTTAAAACTTTTTATAAATATATTAAAAAGAAATGTATGCTTGAAAGAACTAATAATGCAATTTTTCATATAATTAATATTTCCAAAGGACATAACTCTTTAAAAATAAATGGGAAATGTGTCCATGGGACACAGATGATGCCTCCGCTTGCATATCATATAAAGTTATAAAGGGACATAACTGACTAAAGGTAAAAGTGACGCTACCCAAATTTGTACTTGATCTGAGTTTTGTGGTAATAAGTATTGTGTATAAGTTTCATAACATTTGGTTGGGGCAAATTAAACTTGTTAGAAAATGGAAACTTTGTAAAGGGGCATAACTCTAGAACAGTAAAAGTGACACCTCCAAAATTCAAACTTGATCTGTATTTTGTGGTAAAAAGCATTGTGTATAAGTTTCATGACATTTGGTTGAGGCTAACTTAAGTTAGAGAACGGAAACGAAAAAATTCAGCAATTTTTCCATTTTTAAAGGAACATTACTCTAGAACGGTTAAAGTGACACCGCCAAAATTCAAACTTGATCTGTGTTTTGTGGTAATAAGCATTGTGTATAAGTTTCATAACATTTGGTTGAGGCAAACTAAAGTTAGAGAACGGAAACCAACTTTCGGACGTACGCACGTAAGGACGGAAAAGGTAAAACTTATTGCCCCCTACGCTATGGCGGGACCATAAAAATATTTGATCGGCTCTGATATTCAAACTTGTTCTAGACATAGCTGATACACCTTTGATATAAGTTTGATAAAGATCTGGCAAAATTGTACAAATATGTATATGTAATGTATGTGGAATATATAGATAAGTTTACATTTGAATTAATAATTTACAATTCAAAGCTGTGATATGATTTTTTTTGTTTAAACGTGTCTGAAATACAATGAAGAAGGGATTACAACAAGTTAGCTATTACATTATCTTTTTTCGGTCTGACAAGTCATATTGCTCAAACCAATCATATCATATACATGTACATGATGTATATGGCATCACTGTCTTACAAAAGTCATATTGGTCAAACATATCATATCATGTGTATACGTGAATGCCCGATAGATCATAGAATGTAAGACAGTTTGGCACACACTGCAACAGAGTAAAATTTCAAACTGATACTTACAATTCCTAATGTCTGATATAAAAACAGCCAATCCTCGCATGCCATCTCCTTTCACTGCCGGCATGATGACCTTTTAACCTAGATAAAATAATATAAACACTTTAAGTCTGATCAGTGTTCTAGCTAGGATTTCAAAAGGGCAGGGAGCCAATCACAAAAAGGGCACTTTAGCATGCTGATTGATAATTTAAAAAGGTCACGTCAAACATTTTCTTTTATTATGTAAATTTTTCAGCTATTGCTGCTAAAGTTTGAGGGCTTAAGTCACTTTTAAGCGAGATGAAAATCAACCTTATATTGGGTAAAAGTAAGGGGCCAAGGACGTATATTACTAATTATACGTCATGTACATATCCCCAAGTTATTTTCATTGGACATTCCTGATCAACAAAAGTTGGGTTCCTCTTTTTTAAAACCAGGAATCACAGCAGAAATGAAATTGTAACGACTATTTCACTGCATAATCATTATGCCTGTGAAAAAACGTTTAAATCGATATTTGGAATTCATTTTTATAAACTTGGAACGATTAAAGTGACAGTATATTTTAAATTTATCAAGAATAGATCATGTTTACTTTCGATTTTTAAACTAAATGAAAACGGGAAGAGGATAATGAATTTAGAATGAATCCAGATTCATCTACGGATTGGTTCGTGTTTAACAAAAAGGCAAGAAATTATCATTTTTTAAATTAAGTTGCTCAGTAAGAAATATATTGTCTCTCTCATTTCCCGGTAATCTGATACTAAATGATTTTATATTTTACGTTTTACTGTCTATTAAATTTATAGGAATACGTTCACGCATGTGTAGTACATGATAAAGATAGCACCTGTTTGACTTGTGAAAAAATTTCTGAACGTTTTGAATAAAGTTTTATCTTTATAATCGAAATTGTCGAAAGACTTTGTTGAAAAATTATAAAAAATGTGACGAAACTACGTCAAATCAGCTGAAATAAAACTCGCTGGGGCGCAGCTTGATACAACCGCAGAGGTCGAACCCTGAACAGTTAGGGCAAGTATGGACACAACATTCAAGCTTGATACAGCACTGAATTTGGATTGTAATTAAATATTTGACACAGCATAGGTTTCTGACACAGAATGAAAGTGGTCTAAGAACTTAAAAAATTTTAATTTACCTATTCAAACCATATCATTATTATTTGCTTTTATATATAAATCAGAAATAACCAATTTAAAATGGAAAATTTTAAAGAAAAAAAATCCCCCCCCCCCAAATTTTTTGAACCCCCTTATGATTCATCACCCCCAAACTCAATCCCAGCCTTCCCTTTGTGGTATGGTACCTTGCAGTACAATTTCAGAGAGATCCATACACTTGAACACAAGTTTTTGTCTGGAAACTAGAAAAATGCTTGTTTTTTGGCCCCAAATTCCTAAACGTTTAGGGCAATTACCCCCAAACTCAAACCCAGCTTTCCCTTTGTGATATGGAACCTTGCAGTACAATTTCATAAAGATCCATACACTTACACACAAGTTATTGTCCTGAAACTAGAAAAATGCTTGTTTTTTTGCCCTTTTATGGCCCCTAATTACTAAAATTTTGAGGGAATTACCCCCCAAAATCAATCCCAGCCTTCCCTTTGTGGTATGGTACCTTGTAGTACAATTTCAGAGAGATCCATACACTTGAACACAAGTTATTGTCTGGAAACTAGAAAAATGCTTATTTTTGGCCCCTTATTCCTAAACTTTTTGGGCAATTACCCCCAAACTCAATTCCAGCTTTCCCTTTGTGATATGGAACCTTGTTGTACAATTTCATAAAGATCCATACACTTACACACAAGTTATTGTCATGAAACTAGAAAAAATGCTTGTTTTTTGCCCCTTTTTGGCCCCTAATTCCTAAAATTTGGAGGCAATTACCCCCAAAATCAATCCCAGCATTCCCTTTGTGATATGGAACCTTGTGATACAATGTCAGAGAGATCCATACACTTACATACAAGTTATTGTCATGAAACAAGAAAAATGCTTGTTTTTTGCCCCTTTTTGGCCCCTAATTCCTAAAATTTGGAGGCAATTACCCCCAAAATCAATCCCAGCATTCCCTTAGTGATATGGAACCTTGTGGTACAATGTCAGAGAGATCCATACACTTGCACACAAGTTATGTCTGGAAGTTACAAAAATGCTTATTTTTGGCCCCTAATTCCTTAACTGTTGGTACCATAACCCCCAAAATCAATCCCCACCTTCCTTTTGTGGTATTGAACCTTATGGTAAAATTTCATTGAGATCCATTTGCTTAAACTAAAGTTAGAGTGCGAAAACTAATGTGATTTTGGACGACGACGACGCCAACGTCATACCAATATACGACCACAAAAATTTTTTTGCGGTCGTATAAAAAGTGATCGTTTGAGAAATTTTGAAATTAAAATGCAAACTGTCCGGGGGAAAACAATTTTGTTCAATGGACGAAACTATAAAAACATCTATAGATAAACAAACTGCAAATTGCAGTCTTTTGAGAAATATTGAAATTGAAATACCGACTGACCAATTTTACTGGGAAAGATAATTATAATGGTCAATTATGAGGCTTATTAATATTGAACGGATTAGTGACCCATCCGATAGCGATAAGTGGATTACCTGTAATCACAACTTATAACACCTGCTGTAAATGTTAACAGGGGTTCAAATAAGCGGTGGTCCGAGGTCCGTAACCTTCCATTTACGGGTTCGGACTTTCCCACTGGTAGTTAGGTACACCCGACGGACTTTCGTATTTTTGCAGGTTAAAAAGTTACAAAAGCATTTTGAACAAAAATATATGAAATCAAGAATAAAAATAATCTTGAAATATGCAACTTTACTGAAAGGAAACTTATGTATTTCCTTTAATTCTTCACAATTGAATTGATGTGTAGTCATGTGACTGGTCGCCGTACAAGATCCTGGGAAACTTGAGAATATGATATTAAAACATAACCAGTAAACAGTAGGAGTCTGTTTGGATTTGGAGCGACCCCTTCCAAAAGAAAACCTGATGAAACAGGGGATAAAAAGGGGGTGATTGGTGAAATAAAGGATACAAGGGGGGTGATGGTTACAAGAGCGCAATTATTTGTTTACATTTTACCGGCAATTTTTTTACCCCAAGATGGTACTCAGAATAGAATCCTGTACGGCTTCTGATTGGATGATACAGGATTGGAATTACATTTAATCGAAAGCTTATCCAATTAGGTTTAAAAATTGCAGAAAATCATATTCACATTTTACGAAGTATAGAAAATATCCTCCATTTCTGCACGTTGGAGCCAATAAAAATATGCCTTTTTCATTAAGCGAAAAAAATAGACGATCTTTTTCAACTGCATTTTAAGTCAATTTCTGCCGCATGACCCTATATATTTTTTTGGTTGTACTGCAACACTGGCTTTTCTAGTAACAGGAACTGCAATCCGTTTTTCCCTAGTTTGTGTAGTCTTCGAGAAAAAAAATACGGAACACCAGTGGTACCCTATGGAAAATGCATTACGAATAATTGCGCTCTTGTAACCTATAGAAAAAAGACATTTTTTTTGAATAAGGCTTTGAAAAATGTTGAAAATAGTCATTTTGCTCGGAAAAAATGTGAAACAGCGAGAAATGGGGTCAAATGGACTTTTCATCAACGTGAATTCAAGCTATAGTCTGTTTCCTATTTGTGTTGATTTCCATATCTAAATCTAGGGTGGGCTCGAATGTCGACAAAGTATGAAGAGAATAGAACGGTTTTGTGATACACTACAGCTCGGATGGATTTTGCTTTGTCCACCGGCCCACCATGGGAGTGGGCACCGAGTGGGCAAAATTTGTACCTTGTCCACTCTGCCCACGTGTAGGAGTGGGCATTCAATTTCTTTTGTTTCATCTAAAGACTTGCAAGTACAATCACTTGAAAAAAGCAGATAAGCATTTGTAATCAATATTTTTACAAAAAAGAGATGTGACTGGTCGCCGTACAAGATCCTGGGAAACTTGAGAATATGATATTAAAACATAACCAGTAAACAGTAGGAGTCTGTTTGGATTTGGAGCGACCCCTTCCAAAAGAAAACCTGATGAAACAGGGGATAAAAAGGGGGTGATTGGTGAAATAAAGGATACAAGGGGGGTGATGGTTACAAGAGCGCAATTATTTGTTTACATTTTACCGGCAATTTTTTTACCCCAAGATGGTACTCAGAATAGAATCCTGTACGGCTTCTGATTGGATGATACAGGATTGGAATTACATTTAATCGAAAGCTTATCCAATTAGGTTTAAAAATTGCAGAAAATCATATTCACATTTTACGAAGTATAGAAAATATCCTCCATTTCTGCACGTTGGAGCCAATAAAAATATGCCTTTTTCATTAAGCGAAAAAAATAGACGATCTTTTTCAACTGCATTTTAAGTCAATTTCTGCCGCATGACCCTATATATTTTTTTGGTTGTACTGCAACACTGGCTTTTCTAGTAACAGGAACTGCAATCCGTTTTTCCCTAATTTGTGTAGTCTTCGAGAAAAAAAATACGGAACACCAGTGGTACCCTATGGAAAATGCATTACGAATAATTGCGCTCTTGTAACCTGATTGATGAAATGGCTTAAAGCAGCCCGAAAGACAGGATCTGACTACAGACCAATAATACGACAGAGAAAAACAAGAACGTAAATTTTTCCCACAAACAGTGAAAGGGAAAGTGCCCTGGTTCATTGGACAACAAAAATTAAAATTTGACCCCATAAAAATTATGATGAAAAATAACTACCCAGCATCTATGTACACGATGTATCTTGCAAAAAAAAAGTGGTTAAAAGAAACTAAACCCAAGTTTGAAAACGAAGTTGAGTTGTTATCTGACACAAAGTTAGGCCAGTGTTCTTAAGCAGCAATTGAAACCAAACCAATTATAAAGGTACAAAGTGTTATTTAACACAGCATATAGTGTTGGAAAAAGGGGAAGCCTTTTACTGACTGAATTTATTTAAGACATTCAGAAAAAAAATAGGTTAATGTAGTAAGATATGATGGGTGTTTTGTTATGGTAAGCATTTTCTGTTTTTATAATTTGAATTTTCAATAAAAATTGGACCTTCTAAGAATAATGGAGGACCTTTAAGTATCTTTGGTCAAAGGTCATGGACCTTCCATTGCTTAAAGTAAATTTGAACCCCTGTGTTAATTAGCTGAGGGTCATAAACTTGTCAGAAACATGAAGGCAGGTGGAATTATATAGTATTTTCATCAAAATAATATGACAATAAACATGATAAAGGCATGAACTCGCGAAAAGGGCAGGGCGTCTTAAAAATGGCACAGGGCGTCAGAAAAAGGGCACAGGGCGTCAGTCGGACCGCCCTGTGAAAAAGATCAAGCTGAAACACTGCTGATACAACTATACATTTGAACATGTAGCATTTTATTTATTGTATGCATGTGACATTGTTAACTGCATAAATCAGCTTCCCTGGCCAGATTACAAGAACTATAAGCATGATGAGGAAATAATGCAAGTTTGCAATAGTAGATCTTTTCCGTTTGAACAGTTGACCTATAAGTTAACAGTTACTCTTCATCCTGTCAAGTTTTCCAGATGATAGCCAAAATTGCATAAAATTGAGTTTTCATAGAGAAGTTTCAAATAAAATTTAATGCATTTTTTATACATATATAAAGCAGAAATATATTCCATCAAAACCTTAGGTGGGCTGATTTACCGGACTGCATAATAGTTAATACTTTTAGTGAGAAATCACTGATCTATAATTTAGAAAGTGAAGACACGATACAGATACTGAGTGTTCATGTTGTAGACTTGATTTGGACCGTTGCCTCTTGTGTCTCGTTGGTGTATATCCCATATTTTCTTTTACCAAACTATGTCAAGTGTAGAAAGTAGGCGTTTCATCATCATCAGGTTCATTAATTTACTCCAAATACTTTAAATACAAATATGTCCGAGACCAGCAGCATGTTTATCAAACATAAACTATCAATAGTAGCGCAAAAGACATGGTAGTTGACTTATAATCTTTTCATCGCGAATGGAACTCATTCACTTTACTTCTTCTGTTTGTCTATGTCAGATATTAAAAATTATGTACTCGGAAGATTTAGGAATAATGTGCGTTTATTTATTCATTCAGGGTTTGGTGTATATTTTGCATGTTATTTTTGTATAATATCATTAAATACCTTCTTAAATTTGATGTAATATAGCGTTAATATCTGTTGTAAAGGTTTTTATAATGATAACTCATCAGAGAGGTGTATCATCGGCGAAACATGTCCGCCATTTGCATGTCTAACGTCAAGTCGAGGCTCTGAAGACACCCACCAAATTTATCTGCTTTCGTCCTTACATTTTTCGACACTATATTCTTTCGTCACAATAGCAGTATTTTAATTATTTCCGTTAAACGTATAAAAAAAGTTTACTTCCGTCAAGTAAACTAATAACACAACTTCACAAGGCAGGAATGATTTGTTTGTCTTTTAAGTAAATATGAAAATAATAGTAATATTAACATTCCAGTCCTTCTTCTTCAATCCACGGGGCCTCGGTGGCCGAATGGTCCTTAAACGGGCACTTTGCTTATTTGAATATTATACTAAAGAAATCGGATACGGGTCACGGAAATTATATTGAAATGATAGGGAATTTTGAAAAAAAAATGTCTGTTTTAACTTTAATTTAAGTGATAGACAGGTTGCCGGGACAGAAAATAAATATACACAACAATAATCAATATACACCATTTAAACGAAACATAATGACTGTCGTTGCAAAAATCAAGGTTCCTGAGCTATTTTAAAAATCGAAGCGAGAGGCTTTTAACATTGCAGTATAAAATACAGGCTAAAATGGCTGAAACGTCAAATTTGAAAACTTCGTGTTGAAAATTGGCTAACAAGGTCATTACAAAAACAGGTTGCCGGGATTAAACTTGAAACTTGAATGTCCAAAGAATAAGCAAGTCCGACTTGTATGTGTAGTCATTGAACTCTAGGTTCCCACGTAAAGTTAAAATGTCCCTATTTCAAGAAGACTAAACTCACGAAAACACGAAAAATTCACTAAATTCGCGTTCATTGTTTTGATTTTGACCGCCTGACAACTTTACGGAAATATTAGAGTGATTATAAACAAGGACTCTGTGACGGGCAACTTATAATATCCGTGTTTTAAATATTTTAATGATATCAAGCCAGTCCAGTTCAAACAGGAACATATATATTACATATACTGTTCCCAGGTTCAAACTATTATCACGTGGTACAATTCTCATTTACATATTATGAATATTAATTAGCAAAAGTGCTACTAATTTCTGGCTATGTGAACTACTATATCACTGGCCAGTCAACACTGAGGTTGTGAGTTCGAATCCGGCACGGGGCAGGTGCACTCGACTCCCATCTTAATTGACTAGGATTGTCAGCTTCCTACCGAAGGTCGGTGGTTCTCTCTGGGCACTCCGGCTTCCTCCACCATGTCCACCAATAAAACTTACCGCCACGAAATAGCACAATAGTGTTGAAAGTGGCGTTAAACACCAATCAATCAATCAATCAATCTTCAATCCACCCTTAAAATCGAGAGAACTTGTATTTACACTGTACAATCTGACAAGCAATTAAAAATAGTATAGTATAGTATAGTTTTATTCAGGCTAATTCTACCACATAATTATACAAAAATTCACAAGACAAGACAAAGCAACTAATATATATATATATATATATATATGTCTATCCTGAATTGAGGTAAATTATATGGTCTTCCAAATACCGTTTCGATTCCTAACATCACTGAAGAGACATTAATTGTCGAAATCCGGATATGGTGTACTAATTTCTGCACCATTTGTTTGCGGTATACCATCTTTACCGCAAGTTTATTGTTTTCTGTTTGGTATTAAATTAATAGTTAAGATTCTTTTTGTAACATCTGGTGATTCGTTTATTTGGCAATCGCCAATGGCAGTCAGCAGGGTTTAAGAACATCCGTTGTTCGACCTGCTAGTCAAATGCGTTTTGTTAAAATATACTTTTTCACTTCTTTGGTCTTTTGGAAAATATTGTTTGTGCTGTATTTAGACCCCTCTACCAAGAAATTTGTTTTGCATGCACACGTATAAAAATTGCGGTTTTTATCCAACGCAATCATATGTTTGAACGTTGTTTTCAATTTAGACTTGTATATATATATATATATAGATAAAAACCGCAATTTTTATACGTGTGCATGCAAAACAAATTTCTTGGTAGAGGGGTCTAAATACAACACAAACAACATTTTCCAAAAGACCAAATCAGTGAAAAAGTATATTTTAACAAAACGCATTTGACTAGCAGGTCGAACAACTGAACAGATGTTCTTAAACCCTGCTGACTGCCATTGGCGATTGCCAAATAAACGGATCACAAGATGTAACAAATTAGATCTTATTATTACTTTATTACCAAACAAAAAACAATAAACTTGCAGAAAAAGATGGTATACCGCAAACATGAGGTGCAAAAATTTGTACACCATATCCGGATTTCGACAATTAATGTCTCTTCAGTGATGTTAGGAATCGAAACGGTATTTGGAAGGCCATATAATTTACCTCAATTTAGGATAGACTCTTGAATTTTGAAAGAGTCAAAATAGGATGAACGGATCATATAAACCCGAAGGCAAATATAATACAAGCCCAAACGAAAAAATATAAACAAGTCTAAATTGAAAACAACGTTCAAACCTATGATTGCGTTGGATAAAAACCGCAATTTTTATACGTATGCATGCAAAACAAATATCTTGGTAGAGGGGTCTAAATACAGCACAAACAACTTTTTCCAAAAGACCAAATCAGTGAAAAAGTGTTGATTTTTAACAAAACGCATTTGACTAGCAGGTCGAACAACTGATGTTCTTAAACCCTGCTGACTGCCATTGGCGATTGCCAAATAAACAGATCACAAGATGTAACAAAATAGATCTTATGATTAATTTATTACCAAACAGAAAACAATAAACTTGCAGAAAAGATATATATATATATAAAGTGCCTAGAAAATCAACCTAACGATGTTAGAGTAGATCCGATTCTTAACTTGCTCCCTGAGCGGGGCAGGAACCTGTACTTTATATTTCTAACTTCTACGACAACACCGCCTAGCATTGCGCAGACGTCTTATCCCCTCATCTAACTAACTGTTAAAAATCAGCTTTCTTTTCGGGAGGTGTTACATTCTCGTTGGAATTAAACAAGGACATCTAATACAATACACGAAGTATTCTTAAGTGTACAGAAATTATCATCTACTAATCTCTATATATATATACTTTTAAAATAGTATCATAATATATTTTAAAAACAGTGCTTAGAAAAATGCCTGGGATATCCCATAAAAGCTTACATAGTATAGCTTATTTCCAATGGGGTCCCTTGTTTGAAAATATATAAAAAATAATATTTCAAACTATTGTTAAAATTTGACTTTCACCAAAAAAAAAGAAAGATCAATTGTTTCTTAAAAAACATATAAAAACGCTCCAGTTTCTCTATTTCTTGCTGTTATTTTTAATTGTTCTTTAACTGCAGTCTTAAAAGCAGATCTATTTGATATATTTTTTATGTTGGATGGTAGATTGTTCCAGTCTTGTATAGCATTATAAACAAAGCTGTTTTTATTACAGTTATTAACATTTGGTACACAATAATTATGTGCAGCACTTCTGGTATTATGATTATTCAAGTCAAAATGTTCACATAAATACCCTGGAGCATGTCCATGATATATATTGAATACATGGTTTAATTTAAGTTAAAAAAAGCTTATATTATTTTAAAATGGATAAAACACATTGATAAAATTGGTTAAACTATATGCAGTTTAAATTTTTTTTTCACTTTTTATAATAAAAGTCTTGGTGGTTTATCAATGATTGGAACGAAAGATAGGATTTTCTATATCACGTGGGGAACCTCAAGTTTTGAATCATTAAAAATAAAAAAAAAATTAAATTCCTGAACATTTAATCTTCAAAATCTCATTTAACCCTAAATTTTAAAGTTTGAAAAATTGTAGTAACCTATTCTGTAAATGTAAGAAGCATGGGGTCATAGAGTAAACTTAATTTGTTAGTTGTACATAGTACATTGCATACTACGAATCCATTGAAATAGATTAAAATATGATAAGACATAAAGTTGTTATCGTTTCTCCTGACCGATAGCACATAGGCTATTGCATGATAGTTTGTGGAGGCTTTTTGATTGATTGAAGTTAACTCTTTTATTTTATTTTATTTAACACCACAATTCATCTCCTTTAATGTGCAATGCCTAAACTCAATCTCTGCATATTCTTTCTATAGCAACCAAGTGAGATATAGGTATGCAAGTAGCAACCAAGTGAGATATAGGTATGCAAGTATTGGTGCTGCAGTCGATTAACAGTTTATGTTAGTCCTCTTCTGATTAAAAGAAATAGTTATACATGATTTGGTTGTCTTTTAATCTGCTGTGGTGAGTATTTATCACGTTACCTAGTCTTTTGCAAGTAATCTTCAGGGCCTTCCATAACTTACATTCACTGGTTGTTTTATCGAAACGGGAAACAACACTTTGGGTTTTATAAGTCCCTGTGGAGTGTTCTGTATACATGGTATGTTCAAGTGTAGATTTAGTTTCATAAAAGAGAGGCGAAAGATACTAGAGGGACATTCAAACTCATCTATTTCCGCCCAATTCTTTTTTTCAGGTTGAGTAGATCGTATCGTGAGTTATTTTTTTCCAAGTTTTCTTTGGATTAAGAGAATATTGTTTACCTTTATATACCAACCTATCAATCTTAGGAGTGTTAATCATTTTGGGTATTATATATATGTTCTCCAGAGTTTGTATGATATTAATGGATTCATTCAATCCTTTTATGCCGTGAAGTCCTGCTCCCATAAAGGAGTACATAGTTGCTCTTGCAGTGGAGATTCTATTCTCAATGTTTTGGTTATTTCGTTCCTGTCTTTCTTCGACTAGGTGTTTATAAATGATCTACTTTTCACTGATCTCATCGTTAAAAAGCTTAAGATTTTACTTTTATATTCTTTTTGTTGATAAGCAGAATTTCTGTTTTTACTGTTAATCTTAACTATGTTAACTCTGTCTTTTGCAGTACAGTTTTCAATGATACGTACGAAGTTGGGTTAAGCCATCAAATTCTGAACTTTCAAATATATATAGCATTATGTCATCTGCGCACGTGGTGGAACAGCCTACGTAATTGGTTCCGATCTTAAATCCTATGTTTGTGGTTTCAAGT